ATATTCTACCACATGCTCAACGCCATCTAGTCCCAACCTAAGCAGAGCTTGTACTATGGCTACTAGACAACTGATATAAATAATACATTTATGTATAATATATATAATAAATTTATGAATGTGGGTTGAAAATAATTAAACGTATAATAATAATTAAATACCAACCCGTCTGGCCAGCATGGTATAGTAGGCCAAAATCTCCTTTCTAAGAAGAGGCCTATGTTCAGCAGTGGACTATTAAAGACTGTTGATGAATATGGGTTAAAATATGTACCTTAACGTCAGCATGTGACATTAGTTCTTTTTTCACACATGTCAGCATTTGGCCCCAAACTAAGCACATCTTTTACTATGAAAGCTAGATAGTTTGAATGAATACCTACTTAAATACATTTTTTATAAATCTGTACAAATTATATAAAGAAAACGCACAAACTCCGAAAAAAATATTTGGAAATCCTACAAACATTTTGTCCGACCAGGAATTCGAACCCGAGACCTCTGCGCAGTCGCATACGCTACCACCGCACCATCGCAGTCAACGCTCCTTGAACTATACTCTTACCAAAAATCAGTCAACGCGGCTAAAAAGTATTCACATTTTAAATTTACAGCACATTTTTTAAAGGAGTTTTGACTTGAGTTTATAAATTAGCAACACACACAAAATGGCGAACACAATAATAATTTATTTTATAAATAATTCTATAGCTTATTTTGCTGAAACAGATACGAAACATTGGTACTTACAGATGTTAGGTGACATTTTAATTTTATTTAAATCGTTATTTATAATTTCTACTAACTTTTATCACACAAATCGTCATAATAACAAATACAAAATCTGAGAGCAACACGTATAAAGTGACAGTTCTGATACTAAACCGGCAAAGCATTTAGAGGCCAACAGTTGGACGCTATTTTTTCCTCTTCTTTCACAGATTTGAATGTCCATCTAGGTATATAAATAATCGAAGACAAAAGAATTAATGAGTTAATGCATTTTCGCCCTAAACATTATACCTGTGTGGAATTAAACAGTTTTTCGTTCGTAGACAAATACTAGAGGACTCATTCGTCATTAAAATCATTGACACCTTAAATCACATATAATTTCATTGTAGAAAATAATAAAACAAAATCATATTTTAAAGACTAAAACGATTATAACTAAGAACAATTATTTATATTGCAACATAAATAAGACAAAGATATAACGCAAAACATTACTTATAACTTTGGCTGTTATCTCCGTTAAGAAAGTAAAGATAAATATTGGGCAATGGAGCAAGCTATGTTTGGATTTGTTTTTGAAGGATAAAAACCAAAGTTACCAACGTAGCTCGCAAAATAAGCATGCTGAAGCGGTAAAGGGCAGACCACCTGGGACGGTAGAGCAAACGTGCCTTAAAATAAAGACCGCTGACTCCTAGGAGGGTAGGAATAGAGAGGTCTATATATATTTAGCATTGGACTGCATTAGGATAATTGATTATTCGAAAGTTAATGTTACTATACAAACTTAAATATTCACGAATAAGATTTATTGATGTGCAACCATAGAACTATTATAATTACCTTTCTAAATAATAAGGTTTACACGCATAGCAAGGGCAGTGAGTAATGGCCTTTTAGTCGTAGCGTTATTCAAATTCGTGGATCTATATAGGGGTTTGGTAATGAATGCATGCATGTAGTGGATAAGTACTGATAAATCGGAGACTTTCCTGTAAACTGTAAACAATTATCACATTCGGATGGCGCAGTTATGGTATGCGTTTATCTCGTAACTATAATACTGCCAGTAAAAGTATTTTCTAAATGAGCGGAGGCCAACACTTCTTTACATTCGTGTTTAAACTTAAATTTTTTTAAATACAATAAAATTTTAGAGTTAAACATTTTTTTTTTAAATTTATAAAAAAAATTTTTAAAACGATTTTTTTGTTAAAAATAAATCTTTAAACCCCTTCCTTTTTTTTTTAAAAGGTTTGGTTTTTCTTCCCTTTTCATTTTTTTTAAAAAAATATTTTTGCCCTTTTTTTTTTTACATTGTTTATTTATAATTTTTTAAAAAAAAAAAATTTTTTTTTAATTTTTTTTAATGAAATTAAAAAATTAATTTTAAGTAAAAAAAAAATTTTTTTTTTTTAATTTTTTTTTTTTTTTTTTTTTTATTTTTTGAATTTTTGTTTTTTTTTGTTTTTAAAAAATTAAATTATTTTGTTTATTCCAAAATTTTTAAATCTAAAAAAATTAAATTTTTTTATTTTTTTTTTTTTTTTTAATTTTTTAAAAAAATTTTTTTTAAATTTTTTAAATTTTTTTTTAAAAGATGTTTTTGTAAATTTTTTTAATTATTTTTTTATTTTTTTAGGTTTGGGTTTTTTTGATAAATCTTAAAAATCATAAGATACTGGCAACACAGTGCAATTAGGAGACGCAAAAAAATGGTAGCATTATATTTAGTCTAGTTGCTCGAAGGAATAAGTAAAATAAAAATATCCAAATAAAATAAATATCATATCTATTCCAATGAATTCGGACCGAATACTATCAAGCACATCACTATGAAAACTAGACGCACGATGTAACTTTGTACAAGCGCGCCAAAGAACAAAAAATAAATGTTTTCATATTATTTACAAACTATTTTAAGTTTTGAAACAGAGTTTATTGGAAAATTACTTGATTCTGATATTTTGACATAAAGTTTTATATTAAAGAGGTATTCTAAATCATTCGGCAAATGTGTCGCTCGTGCAAGGTTATATCGATTAATTTAAGAATAATCTGTCAAATCGGTAATAACTCAGCGGCCGTACTATAATAGGTATCAGTGTGCATGACAGCTTCGTCTTACACTCACGTAACGTCATTATGCTTTCTTCGTGGGTATACCAGTGTTTGAAAAATTTCTTTAATATAGGGAAAAATTATGTGTTGAATGTTTTTTAATCTAGGAAAATATACTCTAAGAAAGAAAACAATAATATGTTTTTCTTTTTGTAAATATTCTACCACATGCTCAACGCCATCTAGTCCCAACCTAAGCAGAGCTTGTACTATGGCTACTAGACAACTGATATAAATAATACATTTATGTATAATTATATATAATAAATTTATGAATGTGGGTTGAAAATAATTAAACGTATAATAATAATTAAATACCAACCCGTCTGGCCAGCATGGTATAGTAGGCCAAAATCTCCTTTCTAAGAAGAGGCCTATGTTCAGCAGTGGACTATTAAAGACTGTTGATGAATATGGGTTAAAATATGTACCTTAACGTCAGCATGTGACATTAGTTCTTTTTTCACACATGTCAGCATTTGGCCCCAAACTAAGCACATCTTTTACTATGAAAGCTAGATAGTTTGAATGAATACCTACTTAAATACATTTTTTATAAATCTGTACAAATTATATAAAGAAAACGCACAAACTCCGAAAAAAATATTTGGAAATCCTACAAACATTTTGTCCGACCAGGAATTCGAACCCGAGACCTCTGCGCAGTCGCATACGCTACCACCGCACCATCGCAGTCAACGCTCCTTGAACTATACTCTTACCAAAAATCAGTCAACGCGGCTAAAAAGTATTCACATTTTAAATTTACAGCACATTTTTTAAAGGAGTTTTGACTTGAGTTTATAAATTAGCAACACACACAAAATGGCGAACACAATAATAATTTATTTTATAAATAATTCTATAGCTTATTTTGCTGAAACAGATACGAAACATTGGTACTTACAGATGTTAGGTGACATTTTAATTTTATTTAAATCGTTATTTATAATTTCTACTAACTTTTATCACACAAATCGTCATAATAACAAATACAAAATCTGAGAGCAACACGTATAAAGTGACAGTTCTGATACTAAACCGGCAAAGCATTTAGAGGCCAACAGTTGGACGCTATTTTTTCCTCTTCTTTCACAGATTTGAATGTCCATCTAGGTATATAAATAATCGAAGACAAAAGAATTAATGAGTTAATGCATTTTCGCCCTAAACATTATACCTGTGTGGAATTAAACAGTTTTTCGTTCGTAGACAAATACTAGAGGACTCATTCGTCATTAAAATCATTGACACCTTAAATCACATATAATTTCATTGTAGAAAATAATAAAACAAAATCATATTTTAAAGACTAAAACGATTATAACTAAGAACAATTATTTATATTGCAACATAAATAAGACAAGATATAACGCAAAACATTACTTATAACTTTGGCTGTTATCTCCGTTAAGAAAGTAAAGATAAATATTGGGCAATGGAGCAAGCTATGTTTGGATTTGTTTTTGAAGGATAAAAACCAAAGTTACCAACGTAGCTCGCAAAATAAGCATGCTGAAGCGGTAAAGGGCAGACCACCTGGGACGGTAGAGCAAACGTGCCTTAAAATAAAGACCGCTGACTCCTAGGAGGGTAGGAATAGAGAGGTCTATATATATTTAGCATTGGACTGCATTAGGATAATTGATTATTCGAAAGTTAATGTTACTATACAAACTTAAATATTCACGAATAAGATTTATTGATGTGCAACCATAGAACTATTATAATTACCTTTCTAAATAATAAGGTTTACACGCATAGCAAGGGCAGTGAGTAATGGCCTTTTAGTCGTAGCGTTATTCAAATTCGTGGATCTATATAGGGGTTTGGTAATGAATGCATGCATGTAGTGGATAAGTACTGATAAATCGGAGACTTTCCTGTAAACTGTAAACAATTATCACATTCGGATGGCGCAGTTATGGTATGCGTTTATCTCGTAACTATAATACTGCCAGTAAAAGTATTTTCTAAATGAGCGGAGGCCAACACTTCTTTACATTCGTGTTTAAACTTATAGCTTCTCTTACAGATGACAGATAAACTGTGGTATGAATTGTTCGATAACATTTTCTCTTCAAATTTTATGGAAAATATCTTAAAACATGATAGAAATATTATTATGTAATATCTATAAGTACTTAATCACTAAGAGGCTTAAAAGCAGCAATTATTTCTTGTATTGAAAACAGGAAAATATCTGCGTTTTTCTTACAGTTAGCGATGGTATTCCTGAAAAAAAAAACCTCAATTTATTGCTCCGTTGTATTTCACATGTGCCTTTATTTCCAGTCAATAAAACTGAAACGCCAAATATTTTATGAGACTCGAAATTAAATGATTATACTACGCACTGACACATTGACACTACATTATTTAACCGTGAACAAAAATAACACTTCATTCTTTGTGAATTTTATTTCCCCATACCATACAATTAACAAAAACCACCAAAGAAATACATATATTATATTATTATATTTTTGATTTGTATGTACCCTTTTTATGCTATCTCACACTTACAGTTATGTTCTGTTCCTGCAGTTCCATATTTCGACTTGGCATAAGGTCTAACCATTAAATACCTGACTTTTAAAAATATTTTTTTTCATATATTTTGTCATAAGCTACATCTACACCTAAAAAGGTTTTTAGCATAATATATGTATTCATGTTATAGGCATGTTCGCATATAAGTCTGATAGTAGCAAGTGATAGTTTTTTAATGATACTTGTATACAGAGGTTAATTTTTTTATTTTTAGGATACGCATATTTACCAGTATTCTGATAAAAGATTGTCATCTATGTGTGACGTATCAATACCAGCTTTTTCGCATACAGTCAGTATGTTGTCGGTTGGCGCATTAGGGTCTCGATCTAGCATGCTAAAAGCAGAATAAAATAATAAATGTAATTTACACAAAAGTTTTAAATATGTTAAGAGTTAGCAAAATTATTTGAGTAGTTTTTAAATTTTATCGATCAAATATACATATCTGTTTAAATACATAATCATAACATTTCTTACCTTTCTAATGAAACACATAAACCAAAGATATGTGAACGAGCATTTTCGATTTGAGTTTTTAGTTCATTTCTCTGCAATGTCGGTAGCTGTGGGGTTTTTAACTCTGCATAGCATTTATCACTGCAAGATAAACAAAAGATATTACCAGTTTTATGCACTTTTTACATATACTTGTTTTGCATAGTTTACCAGTTACTAGATAAATAAAATAAATAAATTTTAATATAAAATTTGCTTACCACAAAACTTTAACTTCCCTAATAGCATTCCTTACTTCTTGTAGAAATATATGCATCATAACTTTAAATGTATTATTATTTTTAACTATTGACAGATCAAGCGATTTCGGACTACTAGCTCCGAGGTGCTGGGACATGTCAATTTCTGGCGTCTCTGACATTTGAGTGACGTTTGGATCACTTCGAACTGCGTCATCGTCGGAGATATCAAATTCATCAGATCCACATTCCGTCGAGTTATATTCATAATCTTCTTCATTATATTGATCATACTCCTCACACTCATTTACATCAATCTCATTTCTAAGCTTCTTTTCAAATTCAGGACATTTTGTGAAGTTTCTGATAATATTTGGTGTGTTTAATGTACTTGAAAAATGTATCAAAGACTTTTCACTTTCATCATTAGGATTGCCAGAGGAGAAAGTTACATGAGTTTGTTCACTATCTCCTTGTTTATCACATAACTTGTTTCGTTTAGTTAGAATAGGAGACACACTAGTCACCTTCTGTAGCTTCAAACTTGAAAAAAATGACGTCTTAATATCCAAATTCCTTATTATTTTTACAGGTTTTGGTTGCTGTAAGGGTTCCTACGAAATAATTATGTTCCATTATTTTCTACTAAAGTACACGATAGGGACATGAAAAATAAACTTGGTTGTAGATCATTGAACTTGGAATGATCATAGGATATGCTAAATGTTAGATTAACTGAAGTTCGGGTTTTTACCGTAACATAAGTAGGACGCCCTCCCGCTTAGCAGAGGTTCGATTCCCACGCAAGACAAATAATTGTGTGATGAGTACGATCATTTGTTCTGTGTCTGAGTGTAATTTATCTATAATATGTATGTTTTTTAAAATCGGGTGTACAAATAAACGGAACACTTATTAAAATAAAATAAAAAGTATTTATAAAAACTATCCTTTTAAAACATATGACAGTTTCTAGGTATTATTAGCTCAGATTCTCATAGAAGGAGATTGAACGTTCAAGATTTTGAATAGATCATATTTTATTCCGGGAATTACTCCATCCATTATTGATAAACTTCTTATGTTCGTACCTCTGCCGATGCTTTTCTTGGACACGTAAGGTTATCTTCAGCTTGATTTAGGACATCAAGTCGTGACTTTTTATTCCCTTGAGAATCAGTACTACCGATGGAATTGTTAAGAGGATCTGCAGAGAATAATACAAAATAACAGCATTGTTAGCGATAGCGATAGCTATCGCTAACTATATTTACATTTACTTAGTGGTTAGGCTTTATTAATTATCTAGAGAAATAAACCGTCTATATTTTACGTTTATAAGACTAACGCAGGGCGTGTAAATGTATATACAATTTGTAATATTTGAAAAAAAAAAAAAATTTACTTCAAAATATCATTCATACACAAATGTATGCATCGGCAGACTTAATGTTTAAGGCATCCTGTCCAGTCAACCAGAATTATAGTAAACTTTATTATTTTTGAAAAAAAAAAGATCCAAATCATAAATAGATATGACGAGAAAAGAGGGAAATTCCGTTTGGACTATTATTTCAACAACTCAAAAGTTAACTTCAAAGTACAAGTACAGATCCGTTTCATCCTACGTAAATTTTAACATGAATGCAGGAGAACCTTACCTTATGTGTTTTTTTGAATAATAGATGTGAGACGATAGTTATATAACGTACATTTTTAACTTACCCGACATTTCAGTATTCTCTTGTGGATCAATATCAGAATCATTTAAACCATAATGAGGATTTTTAATGTCAATCAAAAGCTTCTGCAAGTATTCTTCGGCAATTTTAATATCCTCATGGTGAGTTGTAATAGCCTGTAGAAAATAGGAGAACGGAAATAGAGCTCTTTTACTATAATAAATGAAAAATATGTGTCTTGATGACCAGCACCAAATAACATCACTACACAGTACTGCATGTTCAACAATTCAAACGTTAATTTTATAAGCGTAATTAAAGATTTGTACTAACTTTTATTTCCTTGAGTAAAGACACTCCATTATTATATAATTCCATATACTGAGCTGGTGTGATGTCCAAGGGTATTTTTCCTAAAAATAAAGATCATATTATTTAGTATATAAATAGAATAGAAGTAATAAGGATATAAGAGAAGAAAGAAGGAGAATAAAAGAAAGAACTGTAACATTTTATCCAAAAAGCACTAACCCATACTGTCACTTATATCAAAGAGAACTCTTGATAATTTATCTGAGGCATGCTTAACAGCAGCAACAGTAGTATACTTTCCAATACATTGAGCTGCTTCATGTAAGGTCCACGGTGGAGCTAGAGCTGAATTTGCAAACGCCGGTTCTTTGTGTAATATAACTGCCAACACCTCTTCCATAATCTGAATAAATCTAGAAACCCATTCTTCGCATTTTATTCTAAGACTTTCCTCCATATTTTCACTGTCTATATGCATAAGACTGTTACTAGACTTACTTTCATGATATGACTCCGCACGGTGGCTATCCTTGCATTTTAGATATTCACTGTCCACATTACTTTCCGTGTTTGATATAACACCTGATGTAGATGTTTCCTCAATAGTAATATTTTCTCTCGTTTTATTCAGACAAATACTCGAATCCCTACTTTGGACGATTTCATCTAAATTTGAGGAATACTCTGTTTCATGGTTATTATTTGAGACTTGACTTAAATGTTCATCAACTCCAGTATCTGCCTCTTTTATTGTTAAGTTTTTATCTCCTAAATGAACATTTTGATCGGTTTGTAAGTCACAAGGGAATTTATTACTGTTAGATGTCCCAGAACCCTGAAAACTAGGGCGTCTCCTTCTCCGCCACCTAAATGTTTTTTTTTCATTGCCTTGAACAGTATTACTTGATTGTGCAGTATTATTAGGTATACTACGTTTAAGTTTTATTTCCCTTCGTTTAACGGGTAGTTGCGATGCTTTTTTAGACTCAGTTTTATTGGGACATTCTATTACATTTGTTTTAATAACTTCATCGATAACTGTATCTGATTGACCCTCCTTGGTAACCATCACTGTATCTGTTTGAATGGCTGCATCAACTGCATATTTTAACCGTCTACTAAGAAAATCAGATTGATTTTCTTCAATACTTCTGTGAAATTCTGAATCCGACACATTTTTTACATGTGCTATTTCTTTAATGACAGTACCAGCATGTGGTTCATCTTCTATGGCAGATGTCCTTTGAGTACTTTCTCGACTAACATTCCCTGTAGCTGGTGGGTTTTTGCTGGGTATAGTAATTTTAATGAGATTCTTGAGTGACAATGGAGTATTGAGATTTGGCCGCTGCTGGTGAATAGGATATTCTAAAAGGGTTTTGATCTCATCCACAGTAAACATATTAACTTTAATGAACTTTTTATATCTTAACAACTCTTTATCATTGGTAAGTAGTATCTGAAAGAAATATTGGTTATTGCTACTATAAAAATTTAGTAATTTATGGCAATTACATAAACAGTAATTTAACAGTAAAAAAAAAGTCGGAGTTCACTTCACCGTTCTGCGCCCATACGCTTAGATAATTATTTTAAAAGTACCTACATAATAACATATGTATTTTGTACTGTATGTGTTTACTGTTTAGTGTTAGTTTTTATCAACTTCGCTTGATGTAGCATCTGTTGCAGGACAACAAACCTCATCAACAGCCATTTTTATTTTTTATTTATTTAAAAAAGACAACTCCCGCACTAGGAATAAATCCGGTGTCGTGGGGGACTTTACAAACATACATGAAACGGACACAAAGTACACCCAGACTCAGAACAACAATTTGTGGATCACACAAAGTGTTATCCCATGTGGGGTTTGAACCCACAACACTCAGCGCAATAGAAAGTGGCGTGGCGACCGCTTAAACCACTACGCCATCCGTGCAGTCAACAGTCAACTTTAACAGTCCACTGCTGGACATAGGCCTCTCCTTACCATACCACGCTGGCCAGACGGGTTGGCATAGGGTTTGTGTCAAGTTCCAAGAGGCGGCGCGCCTGGCCACAAGGGGAGTCTCCCTGGTGGTCGGGCGCATTGAGGCGCTGGGCTTACGGGTGGCCCTAGATAAGACGGAGGCCCTGTTATTTCATGGGCCCCGTCGTGGTCCACCCCCTGGCGCCTCAATCGTGGGCAACTCGGTCCTCGTACCGGTTCGGGCCTAGATGAAATATCTGGGCCTGATCCTCGACGGGAGGTGGCTCTTCGACGAGCACTTCCGACAGCTTGCTCCAAAGCTGGTCGGCGCTGCGTCTGCCCTAGGGCGACTTTTGCCCAATTTGGGTGGACCCAGCGTCGCGACAAGACGGCTGTACACGGGGGTTGTCCGGTCAATGGCACTATACGGTGCATCGGTGTGGGCGGCGGCTCTGACCGCCCAGAATAGGGCACGCCTCTGGCGCCCTCAGAGGGTAATGGCGGTCAGAGCCATACGCGGTTACCGCACCGTGTCGACGGAGGTGGCGTGCGCGTTGGCCGGAACTCCCCCGTGGGATTTGGAGGCGGAAGTGCTCGCCGAAGTCTATCGGCGAGTGGCTGACTCCCGGGCGGAGAGCGGATTTCGCCCTCCGCCCGAGGATGTGCGCGAGTGGCGCGAAGCCGCTCGCCGAGCCACGATGGCTCGTTGGTCGTTCCGGCTGGAGACTCCACGCTCTGGCTTCGCCGCCGTGGAGGCTCTCCAGCTGGTCATCGCCGAGTGGGCAGGGCGGCAGCACGGGACCCTTACCTTCCGGCTGACGCAGGTGCTTTCTGGGCACGGTTGCTTCGGAAAGTACCTGCACTCGGTCGCTAGGAGGGAACTGAGTCCCGCCTGCCACCACTGCGACTGCAGTGAGGACTCGGCCCAGCACACGCTGGCGGTCTGCCCCGCATGGGCGACGCAGCGCCGGGCCCTCACTGCAGTCATCGGAGTGGATATCTCGCTACCGACCGTAGTACGCTCCATGGCCGGTAGCGACAGTTGTTTTACCGCGGTCGCAACCTTCTGCGAGGAAGTAATCTCGCAGAAGGAGGCGGCGGAGAAGGCCCGGGAGGACGACCTCCACTCGGACCCGATCCGCCGCCGGCGAACCGGGCGGCGGAGGCGCGCCTATCACCGCCTCATGCCGCCCTGAGTGTGGCCGCGGGTGGACGGGGTGGGTTTCCCCTCCACCCGCATTAGTTTGGCCAGCCGCGAGGGGGCGGCGTCCGCGTGTGCCGGACGTCGCCTAAAGAGAGGAACAATTTTGAGACGGGGCCCGCAACTGGAGTGGGCCGGCGCTAGGAGGGGTCCGGATGTCTTAATAACAGCTGTTCCCGGATCCCTCCTATTACAGGCGCAGAGTGGCACACCGTGTGGTTTTAGTCGGTCCGAGTCCGACACACCACCCCGCCGCAAACCCCGGTGGGGTGACGGTCCGAGGGGATTTCCACACGTTAAAAAAAAAAAAATAAGGGTTTGTGTCAAGTTTTCCTTCTCTCTGCAGTGCTGTTGTTATGCGTAGTTTTTCCCTTAGTCGGCTCTTACGACACCCACTATTGTCTTCAAAAAACCTCAGTGGTTTTCAAATGCACTATAATCAATCATTGTAAATTGCTATGTAAAATGTTAAATAAATAATAAAATAATAATAAATTTGGTGTGATTGACATCAAGTTTTACCAGATGTAGGTATAAAGTGTTGCAATCTGAACTTAGTTTAAAGATTGGTATGTATTTTTGAAGACGGAGACGAAAATACTGAGGTCATTCTATTGACTCACCAAAATTCATGAATTCGCTAGTCGTTTGGTTAAGTGACTTGCGACATTTGAAAGCCCTGTCATGAACTGAATCATTTTTACATATATCGTCTGCTGCAAAGACAATACAGTGTGGACTTCAATTTAACGAGGTTTACACTAAAATAAAGCCTAAGATAACTATCGCGCTAAGAACATACCAGGTACCTAGAACCTGGGACGTTTCAGTTATTCCACATGAATTAATTTATCATTTGAAACTTACAACATGAATATTATCTTCTAATAGCCTGAAGCAAGTTTTTAGTATTGGATTAGTAATAGAATTCTCATACTCTTCACTTGGTTCCTGCCCTAAAAAAATGAAAGAAATTTGTATTAAAAAACATAACAATAGCCGCCGGAATTCCGATTAAATAAAAAAAATATTTAGTTCCAGAGCAAGTTCTATAAAATAAAGAATTATATAACATAAAATAAGTAAAAAGCTTCTTTATTAATTATTTTAACGTTTATGACATACTAGCTTTTCCCGCGGCTCCGCCCACGTAAATGTCGGTTATTCCGGTAAAATGTAGCATATTATGTCTTTCCCCTTTTTAACCCCCTTAAAGTATGATTTCTACCCTATGTCCTTCCCGGGGACTCCAACTATCTCTATACCAAACTCCATCTAAAACGGTTCAGCGGTTTAAGCGTGAAGAGGTAACAGACAGACAGACAGACAGACTTTCGCATGTATAATATTAGTATGGATATTTAACATACTAGCTAAACCCTGAAATATATACACCGTGAAACTGTGTTAGGTACTTTATTTAGCAATGACTTGTTGCGAAGTATGCGATACCGATGGAGAGGTCATTGACACTTGCGCGCCTACCGAGTGCAGCCGAGTGCAGGATGTCTACAAGTGGCGAGTTCTTGAGACAACTTTGTGATGCTAATTACTTAATATTTTTACCATGTGCAACTAAACTAAAATGCGGGTTTATCATACATAAAGATTATTCTGTGTTAATTTGGACACAAAATTGAAAGTCTCCCTGTATATATATAAATTAGTGTAGGACTTTTAAATTTGAGAACACTACAAGGTGAACTATACAAACACGAGTTCAACCGAGAATGGATTTTTAAATCTATCGATAACTTTGGATACTGGATGTTGTGCATCCTAATTATAGGGAACTATTTATTAAAGCACGCGTTGCTGAACGAGTTGGAGTAACTACTTACTTACTTACTTGATAAAAAAAAATGTTTTTGCAGAATCTATTGAACGCTGCAGTAACCGTGTATCCACTTATACACTGAACTACGAAGTAACTACTAATCATGTATCGCGCAATGAAAGTTGTCACACCGATTAATATATACATACACCCTACCAACATCAACCGTTGTGCCACGGCCCAGGGAGGATCACCTCATACATACTAGTTTGTTACATAGTCCAGTTTGTTTTTTAATTGAAGCTCTATATTCTCTAGCTTGAATGTTTTGTGATTAAGAAATACTTGGTTTATTAAAGAAAAACATAATTATCGTCCACGGCATCAATACGACATTAGTTAATGTTTTGTTTATTACCTAAAGTTACTCGTCCACTCTCAATACGTTCCAGAAGAGAGTAGTAAATACAACGAGCTGGAATATTATTTGAGCAGGCTACGTAGTCCTTAAGTTCTGACATCACATTGTTAGGTACCAAAAGGGTGCAATTTTCATCTGTAAATAAATAAAACAATTATATTATGGTTAGTAGTTTGAGCAGTATCGTCATACTTATATGTATTTTAGTATTGTCTAATCTTGTTTTTACATGGGATTGCGAATTTAACTACAATTATTTGTATAAAAAAATATTTAGCTTAATTTGTTTTTCTTACAAACATCGCTTATATTGTAGATTAACCAGATAGGTTCGAACAGTAGGAAAAATGTTTCTATTTTTTGAAGCACCTTTCCATTAGGTAATGCTATACCTTACATAATATTATTTTATATGATTACACTGAAGCAGAGCAATACCTTTAAATGACGATTAGAATGATATAGGTAAGTAATAAATAAAGTTACGAATATAGTAGTCTATTTGTATTAATTAATTAATTGACATGTTACAATTAATAAATTATACACTCTGATTGGAAAAAATTAAATGATAGTCTTAGTTTATGATCAGTAATAGGAAGTCTGTTAATGTAAATATAACAGTAAGACTAACTAGTTTCAGAAAAAAATAATTTAAGAAACCCCCGACACACTCTTTCATTTGAGGAGTGTGAGAACCGTTGTGAAAAATTATGTAATCCGCCAATTTGTGGCGGCGGCCATATTGGACAACATAGCTATACTACTAATTCTCCTTTCAAACAAAAAAAAATCAAAATCGGTTCATCCGTTCGGGAGTTACGATGCCAGAGACAGACATACACACACACACACAGGCACGTCAAACTTATAACACCCCGTCGCTTTTGCGTCGGGGTTTAAAAACAGCTGATGGTCTCAAAAACCATACAAATAGGGAGCAACATTAGATATATTGGCCTTATTATTGATTAAATGGAGAGAGCCATGCCAGTCGTTACACATTGGTCGGCTAAACTGCGAAAAGTCACAGAAAACCGGTGTTAACGTTTATTTTATTTTATTCCGTATATTCTTTTCACTGAGTTAGTAAGGTTATCAAAACCCAAACCCTTCGATTCTAAAGGGAGAAGGCATATAAAGGGCGGCTACCCACTTGCCTCTTGAGTTAAATGTGTGATTGGGTTGGGCTAGTTACTAACGATCAAACGACTAGTCTGCTTGTTTGCCGCATATTATAATTTAAAAAAGACGGACAAATCCACCGTTCATATTTGTAGGTACATATTACCAGGAATCGAGTCTTGCAGTTTTTACCGAGCTTTCCCAAAATTCAGTTTCAAAAGCCTATTGTTACTTATTGTGTTTTATAAGTGAAATTAACTCTGCCTTTGAAAGTCCCGTAAGAAAAAAGAGGAGGGTTGGCTGAGTGAAGATCTAACTAGCCGTAAAAGATCAAAGTCGAGCATCGAGCGACGGCAATAATTCCGAAAAAAACCTCTTTAAAAAGTCACCCTAATCCTAAGGAGACACTACGTGCCGATAGGATGCATGGCTTGTAGGAGGCAAGTTCTAAGCGCCAACTAACAATGTACCAGGCAAACGTCATTGTATACTGCCTTCTTGAGGGAATGGGCGTCACCCATCATGTGACGTGTTAAATCGGCCTTACTCGTGGGAACAAAATGAGCAATTCTAACCCTCCTGAAAATGTAATAAAATTGGATAAGAGTAACCCAAAAACTTGGACCCAACAGCTCCAGTTCAAGCTCAAGTTCCATTACCGGAACAACTAATCAAAACAAAGTGAACGTTGAGCTGGCAGATAAAACAGATAGAGAATCCGAAAAACAGCAGTTTACAGAAGTGAACTATGGCAAAACATCATCCTCCACTTTCACAAATATCCAACCTTTACTAAAATTATTAGAAGACGTAGCAAAAGGGATAAGATACTACGAGGCGTCGAAGTTAAAATATCATACTCCACTATTCTTAAAGAACTGAAGGCTTTATCAGTTACCAGTCTAAACAAGACCGCAGCTTTAGAGTGGTGCTAAAAAACTTACAACCCATCTACAGATAAGAATTATATAAAGATAGCTATCGAAGAGCTTGACCACAAAGTACCAAAACCCTCAATGCACTAATTGCCAAGATTATAATCACACACAAAAGTTCTGCAATAGAAAATCCAGATGCGTCAAATATGCAGTTTCGCATCACATTTCAGCTTGCCCACAGAAAGAAAGATCAAACCAGGTTAAATATGTCTTATGCGAGATAAACCACCCAGCTAACTACAAAGGCTGTACAGTCTACAAGTAGTTGCTGAAAGTCCGATACAATCCTCAAATCACACACACAGCGTTAAGGGACTGTAGACCTGAATATATGGTTTTAATTTCAACCCGATACCTCCACGCGTTCCCGAGATAAAGGATCTTGACAGGCAGACGGACAACAAAGTGATCCTATAAGGGTTCCGTTTTACCTTTAGATGTACAGTACCCTAAAAAAATATATTATTAAAATGTAATAATTACCTGAATTAGTCAAATCACTTAAAAAATTAAATTCCTCAAGAAGTACATTAAAATCTACAACAATATACCAGTTCTCCAGATTATCATTCATGGCAAGAGATTTTAGAGGCGTTAAATCTAAATTCGATTTAATTTCTTCTTTCTGAATTTCAGTACCATTTTCATCCTGAAAGAAATATAAAATATGACAAAAAAGAAATTAAAAGGACTACCAGACACTTCCATTTGATAACTCTGAAGATGTTTTAAGTGTATAAAATTGTATTAGAATCAGAGAGTTTCAACATATATTAGAGCATCGTAAGTAAAAAATTAAACCAACAGAAAACAGACACTAGAAATAGTGCAGTACCATGTAGTATACCAGTATTCATTTCATTAGCCATTCTAATAAATTATTTGTAATATCAAAGGATCATTACCCTCCTAATTGTTGTTTATTACAATTTAAATATATGAAAGTTATCATAAAAAATTTATAGGCCGACCCTTTATCTGAGTCCTCGCCTGCGCGGTAACCAGGGCGCGGAGGTATGACGACAAAGGGGACTGAGACAGGTGCGGGCAGCGGGCGAATTTTTGTAATCGCTCATTTCGATCGCAACGCGGACAGCGATCGCACGTGTTAATTGTTGCGGACGCCTTGTGAGAGATACACATGTGATAACAATCTCAAGATCTTCGGTCATAAAGTGAATAGTCAGTGCAAGCAAATGGCTTTAAACGTGTACGAATATTTTAGAAAAAAGAAACTGGACCCAAATTCTGTTGAATATCAACAAGACATACATTTAAACAAAACCGTAGCAGAAGTTACTGGACTATCGGTAAAGACTGTATCTAGAATCGTACATCAAGGGAAATTATTGAAAGACAACGAAAGATTCAAATCACCGAAAAAATCAAAACAGGTTCGCAAAAAAAGAGTAGAAATAGACGATTTCACAAAAGGAGTGGTAAGAAGAAAAGTCACTCAGTTTTATACAATTGATAAAAAAATGCCTACTCTGAAAACGTTGAATGCTATACTTAGAGAAGAGAATATATTACACTGCGGAAGGGAATATTTAAGGCTGTTGTTACATAACCTAGGTTTTAAATTTAAGAAATGCGGTTCTAAAAGGAAACTCCGTATTGAACAGCCAAATATAACATCGTGGAGGTGGAAATACCTAAGGACTATCAAAAAATATCGTAGAGAAGGAAGACATATTTTATATCTTGACGAAACGTATGTAAATAAGTCTCATAACGTTTCAAAATGCTGGCAATCCAAGGATATACATGGCGTACTATCTCATATTGGAAAAGGGAACCACTTGATCATCGTACATTGTGGAGGTCAAACTGGATTTGTAGACGGAGCACTTGTGATATTTAAATCCAATTGTAAAACAGGTGATTAACACGATTCTATGAATTTCGTGAATTTCAGTAAATGGATAAATGAAAGGCTAATGCCCAATATACCACCAAATTCCGTCATCGTGATGGATAACGCAGCTTACCATTCGGTTCGAGAAGAAAAAAAGCCGACTATGGCTTCTACCAAGGCAGTTATGCAAACATGGTTGAGACGACACGACGTGGTTTTCGATGATAAGCTGAAAAAGGACGACTTATCAAAATTGATTAAAAAGACAGAAACTGAAGATATTTATAAAATTGACGAGTTATTGAAAAGAAACGGGCATGAAGTGTTGCGTTTGCCTCCTTATCACCCAGACCTGAACCCTATTGAGTTGGTTTGGGGTGATATTAAGGGGCAATTAGCACAAAAAGTGTGGACTCTAATCTAGACCAAAAAAAACTATGTTAGAGGGATTATTTGCTGAATATTCTGCACAGAAGTGGGAGCATTGTGTTAACCATGTAATTAATATCGAGGACGAGTACTGCAAACATGATGGAATTCGGGATGATGCTGTTGATTTTATTATTAACACTCTGGACGACTCTGATGAATCCGATAATGACTCCTTCGAAAGTGAAGAATCAAGTTCCACCGACAATGATATGGACATAACTGATTGAAATATAATTTTGATGATTATTCCATATAATAAATAGTACAATAGTTTATTACCAAATATTTTATTTACGTACCTTCATAGCTTTTAGTTAGTTAATTAAAATTTTGTATTATTATTAATAATTTTTCATTTAATAAATCACTATTTCTTTACTATGACGTCACATATCTTAGGAACTATCTTGGCGCATTTCATCTCGTGTGTATCTCACTAAGCGCCCCCGCCGCCCGCACCTGTCTCAGTCCCCTTTGTCGTCATACCCCCGCGCCCCTGTTACCGCGCAGGCGAGGACTCAGATAAACGGTCGGCCTATACACTTATTAATTGCATTGCATCAATGCATTATCTACTTCCCTTATTAATCGAAATTTTCAACAAAAAATGTGACCTTGACCATATGAATGTAGATTCTATTTACTATGATGAAAGATTGGTGCAAACACAGTTCAATTTTTATAACTAAATTAATATAATTGTGGACCTCAGCAACATGAAGTAAAGTGAAAAAATATACCTATGTCCAAAACATGCAAAAAGAATAGTTTTTGGATAAAAAGTTACCTCTTCATCATGATTATTAGATACTGTTTCTATTATATCTGCAATATAGGAGCTAACATCAGCTGTTTTCTTTATGGCTGATTTAAGAACTGGTGCTGTAAATTAAAGTACTTGGTTACCAATGCTATAATAATACTAATAAATGCCTATGCATGTTTAACAGTTAACGGCCCATACTCACTATCTTCAATATGTGTTTGCAAAGGAAGTACTTCTTTTTCTTTTCTTCTTGAAGATAATCGCTCCCTTAAATCAGTGGCATGTAATGGTGGCTGGCTCTTATTGCGGTATCTACCTCGTCCAACTGTATTTCTTGGCTGAAAAAACCTATGACGCCCATTCTGCATATTGTTAAGACGTGTAAATCTTGGTGCACCTGCTTGATGATCTTGTAACAATTGGTTATATCCAACATTCAATGTGGCCTGGCTCTGATTTACAAGTGGTATTGTTGGAGTAACAAAAAATTGCTGTGCATGTGGCAATGTCCACACAGTAGGATTATAAGCATTTTGAGTACCAATTAGATTAAATGCATTGATTTGATTATTCAGAGCATTAAAATCAATTGAAGATAAGTTACTCATTGGCATTGTTGAAAAGATTGCACCGGGTTGTTTTTGTGTCTGAATGATAGTTACTTCAGGTTGATTTTGTTCACTATATAGGTTGTCTGCCTGTTGTGGAATTTTAGAAATAGTAGTTTCAAATCTCTGCCCGTGGTGATTGGTTACAGGATTATTAAATTGATTACTTATTTCCTGTGTAGGTGGATTATCTTTAGGTTCTGGGCATGCTGGTTTTGATCCTGAGTGGGATTCAAGCATTTGTGTTGCCAATCTTGCTTTTTCTATCTGTTGATAAATTGAAAAACATTGATCAAGTATACAATAATGAAACAAAGTTAAAAAGTATTATCTACTTAGCAGTTAGAGACTAATGTACCACAATGATGATTTACTTAATTTTTATCTATAACAAGGATATCCCTAAACCTGTTTTTGTATAAGTCTCTAATCAAATTAAAGTCAACTACCACTATTCCTGTTTATCATCCCTCAAAGTGAATAGCACTCATCACTGTATAAAGTTTTGGTGAGTTTCTTCCTTTTTGTCATATTCTGTTGTAAACAAATAGAGATCTATTTAAGATCATATCTGTGTGTGTCCCCTCACTGTTTCACATCATTTGTTATTAAGAATGCCACCAAAAAAGAACAAGAACTACAAAATTAAATAATGACAAAAAAGTAAATTATATTTTTTACTTCAAATTTATATCAATCAGTCTTGAATTGACTGAATTTGCAGTGGATAAGTGGTACTGAGAGAGTACCTACTACTTAAAAAAGTTTGACTACATCTTAGGCGAATTTGGTCCTTTAAAACTTTTCTAGTGTGTAACGAGAGAATCAAACTTAGAGAATGTTATCAAAAATGAACTTATGAAGTTTAAGAGATACATCACTAAATAGTGACAATTCATTGAATACAATATACAAAGCGACTACAATAGCAATAATACTTTGACTCACACTTCATTTAAAGAAAACAGTTACAGTATACAGACACCTGTAACTGTTCAGGCAAATCCCTGAATACTTGAATAAATTAAATAAAATTATCATTAATTCTGAGACTTGTTGCTATAATTAATTCATTTAGCATATGAAAGCTTTAAACAGGGGTTCGCAAATGACCAATATTATTATACAGATGTCTTAATTTTAAGAGACTTAATATTTCATATAGTAAACAAAAACATTCGTACAGCTTTTATTAAGTCTACTAGATGTAGGAGTTTTGAATGTTGATAATTGAAGTGGTCATCTACATGTTATGAATACTACTAGTATACTCTTAAATCATTACCTCTAATTCACTTAGATTCCATACTGCTTCCCTGGTAACAGTATTGAAATAGTAAACAAGACCTGGGTGTGATTTGGATTGAGTTACTATCCAAGCATTTCCAACAGAAGTTACTTTTTTTCTAGCACTTTTTTCTTTATCTCCGCTCATTATGTAAGTACTCTAATATTTGTTTATTAATAATAAAGTTGGCATGGCTTTTTTACAACGTTTAACATTCTCCTTAATTATAGCCTGCAATAACACGACAATATGCAATATAGACATAGACAAATATAGAGTTGTGTAGGTGTTAGTCTAGAGTAGTTAGCGAACGATGAACGATTAGGAACCGTTCAGTTCCACTGACCGAATAGACATGTTTCATAAATGTAAATCGGTCATCGGTATTCCTTCACCACGTTCGGCCGCTCTCCAATGATACATGCGCGCTTAAATCAAACTGAACGGTGAACAGTTATGTGATCATAATGTTTCACGAGCGATAGCTTGTTTGAACGGATTAGAATACTACGTCACTCACGATGTATTTGTTGATGTATTTACTTTACGTTAATTATTAGGGTTCCGTACCCAAAGGGTAAAACCCTATTACTAAGACTCCACTGTCTGTCCGTTTGTCTATCTGTCTGTCCGTTTGTCTATCTGTCTGTCCGTTTGTCTATCTGTCTGTCCGTCTGTCACCGGGCTGTATTTCATGCACCGTAATAGTTAGACAGTTGACATTTTCACAGATGATGTATTTCTGTTGCCGCTATAACAACAAATACTAAAAACAGAATAAAATAAATATTTAAGATTATTAAAATCGTAAAATAAATATAAAACACAAAAAAAAACATATATGAAATACCAAAAAAATATTGAATCGTTGTACATATTTGATTTTCAAATACGCCGCACTAATGAAAATAAGTAAACAAACTGCCAACATTGTTTACGTATTTTGTTAGAAATTATAAATGTGGATGGGTACAGCTATTTTATTATAAAATGATATTTAAATCTAGATATATTCTAATGAAGTATAACGACTACGAAGTTTCATTTTTGTCGCAGTTTGATCTCTCACAAAATTGTAGACTCTCCTTAGAAAGGAGGTTTTGGCCTACTAAGTGTAGCTCCTGAGTGAGTGATATAAAACTTATAAAAGATGTATATCATTCACGACGATAAAATGTATCACTCACTCACACTTGCTACGAATATATCAGTAACTAACTCAGTACTAGCTCACTAGATCACTAGCTCACTAGCTCAACGACGCCGATCTTTGTTTCATGAGCGAGTGAGACTAAAGATAAATGAGTGAGATAGATGATGGTTGAGTTCACGCAAGTTTCTTTATGCAAAATGTACATTCTTTCTATAGTATCAAAGTTTAATATTACTTAAGAATTAAGTCTGAAAAATACAAGGAAAATAAAATTATGTATGATTTCTATTATACAACCTAAAAAAGTACAAGTACAAAGTACAAGAAATAATTTCTTATTTTTAATTATTATTTTAATAAAAGGATGTTATTAATTTTGTAATCTTATCAAAATGAAAACTATTGTATTTAAAAAAAATGGTTAAAAATGTGATTTCAAAAATTTAGGTTAATATGAAAATAAAGAAAGGTTTGTATGGCGAGAGAGGCTTGAAGTGAGTGATATACGAGTATACTGAGCTAAACGATCTAGATGAAGAAATGAATTAATTGAGAGACCAATCAATTGAATCGGATCAATGAGCTAGTGAGCTAATCGAGTTAGTGAGCTAGATGAGTGATATACATCTTTTGAGCGAAATGATATGTATCAATCTTTTCAGCTCAGTGATACATTTTGCGCATCACTATTGCAATAACACTTGGTGAAATAACAATTTGAATTATTGTAAAAAATTGTATATTATCTGTGAAATTTTCTTCGCAGTCTTGCCGCTTTAAAAACGTTTAAACTACGCAGTAGTAGTAGCTTACCAGTCATTTTGCCTGGATGAACATATTCTATCAGACTAATATGGTGCCAAAAACAACAAATAATCTTCTTCATCTTCAATGGCTCTAAAATAATCTTCAATAGTGATTTTCTTGCTAATATCAACATTGCACCATAGAAATTTAGTTTTAGCGGAATATAATAATATAATATTTACTACAATTTTGGTGTTCTGGACATCAAACCAAGGAAATATTTGAAAACGCAACATAGTAGCCCCCTCCATTGAATTCCAAACAAAACTAATAATTTACGATTTACTAAGTGGTAAGGAAACCGAAACGTACGTAGCCCTTTTCAACATCTCAATTTCCAGACTAGGAGCCATTAAAGTACCACTACGATTTTGCATTGTTGCTTTAAATTCGATACATAATGTTTTTCACGACATTGAGATTCAAGGGTTCTATCATCACTGGCAGCAAGCTATGTGGAGGATGGGCAAAAATATATTCGGCATTGCTAAAAGTAAACTGCTGTGAGAGAGCCATGCTTACTGTGGGAGAGCCTTGTTTTGCGGTGGGAGAGCAATGCTTTGCCGTGGTCTAAAAACGTGGTAAACTTGGTCGACTCGATACCACTGCTTCCTCGAAGACCGGCACCAAGCAGCACTAAATCACCCTCCCACTGATTCTGGGGGAGAAACTCAAAGGGTGGCAGCGCACTTGAGTTACAGTTGTTCAAGTTCAGTTACTAACAATCGGGTGATTCGTTTGCTCGTTGATCCAAAAAACACCCTAATATATAATAGTCTCACTTACAAAGTTTTTTAAAGTTCTTTAAATTTATGTCTTTTTTAAGACAAGATATATGTCTGAAAATAAATTTTGATAAAGAATAGTAAACAACACATAGGTATTTTTTTTTCTTACTCTAACCACACTTGACTAATGTCATGTCTGGTCACTGTCTAGCACTGTCTAGTATAATTAGTTATCTGCGTCTGGCATTCGCGTGCTTAGGCACGCACGGCGTTACTATTTGTTTATTTTTGGATAATCTATTCACTTAAAGGTCTTAGTTACCAGGTCATTAAATTCCAAAAAAAAAGATATTCTATTCAAAATGAATTGAAATAATTCTTCTCACGATGACCCCGGCTTGGTTTTGGACTCTGTGCCCTCACGTTGACCCTGGCAATTCTTTGGATGTTGAACCCGATTTGCATGACGACTTACGCTTGAACATGGATTTTCTGATTATGCCACATAGGTCATCAATTGTGGTATTGATGTAACTCACAGGAGATATGCTCTTAACCTAGTTGAAGTGCGACATGTAATTCTTCAATAGATTGCACTAGTAAGTATTTTATGTTTCAACTTAAATGGGCACTAAATACTATTTCGAATGCATAATATTGTTACGAGCAGGGTATATAATAAATAAAATTTGTCGGTTAATTACTTTTATTGCACTGTATTTACTAACACTCACTATAACAAAGAAGAAATCAATATATAACTCGTTAGTCCCACTAGAAATTCATTTCGTTGTCAATTGTGTCGTAAAACGATACTGTGTCGAACTGCCAACACGCTCCGCTATTATAGCGCTATCGAATTTACTAGAATTATCCTTAGTATTCGATAGCCCGTTCCGGACAAATAAGAATATTCCAGTATCGGTAAAGCGTTACTTGCAACGCCATCTAGCGCTGTAAAGTATCAGAATTATTAATCACAATCTCAATAGTTGTATTTTGCTCAATAGAAGATGGCGCCTTCCTCCTCATTCCATACAATTCTGGAACAATCATACTATTTAATCCTATGGCGCAACACTGCCCCCTCCTAAGACATGCTCGTCCCGAGCATTATCGGTCCCTTAATATCGCACCACTCTATCCACATGAACTATCTTGTGGCGCCTCTTGGACACTTCTGTATCCGGTAGGTGACATCACTGATTTTCGTCACCACTCGGTATGGTTCATCCCATTTGGCTTGCTTTACGTCATAACGGGTTTTCATCTTCTCAGAAATCTGTTCGCTTGATTGTCTGACATGCTCATATATCTCATTCATCTTGTTGTGCAAGTCATTCGCGTACTCCGTTATACTACGCGGGGCGTCAGGGGATATTCTAGTGATCAAATCTGCGGGCAACCGTATTTCTCTGCCGAAGTTTGCGAAAGCTGGTGTTACTGAAGTACTTTCGTGGACTGCACTTCGGTATGACAGAAGAAACTGTTGAATGTGTTTGTACCAATCTCTGCCTACTTGCCACATCTTTTGCCAGATACCTCTCCAGTGTTTGGTTAAATCGTTCCACCATTCCGTCCGACAGTGGGTTGTAAGAGGTTGTTCTGGTTTCGTGAGCACCCGTTACACATCTCATTAAGCAAGGAAGAAATTTTAAGTCAAATATTGAAATATTTGACTTAAAATTTCTTCCTTGGTCAATGTAAATTTCTAAAGGCATTCCAAAACGACAGAAAAATTCGTGCACTAATTTATCTGCAACTGTTGAAGCCTCTTGGTTAGGAATAGCGATGCCTTCTCTCCACTTGGTGAAGTAATCCATTACAACCATGAAGTACTTGTTTCCACTTTCACTTACCCTGCAACATCTATTGCAATTCTCTCCCAGGGTGTACCAACATTGTGCAATTTCAATGCACCCCTGCTATGTGTATGGGGTTCCTTCACGGCAGCATAATTGGTACACTTGCGACACCAGTCTTCAACATCATCACGACAATGAATTCAGTAGAATCTCTCCCTTATCTTTAAAAAAGTTGGTTTATGGCTTCTTTTGCAGCTTCAGTCAGTGCAACGTATTCCGCCTCTGCGGTCGTCAGGGCTACGCTTCTTTGCTTTTTAGACATCCAGCTTATGGCCGTTCCTGCAAATTTAAAGCAATATCCCGAAAAGGATTTTCGGTCAATCTTATTTGATCCCCAATCTGCATCTGCCATGCCGTATAATTCTTTTCCAGTTTTGTGGAACACCAGACCAACACTCTGTGTACCTTTTAAGTAACGTAGTACTCTTTTCAGACATTTAAAATGTTCTTTATCACAGTAATCGTTGAACTGGGAAAGGTAGCTTATAGCAAACATTATGTCTGGTCGAGTTGCGACCGCTATATACATAAGAGTGCCAATTAAATTTTTGTACGGGAGGCTCTTTGTTTGATTTTTTTTTTTTTTTTTTGTAAAGTAATGTCTAGTTCTATCGGTGTAGATACAGTCCCCCATTCCATACATCTTGAGGGTATCTAATATTATACGTTCTTGGTACAATTTTATTGTATCTTGGCCGTAAGTAACATCAATGCCCAGTAATCGCTTCGGCTCGCCTAAATCTTTTAGTTCGAACTTAGAGTTTAGTCTTTATTTTTTGAAGTTCTGTAGGGCTAGAGTAGGCAATCAAAAAATCGTCAACGTAGATGGCTATAATTATTTTGGCTCCTCTTATCTCTAGTCTATATAGACAAGGATCTGCCTCTGAGGGAATGAAACCAATATTTTTTAACTCTACGTCAAGTTTCTTATGCCACTGCCTCCCAGACTGCTTTAGTCCGTACAGAGATTTTATTAAACGAAATACTTTGTCTATGGGAGTACGTTTTATATCCCTTAACATTTCTTTTGTTTTATTTTAAACAGTAAGGTCATCATTTCTGCTTTCTTCGACTAATATTTCAGTCAAATACTCTTCTAAACATTCAGGATATTTCATAGCTATGTGCTCTTCCAATTCACCATTCAAGTACGCTGTTGTTACGTCTATTTGGTTTAATTTTAGATTTTCTTCCATAGCTATTCCAATGACAGATCTGATTGAGCTTAACTTAGCGACCGGAGCATGTGCAACTCCTTACGTTATCACACCTTACAGGCACAACTTCCTTTACTTCTTGCTTGGAACAGTGCTTGCAGTCTTCAGGACAAGGTCTTGTTGATATGATATGCGATTTTCCACTGTGATGTTCAATTGCAGTCATATTCCTGTAGTAGCTCAATCCATCTCGCGACTTGTCCTTCAGGATTTTTGAAATGCAGTAGCCACTTTACTACTACTACTGTGCCGTGTGGTCTGAATTTACGCCCAAGCGATTTTTTGTTGAAATGTTGCAGTGTCTTCACTACGGCCAGTAACTCTCTTCTCGTGACGAAGAAGTTTGGGTCTTATCTCTTGGAACTGGCCAATCTTTGACGGCGGTGATCTTTTGCGGATCTGTTTGCACACTCTTCCGAAACCACATATAAACATCTAGTACCTATTAATCAATAACTAGCAGTGTATTTGTTTTCTAAATAGTTTAGACTTTGATATTATTTACTAGTTTTGTCTGTGGCTTCCATCGCATTAAACTTATTTTTCTATCAGTAAAACTGTAAAAGAGTACTTTATTTGCATAAAAAACACGTTTTTCCTCTGGTAAACTTATATTACAAGCTGTTAGGCCTACTAGATTTTGTGAAAAGATTAAGAAAAGACATGTTTCCATTATCTCGAATCGAAATCCATATCACTGGAATTGTACTCAAGTTCAGTTTAATAACACGAATTTGCAAGATACTGCCAGTTAAGAAGAATCAAATCAACTCGAGTTTAATACTCGATTCTCGACTTATACGAATAGACCCTCCCAGCTTTGTCAATTGTCTTAGGGATGATCGATTTTGCAAAAACATGGATAACGACATCGATATCTGAACATCGATTCTCGATGTTTTTTGCAAACACTCATCAATAAATGGTCGTTTTAATTTAACGTGTTTTGGGTGCATACCGTCGATTTACAAATTTAGCATTCGCGTTAAAGGAATATCTTTACTGCTGGTAACAAAGCATTCTCTGCATGCCTCTTAAGTTGCGGTCTCAGTGAGTTCTATCTGTTTGGCGTTAATTGGAGGACCACTGTTATGGCAGTTTACTATTTGGTTAATAGCTGGACGCAGTTTTAAAGTAATCAGTTTCAGCTAGGATTGTTTCCGTAAATCATCACTTGCTGCAACATATTGCTTGAACCACGTGTATATTCTTTTAACGGGTGCAATCAAGCTTGGCAATTGGTAAGTTTTTCAAAAGTGGGCAAAAGAAATAACGGACTCTTTTGCCAAACGCGATATCCATAACTTTCACTACATCTGCTCCACCATCAGTTACTAGTGCCAATACTTTATTTGTATCTATTAGCCATTCTTTGCAAGTTAGTAACAGCAACTCTTGCAATGTATTCAGCGGTATGCGATTCTGCTAATTCATACACTCTCAATGTGGCTGATACCATTGTGTCTATAAAAATAATAGATTATGTGTGTGTCCGCGACGAAATTTCGATTATGTGTCCGTGACAGATGTTATGTTTTGTGTAATGCAATATCGATGTTAAAACATCGAGGTTTTATCTGTTAACATTGATTATGATCGAGCATCCCTAAATTGTCGCCATTGTCGGTATCTGTTGACTTAAAGGTCTTAGTTACCAGGTTATTAAATTCCAAAAAAAAAAAATGTCGGTATCTGTGGTCGAAATCGTCAACATTCGTTGATTAAACAATCACAGCGATTTTTGAACTCGGTTTTTATTTGATTATAATGTTTACTTCTTTTATGAATATGTATTTTATTTTGAATAACTTTTTTATTCAATATAAGTTATTATAAAATTATAAGTTATGTGATCCGTTATCGTGTCTCCCTCTCTATGAAGTTAATAAACGAATTCAAGTATTAAGTAGACCTAAGCAATGTCGCGCAGAAAATCAATTAAACAAACGAATGATCTTTTTCCAAGAGAAATTGACATTGAGATATGTTTGAAAACATTAAAAATATATCAAAAGATGGAAGGTGATGTGAACTGTGTGGTTTGGGATGCGTCTTTAGTTCTTGCCAAGTATCTAGAAACAATGTGCCAACACAAATCAGACTTTCTAAGTGGTATTAAAGTTTTAGAGTTAGGATCTGGACTAGGAGTTGTTGGACTAACTGCAGCTACTTTGGGGTTAGTTAAAATGCTACTACATCATGTTTACGCAAATTGACCTATATAATATTTATGATATTAATTTTAGTGCACAAGTAACACTTACAGATTTACCAGAAGCTTTGCCTTTGTTAAAGTTAAATATAAATGAAAATAAAGCAAAGATTGGCAGTATGGGTGGATATGCAATAGCAGAATCATTAGTTTGGGGTGAGAGCAGCGCTATTCTATTTGAAGAGTTTGATATGATTGTTTTAGCTGATTGTATTTATTATGAAGAGGTAAATAACCTAAAGGTTTATTACTTTTATCTTAGATAGTGTTTTGGACTTAAAAGAAATAATACTAGCCAGACAGGTTGGTATAGGGTTTGTATTGATTTTTTTTGCTCTTTACAGTGATGTGCTGATAAGTTTGCTCCCTTAGTCAGTTCTTACAACACCAACACTGTATTCTGTATTTGTCACCTCATGTTTATTTCTGTACTGATGTTATCTGAACACACTATTCCCTGGAACAATATCTAACATATACAATATTTTTTGTAAAAAATAATAACTAAAAGAGTGGTAATCATAAAGACCAGGAAAACTGGAGAAAATGACTGAAATTGAAAAATAAATGTTTTTTATTTGTATGAATTGTATTAAATATCTGGTTCTGAATGTAAGATTATAACAATATTATAAATTATAAATTATCATTTTATTTCAGGCTGTTGATCCATTAGTAGAAACATTGAAAAACTTTAGCAATGCATCAAGCCATCCAGTCATTTATTTAACGCAAGAATTAAGAGATACCAAACTTCAAAAAAGTTTATGGCACTCATTTTACGAAAAACTTATAAATAGTTTTTCTGTGGTAAAAATTCCTGAAGAAGAACAGCATTCTAATTACCGAAGTCCTGATATAGTATTACTTAAGCTGACTAAAAAACAATAGTCTTAAAGTAATTATTAAGTAAAATGTCATATATTATGTACAAGGTCTAGGTTTCAGATAGATATATAATATAAAATCTTGTTAAACCTTAAATCAACAAAATAATGTGAAATAATTTATTTTTATAATTGCAGGTAGCAAACTTAAATCTTATGACTGTTATTAGAAATCAAGCTTTAATTTTAGAGAATGAAATATATATCTTTTAGACTTGGTCAATAAAAATTATAATCAAAAGGTAGAGAAATTAACTCATTAATTTCATATTCATCCTTTTGTTTACATTTGGAAATCCCTCAGGCTCGAATCAAACTGACTAAAACCACACAGTGTGGCACTCTGCACCTGAAATAGGAGGGATCTGGGAGCAGCTGTTATTAGACATCCAACATGGACCCCTCCTAGCTCCTACCGGCAATAGGCTAGTTGCCTCAATTTGAAAACTTGGTTAATTAAATACTTTAATATCTATTTTATCCTAAAAAAATTATATTTTAAAGAAAAAGCAATATTTACATTACGTATTTTGTATTTAAAAAAACTATTTAAATTTCCCTTGAAAACGCTGAATAGTGTCATGGCGTCTTGAATGACGTCACAGTCTGCGAAACAAAACTGTTTACGTCTGTGTCCAGCGTCAACTATTTTCTAAAAAAGAATAAGAAGTAACCTGCTCTGTTGTATGAAAACGTCAACAACAACACTGATGTTTTGCGTGGCGCGACGTAAAATTTTCGCTGTACGGCCAGCACTCTCCGCTTTTATAAGGCTGCCGAAATAACTAGAGTAGTTTAAATTTTCAAATTTTTGATACCATTTTTTTTCTTCTACGTCCATAGGATAAAAAAAGTGCCGTTGTCCCAGCGAAAACAGTTTTTCGCAACGCACACATCTGCTATAACTCGCAATGTATTTTACGAACTCTATATACTAAACTTTAAATGCGTGTCCTAAAGGAGAGGGTATTGTCGATTATGATCCCTAGATATTTTATGTTATGGGTTTCCTGGATAGCAATTACACGTGTGCGTTAACCCAGCAAAATAATGTCGAAAATGGTCATTTAAACGTTATAGACAGTAGTTGCTCCCCTTCTGGACATTTTCTTTTTTAATTGTAATATTGAAATAAATTTTAGCTAAATAATTAGTTATTGTTATTTGGTATTTGTATTTTCTTCGGCTGCGAAGTTATTCGAAATCCTGCTGGAGTAACGTTTGTGGGTTTGCTGGATCTCTGAAACGGGTAAGCGGATTGTAACCATCTTTTGTACATAACTTCTTAAGGATTAGTTTTAATTTGTTCTACAATAAAATAACAAAAATAATGGACCGTTTAAAAATTATTTAGGTAAGTATGAAAACACTTCAATACGTCCTAACACTTTAAATAAGACCTCTAAAGACTTACTTGAAACGTTATTCTATTGCAAACCCACAAACGTTACTCCAGCAGGATTTCGAATAACTTCGCAGCCGAAGAAAATACAAATACCAAATAAGTTGTAACATTTACCTAGTCCAGATAACTAATTATTTAGCTAAAATTTATTTCAATATTACAATTAGAAAAGAAAATGTCTGGCTGCGGTAACGTTTCAAACGTTACTCCAGCAGGAAATGTTTTTTTGAAATAACTAAAAAAGTTTAAGTGAAACAAATTTAAAAATGTGCTTAACAATTACAGAAGGGGAGCAACTAATTATCTATAAAGTTTAAATGACCATTTTCGACATTATTTTGCTGGGGTAACGCACACTCTTAAGGTAAGATTACATAGATCGTTAATATATAACAGAAAAACCTAGGCCTAAGAATACTTCCATGGGGAACGCCAAAACCTGGTATTTTTTCCTCATCGCTACGACATTTCCTATTTTAACACATTGGTGCCGATTGCTTAAATAGTCTGCAAAAAGTTTAAGCTGCATATTTCTTATACCAAGAGCCTCCAATTTGTTAAGCAGTGAAGAAATGGATATAGTGTGAGGGGTGTTCAGTAATGAAAATGAAAAACACAGTGCACGCACTATCTTTGTATTATTATATTTTATCACAACAATTATCATACGCCAACACCAAAGAGCTCTCTCTCTCTCTACCAGACAAAAAAGGTACCGCCACCAGGAAGTCAAACTAACGTCCCTTACCTATTAATGTAAAATATTCCAAACACATAAATTGACATACTCATTACAATAATAATAAGAAAACCTATATATTTTATAAAGTATACTTTTGTAATTAAATATGATCTACAGTAATATTTCCAAAATAATTAATTAATGTTCAGAGAAAAGGGATAAGATAGCTATTTACAATTTAAATATGACCACAACATTATAGTGACTTTATAAATTGATAGATGGCGTTATTAAGTCTGTTGAAAGATTGGATCGGTAGATCTAATGGCTGCTGTTATACTAGTTGCATTCAATGCCGGAAGATGGCGTTATCCGTTTATTCTTGATGGTGAGGTAGGTAGATTGGTGCTTCCTGGGCTACGGCTGTACACCTGGCGACTAATTGTTACATTAGTGTCTGTACCTCGAGCACGAAAAATTTTCGAATGCGTATCGTTAACGTATCGAGTCCTCGATACGTTAACGAATTCAACATCTTATTGAATGAACTATTTATTGATTACCTTTGCCGAGTTTACTAGTAATAAAATTAGTTGTCATGAAGCGCGTCAGCTGTCGACAGTTTAGATCTAACACCATATTGTGCTGGCGAGAGAAAATTATTATCCTTCCTGTCCTTTCTTAAATTATAATCCTTTGGTAAGTTACGGACAGTATTGAATTATATAAATATTATAATATACGGGACTATAACATAGGCTACAGGCAAGAAATGTTTACTATAAAATTAAATAATATTTATGTAATTACCTTACCCTTAGCAATATACCTTGCTAATTATGGGAGATTTTAACCTTCCCGATTTAAGATGCCCACTGTTGCCAATGCCAAAGCTAATGCCAACGTTGATGCGAACAAATACACTTTGCTTTATAGTCAATTTGAAGACATGTACCTATGTAAACAGTAACTTACACCAACATGTTACAAGTATAACTAGAAAGAGAAATGAGGGATCACTAATGGATTTAATACTTTGTTAATAAGAAAACTTTTGCACAAAAGTGGAACACCAACCCCACACAGGGAACAGTGACCATCAGGTACTAGTAGGGACAGTACAAATCAGAATCCAATCGACTAGCAAAATTGCTACTCAACAACCACGTAGGAACTGCTTCAAAGCTAATTATGAGAACATAGTCCAAACGCTCGCTGACAATAACATTAAAGATACAAATATCACTGATGTTGAGGTTGCCTGGACAGACTTTACAAGGAAAACACACAATGTCATTGAAACTCACATACTACTCAAAAAGACACTTAGGATATGCAACATTAACAAACCATATATCAATCATCAGGTGCTAGATTTGGCAGAGAACAAAAAAGAACTGTGGAGACAGTATATTTTGAGTGGTTTAAATGAATTATACAAAAATAACCAATATATAAAAAGGGTGATGAACACCTGGCTGCTAATTATCGCCCAATCAGCCTCACAAGCATTGTCTGTAGAACGATGGAGAAGATTATAACTAATGAACTTAGAACTTGCATGAATACAGAAAACATCATTATCGATGAACAGCATGGCTTTGTTCCTAAAAGGTCTACAGTCTCGAATCTCCTTGTGTGCTTAGACAAATAGATAAACCACTAGGATAATCATCACTCTACCCATGTTATTTACTTGATTACGAAAAAGCCTTTGATCGGATACCTATTAAAAGGCTTAAAGCAAAACTTGAACACCATGGAATTCGTGGGCAACTCTTGAAATGGATAGAGGATTTCCTAAGCAACACAAAATTCGAAGTAAATGTAGGTGAAGCACTATCAGACACTCATAACGTACACAGTGGTGTGCCTCAGGACTCAAGGCTCAATGCTTGAACCAGTCTTGTTTATGATGTTTATAACGGATTTAAAAAATGACATTTTTCTTTTATTGTTAGAAGGCGCAGACGAGCAAACGGGTAAGGGCAGACCTGATGGAAAGTGTTCAAGTTTCAATTAACAGTCTAATAAAAATCCTATGGGAGGGAATAAATGAGTTTAAACCCACTGAAAGATTTAAACCGGGTCTTTTGCCCATCTCTCGCTATAATAAAATTTGACTACGAGAATACCATTTTTGAGATTTGTGAGATCGGGATCGGGTAGATCGGAAGGAACCGATTTTTGATCTAAGTTTTATTGAGAATTGGCCTTCTGTTCTGCCTTCCTTTTTTTGTGGTTTGGTTGGTAGACAAGACAAATATTTTTCATTATGGCAAGACCTTAATCATATGACAGGCAGTCACACACATATTTCCAATATCCAAGTAAAATGGCTGTGACCATGGCTCTGCTTTGGATTTCATTAATTTTATCAGTAATTGGTAAGAAATATATTTGTAAACTTTATATTGATGTATATCCTAAACCTCTGAAATTATAATTTATATTCAATAAATTGTAGGATCCAATGGCGTATACGGTGACGAATTCAGTATTCTTCATACCCCATCCTCCCTGAAGTTCTCGGGATCCAGTGAGGCTTCTGAAAGCCTTCTCAAAGAGGTTTTCTCTGCTGCTCTTGGGCTTTCTGTGGAACAGGTACGTACCTCATGTGAGACATATTTAAAAAAAATCAAAACCTAGTCTATCTGTTACCTAGTCTACTCCACCTCTCTTAATTTTAAGGGCACATAAGTCTGTAAATATTATCATTTATATCTGTGTTCCTAACTTTTGATATGCATAATCCTCCAAAAGTCTCACGATTTTGTTATAGATGGCACAATGGTTAGAAAGGATGGGGATGAGTAATACTTCAATTGACCATTAACTAAAATAACATATAGATATAAATTTGATAAATTCTTACCAATAAAGTTGTATTATACAGCAAAATAATTATATGCCTAGTACTTATTGCAGAATTCTGAATGGAATGGATTGTACATTGCTGATCCATTTAAGACCCCTGAAGCTATTGTCGAGGTATATGTGGATGGTGTGTCTACTCTAGGTGACTCAGTAAGTAATATCTTATTGTTATAAATCATGTAAATCCATTTTCATAGAAATGTTTTAACATTGTTCTCTTATGTTCTAGATTGGATTGAAATCTAAAACATTTCTTCTGAAAGCTGACGAGTATGAGCCAGACACTTTTGCCAATGTGAGGCATAGGATTGAGCAAAGATTTACTAAAGGTGCTAACAAAATTGTGGATGTCAATCTGTCTGATGCTGATAAGGTAAATTCTAGAAACTTTTTTTGCTAACTTCATGACTATTGTTATTATATGTAACTATGATTGGGAAGCAGATAAACATATATGTTGTGTTTAATTTTCAGTTAGCTTCCCCACAGGTTACAAATGTATTTGGTGAGATAAAGGAAACCAAGGTCCCTAAGAAATCTTATTCACATTTAAAATATTCAGTTGAAGAGCATTATCAATTCTTAGCTGAGCTTGAGAGATTGAAAGCTATCACAGAGAAGGTAAGAGTTAAAGTGGAATTAGTTATTTTATTTCTTAGTATTTTTTAAACATTTCAAATTCATATGAAACTGTCAATTATTATGTTAACTAGTTTATCAATTATTTAAACTATATTAATAAATAATTTAACAATTGAATAGTTAGCGAGGTTCAAAATTTCAGGTGCAGTCTGGCGTTATTGTTCCCGACAACATCGTTGATTTCTATAACTTCCGCTTTAGCAGTTTACATGCTCTATCTGACTATAATGGGATTAACTCCTTACAAACCAAAGAAGCTAAGAAATTGCTAGGTAAGTAAAGAAACTAAAGTATAAAAGTATTTAGTATTTTATGAAAGAATTTTTGTTGTATCCCCAAAACTAGGACTACAAACAAGCTAGGTGATCATGCCTGGTGGCACCTGGTCCATAGAGTTGGAAAGTTGTGTATATACAAAGCGGTGCATTTATTGCATGATGGAGATATTGGTATTGGTAATCAAGAGATATTCTCACCGCTTTCTACTACGCCAAGTGTTGTTGGATCGATCCCCACATGGAACAACACTGTGTGATTCACAAATTATTATATTCGGGAGTTTTCTTTAAAAAAAAAAAATAGTTGATGGTAAGTGACTACTGCCGCCCATGGACACCTGCAACTCGAAGAATCACAATTGATGCCCTTTGAGTCCCGTCCCTCCAGAATCGAATCAGATGGAGGAGAAGGTTGGGCCCTGGTATCCTAACTCACTCAAAGAACTGCTTAACACCAGTTTTCTGTGAGGCTTAGGTATCACTGAATTTGTGCCAAAGCATAGCTCTCCCACAATAAAATCTAGATTGAGTCATTTACTAACAACACCAGGTCAATAATGTTCATGTGTATTTAAGTGTATCTCAGATGTGTGTAGGTATACAAAAATGATTTTAAGTAACAATGTCAATTAAGAAACAGACTAACTGCTTCTTAATTGATAGTCGCAATGAGAGTTGTGACATAGTAATTGATTGAAGGGACACTGCACTCTGTATGTAATGTTACGAAAATCAAAATGTTCCTTTTATTTGCAGGTGAGGCTCTTCTGGAGCTTAGCAATGCTTTTAAGAAAGCTTATGATGGATCAGTACTTGTAACTGTTGTTTCCACTGATGTTGTCCACACCCGCAGAATTCGATCAGCCCAAAATGAAAATCCTGAAACTGCAGCAGTTCCAGATGCCGAGGTAATATGCAATACTAACAATTACTTAATAATAAATGTCCAACAACATGTTTTTTGCCTAATTGTATATCTAAATCATAATTGTTGTTTTTTTCAGGTTGACAATGATGGCTACAATGCTGACTACCCTGCCATATTTAACATCATTCTTTGGTTTGGTGTGGTGTTTGCATTTACTCTCATAGCCATTGTGTATGCTATCATGGATATGGACCCTGGCAGAGACTCCATCATCTACAGAATGACTAGCACCAGGATGAAGAAGGACAATTAGGTTCACATATCTGTTTAGAACTTGAGAAATGATTCAATAAGTTCTAAATGCAATGTAGTATTCTAATCCCGTTTAATCTACGTCATAATATTCGAGTGTGACGAAATTGTATCTTGTTGTGTAATAACAAACTTTGTGACAAACAGAAATTTGTTGTTATGTCATTCTGTGTAACATGAGTAATGTAAAATAATGTTAATTTAGTTGTACAGTAAATACTTTGTTAAATGCTGAAAATCGTTATTTATTTACAAATAAATTAATTCACCATGTTTTAAGTTTTAGAATAAGATTTGGTAGTCTATCCTTCTAATGGAATGTGGAAGTTTAAGGATACAATTCATATGTAAATATATTTATTAAAAATGCTTAAATATCTCGGCAAAATATGAATCAATAATTTACTGTATTTAAAGGTTTGTTTTGCTTATTAATTCATATTGGAAGCATCTCTGAGGACTTGAATTCTTTATGTTCCTAATATGAATTTGTAACAAGTTGTGGTCTCAAACACAAACCATTTCAGGTCCTTCCAATAGAATGTTAGGATATTGACTTATATTACTGTGTAGTGAGTTACCGTTATCTGTTGTAAAAATAAAACACATTCCCTGTCCAAAGATTGCATTTTTTTCTTAAACTTAATTCTAGCCTGTTGCTGAGGACGTGACACGACGCAGTTCACACTTGTGTATATCTATGTATACGATTCTATGATTTTTTCTAAGTTCTCAGTTTGCTTAGTTGTGAATAAAGGCAATACTATCTGATAATAAACAAAGTAAAGTTTTTATACTAGTAGGTAGTAGAAAAAAAAAGCCACGATGGTATATTATGTCGATTTCCTAAGGACAACCCATAGTTTTTTTATCTTTTACATATTACAGAAAATAAGGGGCAATTTATGAAGCTATTTTGAACAATACATTCCTTTTCCATAGTAGCCTGTAGTATAGTCTTTTCATGATGATAGCATATTTACATTGCACCCGTGCGAAGTCGGGACGGATCGCTAGTACTAAAATATTATATTGTACATAAGTATTGTTTAATGTTACTGAAGATGTTACATAAGATTTTTTTAAATGTTACTCCTCATAATATATATTTTTCTTACTATTACGTATTAATTTGCTGAAATAGTCTAACCCCCGGCATTAGAGCGTCCTATAGTCATCATTGTGATTCTAGCCACATAATGCCAACTAGCAGTCTCACTATTAGGAGTGGACACGGTTACTTTTTTGCCCGTATTAAGTACAGTTACCTTAAAAAAGATGTATACGTGCAAAAAGTTCCATTATAATGTGTAGATACATTAAGCCAAACGAATTATTGTAATCAAGTAAAGTGCGAAAATAGTATTTACAAAAATTAGATTTTTTGAAGTAAAAAAAGTAACGTAAAAGTAAAACGTGCTATCTACTGTTAAATTTCAATGAGTCATCATCATCATCATCATCACCTCAGCCTATGCTTGTCCACTGCGGCCTGCATCGAACGGTTTCCGGCAACCTTTACCAGGTCGTCCGTCAATTTCAATGAGTAGTGATTTAGAATCTGCCATCATTTTATTAGGTTAGCCACAAGAACAGAACTATTAATAATAACATCAAATATCATGATTTATACATCAGGAAATCATAATCTTGACGACAATTTTGACAGAGTCAACAAAATCAAATACATTTATTACCTAATTAAATCGGCAGACTTGTCATATTAGTCACTGAATAATCAGAACATTCATGAAATAAATTATTAATATTCCTACAATTTATTGCGCTCGTTTCGGCACAATTTTTTAAACAATATCTGTATACATAATTTTGGCAGAAAAGGGAGTTACTTGTACCACAAAGATTTATACAAACTTAACTTTTTGAGGGTGACTGTACTACTAGCTTCGCCATCAGTAAATCATTGAACATTATAACTTCATGTTAGTAACACGGGAAATTTCAGTTTTCTGTTTTACTACACTCACTACTAAATAAATAATTTACAAAAAAAATAGGTTGGACTAAGTATTCTTTAAGCACAGGCCAGTAACAGTAACTTCTTTTCATACTTCGGTTTACATCTCTGTAGTTCTCTGTAGTTCTCTGTTGTAGGACAGTACGCTATAGGCGACGCCGTGTAAACCGAAGTATGTACGCCCGGCTCGCTCGCTAGCTGGCATCTGCTCCCCTGATGCGACCACCCGATTGCGTTTTGCCGATCTTCCTCGGAGTAGTCGACACTCGTCTTTCGAGTAGGAGTGTAGTTGAGTTGGGAATATGATGTATATTGACGAAACTTAAGATGATGATTTAACTCAAAATGAAATTCCACATAGTTTAGCTCGCCAAAGCTTCTATAGTTTCTCTCGCCTCGCTTCGCCCCCCAGCTCTCTAGCTGACGGTGTGGCCTGCGCTTTATACTGGTACTTTACATCGAATAAAAATGTCATAACTACTTTTCATAGAAAAAGAAAATTATGACAATCAGTAAAATGTTAAGCTATTTCAGGGAATTGATTTATAAAGGATAGTCACGGTTTATTATTTAATGAATATTTAGCCGAAATGGGTATTTCTTTGGCTCTATTCTGTTCTTTAATTTTAAGTGTGATTGGTTAGTTCTTTCTATTAATATGTATATAATTCTACAATATAACGCAGCTACGTGATAACGCAGGTGATATATCGATTTTAGGCACCAACGCTGGAGCTGAGTTTAGAGTTCTTTATAATCCACCGAGTCTAAAGTTCTCGCGAACAGCCAAGACATTGGAAAGTGTCTTGAAAGAGATAATTTCTGCTTCTCTCGGGTTATCTGTTGATGAGGTACGAAATAACTACTTAACCATTTCTTTATGTAGTTAAAAAGTTCCTTATCTCCCCTCGAAGAAAAATCCATAACAATATAATATTTCCTAAAGAGTGTTTCGTAAATATCATGCGAAGAGAGTTATTACATGGCATGGTGTAGACCATGCCATGTATGGGTGTTTATCGATTGTAACTGAGCTACTCGGGAGTTAGGTATTTATTATTTACTTTTTGAGTGGAGCCGAGCGGTGTACAGTTTATCAAATCAAATCGCAAATCAAGAATTAAGTTTTCATACACACAAATCTTTGACTTGAGCGGGAACCGAACCCACGACCATAGGCGCAGCAGTCCGTTCTATCCGTTACTAAAACCACTACGCTATCATGATTATTGTGTATGGTATTATTATTATATTTCATTTATATTGGAAGTAATCGTATTGTGTAAGGGTAATCGGGCAAACGGTGGATCAGTTGGGTACAGTGAGTCATGCATACATTGACGAAACCAATGTGCTATTCATTTGCTCTAGACATGGGACAAAATCACTGAACTGTGATTTATATTTCGATTTTTGCGTAAGTACGTTAGGGTTGCTAGGTATGTAACAGTAAATCTAGTATTTTTTAAAATATTATCTAGGTAATGGTAGCTATTTATGATAAAACAATTACTAGATATACTTTAAATATGCGAAATAGGGTCTTTATGCATCGTCTGAAAACAGCTTATTAGCAACAACGCGTGAGTTAGTAGCAACCCTAACCTACGTACGAAAAAATCGAATGATAAATCACCGGTCTTTCACAGTTCACTGTGATTTTGTCCCATGACTAATTCGCTCATAAATGCCCCCCGCATGCAATCCCTTCCCTTCTCTACTAGTTCCCGCGTGGCTGTGCTCGCTCATAGGATGATGTACGACACCCGATTTTGTAGTGATGCTGTTAAAATATTTTGAAATGGGGGTTGATATTTTGTTTATAATTTCTAACTTTAATCAATATCGAATAAATTGTATAACCACACTTTGGCTTAGTTATTATGCTGCAGTATAACACATTTAGTTATAATAGACTAGATGTTTGTGTTTAACAGGTTATTTCTTGTTTATATTTAAATTAGGGCTATGGTCAAGTAATGGGTCTGATCAACTGTGCACACAGTTGATCGCGACTCACTGTGTTCTTGTTGTTAAGGCGATGCGCATCGTTGTTCTAGGCATAATCGTAATACGTAACTATTATACAAGTAGCTAATTTTTTTTAAAGGAGTTTTGTATGCAATAAGTGAAAGTACTTATTTTTTCAAACTTTTTTATTTCTGTTATTCGAAGTAATCACCCAGGCAATCAACGCATCTTTGCCAACGCATTGGCAGTTTATTGATGCACTTCTTGTAAAAATCAGCTGGACGGGAGGCAACAAACTCTTCAAAGGCATTTTGTACTGCCTCTCGGGTATTGAATTTTTTACCCACTAAAAAGGTGTCTAAATTTTGGAAAAAGTAATAGTCGGTAGGTGCAAGGTCTGGTGAGTACCAAGCAACCAGCTTTGGTCAATCGGTCGTCCCCACTGCTCCTTCACGACAATGCGCGACCCCATACTGCGCAACAACAGACAGTCTCCAAGCTGCAAGAGCTGGGGTTGGAAGCTCTCCCTCATCCGCCATACTCACTTTTCTACTTCGCAGTGCAATGCACATTAGGTATTTTAAACATACCTAGCCTAAACTGCTTTCAACTATTTTTCCTAAACTTTACTTTGCAGAACACGGAATGGAAAGGTTTGTACGTGCTTGATCCGTTCAGCACCCCCGAAGCTGCTGTAACAGTGTTTGTAGACGGGGTTTCAGACCTCGGTAACAATGTGAGTTTATTTACTTTTTAAATCATACCAAGCGTAGTCATGTAAGGGGCTTTACGCTCGGAGATAGGTCAAAGGTAGCAAGGTAAGCAGCTAGAAACGTGATATATCTCTGGAATGTCTATGAAAAAATTCGGACAGAGTCTCGCTAGCAAAAAACTGTGTCACTCATAGTCGGCCAGCTCACTGTACGTACAGGCCGGTACGCACACTTACATACATTAGTCGGCCATTACGCCCGCAAACATCAAGGCAGCGAGACGCATTACACGGCAAAAACATAAATATACGACATGTTTTGCGTGGTGAAATGTTTGGTGTAAAAACCGCACTGACCGAAAGATAAATAATTTATAATCCAGGAATCACGTTTCATAGGTAAAAATGAATAATTCAATCACATGTTTCCTGATTTTATCCATTAAAATTAACCAGGTAGAACCAAAGCTAATCGCTAAAGCTAATGGCTAGAACAAAATAATTTTAAATACTCGTAATAGAATAAAAAATATTTTTTCAATAAATTTTCTAAGGAAAATGGAGTATGGAGATATGATTGGATCCAAATAACTAGAAATTGTAATGGTAAAAAACAACACAAATAATTTAATTTAAAATAAAAATAAAAACAAAAGTCTAGAAAAGTTTGTTAGCAATGACAGTATTTTTTTAAATTTAGAATCTGAACCTACTTTCGTCGGAATAGAACACAAAATAAGTCTTATTAGATATTTGTAGCAGAAAATATTTTACGATTCGGTTTCACCACATCTCGAAATTAGAGGAAATTTAAAGAACCTTGCAAAGTAAAAGAAATTATTACAAAAAAACTCAGCATTTAGGAAATTAAACATTAAAATTTCGAACAAAATAAAATATTTTTGTTTATTGACTGTGTTTTTAGGTCATAAATTTGGCTAACTTGGCAACCCCGAAATTCATTCCGTGTTCCATTCATTCATTTGTGTTAGCGAGAGTTCCGTCCGAATTTTTTTATACGTCCATGACCTGAAACGATATTTGACGACACTTTGGAGACGATTTTATGGATACATGCCAAAACTTTATAGTTTTCAGCTTATATCCGAGGCTGTCATTATTTTTGGCTTGATTAACACACAGCTAAAATTAAAGTAATATACAGTCTGTTTCATATATTAACGCAAAGCTTTTAACATCATATTCTGCACTTTATTTCTAGACGATTTGCAAAATATGAACAAAAAATATTCAGTGGTTTAGAAACAGGATTTTTTTTTGTTTTCGTAAATTGCAACATCATGTGTACATGCAGTCATAATACATTGATCTCAGGCGGCGATCAGCTGTAGGTATACGCGGCGCGGTAATCACACGTTGCCGCTTTTACTACACCCGAATCGAACGAAATATGTTGATTATTACGTCATCACGATGCAACACGCGTTTTTAATTAGTTCATCCAGTAAGGACAGTCAGTCGGCCCTTGGCCACCGGCGAGCTTATGCTATTCCGTATCCTTGTAGATGCGCTCACGACAAATAACCGTAATAATAATATTGTTGTTGTTTATGAGATACATATTTGTTTAGAGAAGTTTTCTTGTGGTAATAATTATTTAGTCTTATTGCTTTCGTCATAATACACGGCAATGGTGTGAACAATTAATGTTATCGTGTGCGCAAGACTTCGTAATGTAAGGAGTCCTGCTAATTTTATTTTGAAAAGTCACTATTAGGTTCTGTGTGTAGTGTAGTGTGAAACTGAGTGCATTATCAGTCTTTTAATTTTATTGGGTTATCGATATCAACGTCCATAATGCCGTGAGTGAGCTTCACAGCCGCGGAATATCCTGCTATGATGTTAATTTATGGAAAACTCTATCAAAACGCATCTTTTGCTTTACGGACACGTATGGAGTCAATCGTGTATGTCCTACAGACTGCCGAATTTTTGTAAGGGCGGTACAAAGATTACGAGACAACCAAGGTACCTACTTTTTCAAGGAGTAATAAAAATCGTATTCTTTATAAATAGATTTTTAAAAGCAAGTGAAGTGATTGGTAGGTAGGTAGGTAATAAGAATGTAAAGTTCGCCGGCTCGTCGCGGCGGCGGCGCCGGCGGCGGCGTCGTTTTGATGTCGCCGACATTGCGACGCTGCCGTGTAGGTACAGTTCACCGACTCATGTTATCAATGGTGTTCTAATTCGGAAATTATTTTATTGTATTTAGTTTGTTCTAAATTTGCATTTCTGTATTTTCGTACTAATTTTTTATTTTTTTATTTTAACCGACGTATATTGAACCGTGTTATCTGTTATTTCATTTTTTGTGATATCTATTTATACACGTTGTATATCACCAACAGTAGAAGTATATGGTATGCATTAGCTGTAATGTTTTTACATTACAGCTAATGCATACTACTACTACATACTATACTATATACTTCTTAACAATATAAGATAGATAAATAGATAATATTTATATAGATAAATTATATTTTACAGATAACATCAACCATAAAATCAGCTAAAAAGCTATCTACTGCTGTTTTTTTTTAGTAAAAGTGACGAAATTGATTTAAAATTATGAGTTTATATCAGTTATAAAATTATTATACATATTATTATAAAGTTTTATATATAATTTTCGATATGGAACTGTACTGAACTTGCTGTTGAACATTTTGTAGCATATCTGCATCAGTAGCTTATGTGGGGCCTTTAGTACCTTTGGCTCTTAGGGAATACATATATTTTTTATGGAATTATGCATTTTTGGTGCAAAAAGGGAAGAACGTTTAAAGAGCGGAAACGGTCTTATGTTCCTTGAGTTGCAGCTGTCTATGAGCGGCAGTAGTCAGTGACCATCAGGAGACCACTGGTCGAGCCGTCCTATATGTGTCACAGCATGGTTCTCCCACGTAGCTGCAGTAACTTAAAAGGCAATACCTTTCTAAATATAACTTAGGTATCCTTTACTTCAAATAAAACATTTACTAAAAAAAAACTTTAAATATTCGCCTTGTTACGAAACGTGGAGAAACAAAAGAATAAGTTAAACTTTTTGGGATCCTCTATTATGGATCGATTTAAGACTAGACTACCCTAGACTTTCGATGTAATCACAATTCGTAATACAGGGGCAATATGTTTTAGACGGGTTTAGAAACTAAAATATTTCCATTGACGGTTGATGAGTACGATCCAAATATTTATGAAGCGGTAAAGCATAGAATCAAGCAGCGATTTACCAACGGCGGCAACAAACTTGTCAACATTAAACTATCTGATCAGAAACAAGTAAGTTATGTTTGTTTAGTTATGAACCACTAGAACGCTTTAATTACTGGACATAACTGGCAGCGGCTATGTCAGAACCGAATCTTCACGAGGCTCTATCAAACTGTTTTACTTTTTTTAAAGTAACATTATTTGTGTATAGATTTGTCATGAAGCATTAGAAAATCACCTAAGTTTTACTCTTCGCACCTTACAGGTGCTCGAATTGATTTACTCCCATACATTTTTCTTTTCATATCTTCGCCTCTATATCGAGGTGAGCAGTACCTACTTATTGGTCTAAGACCACTCTCTAGAACGAGCTGATTTGACATGTTCCCACACACCTACCGTCACACGTCACACATCACATGTGACACTCTGTGTTTAAGACTTAGTGTGTAGAAGGCAAGGAGAATCATCTCATATGGGGGAAAGTTGAAAAAGTGTCCAGCTGTAAACTGAAAATTGAGGTCTGGCGTACGACAAACTACTGTGTGCTGAGTTCAAATATTAAAAAAAAAATCATGAATAGAGTAGTTAGTAAAATGCCAGTATACAAAAAGTATAATTACTTTTGGCACTTTCTTTAAAATTTATCCTAGGCTACGGCAGCGCCATTCTTATTGGACTCGTTTTTACGGAGACTCATACACAGAGATGGTTCTCCTTGCCTCTACCCTCCATAGACAATTCGTTGGTTGTGCTTATGTTTTGTGGGCCACCTTTTATATTTCAGTTGAAGTCACGAAGCGTTATCGAAGTATTCGGTCATATTATAGTTACTAAAGTTGCTAAACAACCACTAGTACATTTGAAGTATTCTGTTGAAGAAGACTATCAATTCCTATATGAACTTCAAGCTTTAAAAGCTATCACCGCTAAGGTAATTAAGTATTTACCACGACACGCGTACCTTTACACAGCTCAATTATTTATTTCTTTACTAAAACAGTTTATTTAGTTATTATGCTTATTCAAAAGCCTAAGGAAATTTATTCGATATTGTCAGCTTATATAATCAGAAAACCAGAATTGGAATGTTTAGAATCTGAAAAACTGCACAAATCTTTGCTTGTCAAATACCCAATGCAAATGCTCATCGAGTAGACTAATCGAACTCATAACTGAATACTGATACTGGAAATTGATAATATTTTCCGTATCTCAATCATCTCAAAGAAACTTAAAAAATTAGGTAAGTAGGTAATCGGGCACACCGTTATTGCGGCGTTAAAACTCTTTACGGAGGATTGGCTCGAGAGGCGTCACGGAACCCTTTCATATCGGCTGACGCAGGTGTTCACCGGGAAAGGTTGTTTCATAGATCACCTGTGTCTGATCCGCGAGGAGCCAACGCCTGAGTGCCACCACTGGCCGGACCGTGGACACGTTGGCAGAATGCCCGGCGTGGGTGGAGCAGAGACGTGACCTCGTGGTGGCCATCGGAGTGGGTGTCCTCTCACTCGGTAGTATGATTGCCGCCATAGTACGGGAGCGAGAGTGCGTGGAACACCGCCGTCTCCTTCTGCGAGCAAGTCATGCTTGCGAAGGAGATGGCGGGAGAGGCTTAGAACTCTCCCGACCCGTCAGGCCCGGGAACGGGTCAGGTACCGCAGACGACTCGAGTGCCGGAGGTCGTAGTATGACCTCCGTCCTCCATAAGCGCAGGCCTGAGGCTGACAGGTTAGGTCATCTGTCACCCTAGCAGAAGCAGGCCGGAGTGGCGGCGAGACGCGCTGCCGAGCGCGCGCCCTTCTGGGAGCAAAAAGGGAACATGGGGGTTCCCACACAGGAGACGGTCAACTACACGCCGTGGATGGCTCAAGGTACGTCAGGGTACCAGGGATTTCCTTTCTAGGGTACACCTGGTTCCCCGGCTACTGGTTCCCCAGACGGCGGGCGGTTTTTGGTCGGTTCGCGTCCGACATAATCACGCCACCGGTGGGTCATGGCATTAAGTCCGCCTTTGTACAACATGTGTATTAAGTTTTAAATAAATGATATCCGAGGGGATTTCAAGGGAAAAAAAAAACAAAAAAAGGTAAGTAGGTAGTTTCTATAAATATGATTATTAAAATGGTATTTTTCATGTAAGTATATAAGTACCTGCTTACGTTAAACTTCTAAGATTTAGAAGAACATCTTATGTAGACAGATGTTCTGCACTTAGATGAGTGCAGGCCACCAACAGGCCTTAAAACAATAGCATAATAATTTCTGTAATCAATAGTTTAAGAATTTAAGAATAATTTTATTAATTACAAATAAAAAGAACGTAACGTATTGCAATCAATGACCTACATAATTGATTACAATACGTCCCGTTTCACCTGTTGTTTTAAGGGTCGCACTTTTTTAGTTTTTCACATGGATTTGTAATTATTTCTTAATTTTTAGTGCTCTTTGTTAGTATTGCTTAGTCGGTTTAAATAAAAAAAGGATTTATTTGCTTAAGTAAATGAATGTTCCTCCATCCTTTTATTTTTTGAGTAGTTCGATACTTCGTCAATTTGTGAGGATCACGGTACTTGTTCGACTTAGAATAATAAACTTTACTTAAATGAACTATGATTTTCAACAGACATCTAACACAGATATATATTCTTTAACAAATATTTTTACTTGTAATAAATTTTAGGTTTCGTCTGGAGTCATTTCTCCAGACAACATTGTTGACTTCTACAACTTTCGGTACAGTAGTTTGCATCCCCTGTCGGACTTTCACGGTCCTAATTCTGCAGAAATTGAAGAGGCTAAGCTACTTTTAAGTAAGTATAAGATATTAACCTGACAACAATCGTAAAATCGTAAAATACCTGATACAAAAATCTTAATTAAGTTGACTTTTTGTTGCATTTCATACAATCCATTTGGTTTTTTAGACTTTAATGAACAGGAGAATTAAAAGACTGACATGTTCTTTATGTTGGTTAGGTAGGTACGTACGTTTTTATTTTATTCTACGTATTTATTAGGTAGGTACGTATTTATCAGCATTGAAATCACTTTTCTTCGGTACCTGATCAGTTGTGAATCGTTTTTGTAGGTAATGCTCTTCAAGAGCTAAGTAAAGCTTTTGTAAAGGCTTACCGTGGATCAGTATTTGTAACAACTATCGTCACTGATGTAACTCATTCACGTCGTGTTGGACGATCTCCTGAAAATGATGGTGAAGAGCCTAGTGAGAACCCTGCTATTCCTGGAGGTGTTGACGGAAAAGTAATTGGCTCTGTCAGAGGCGTAAGTGGTACTTAGACATTCGCCTTAGTCAGTATCAGTTAGGTATAAAAGAGCAGGTAACAAAATGATCTATTATTTGTAGGAATTAGGATATGGTATTTTATTATTTAGTCGGCCAAAACCTCTTTTGTAAGGAGATGTCTATGTTCAGCAATGTACCATTATTATCATATTGTATTGACATTGCATTCACTCAGCATTCGCACCTTCGTCGTATTGAAATTAAAAGCTGTTCATGATGATGAGGTATTATAAAAAGTAAATGAGCCTACCTACTATGAACTCTGAAACCATGTTTTAGAAACTTAACCGCCTAAGCCGTAACCTCTAGTCGCGTGTCACAATCATTATTACGATTTGTTGGAACGAAGTTCCTTATCGCGCGTTGTGAAAGGGCTAGACGGAAAAAAATCATACAAAAATTTGGGACGCGACACTTTTTTATTAATATAAATTGACGTCTAACTGTGGATACCATACATTAAATTTGCTTTAACGTTCGCCAACGTCCATACCATGTTGAATACACCGGTTCTCGTCCGATCACCGAAGTTAAGCAACATCGGGCGTGGTTAGTACTTGGATGGGTGACCGCCTGGGAATACCACGTGATGTTGGCTTTTTGCTCTTTATTAAATTTTTTACCGCAGGTTTTTTTTTTGGTGTATTTCGTATTTTGTTTTCGTATTTTATTTTTCTTTGAATTTGAATTGTATAGTTTTTTTTTTGTGTGAGTATGTAAATGTGAGTATAGTGTAGGCTTGTAATGTTAATTCATATTTTATTATCTTTCTGGTGGTTTTGAGTGTTTCCACGGCCTACCCAAATGTCAACATTATATTTTTTTCTTGAAATTTTGAATTTAGGAAATAAAACTAAGTAAATATATTTTAAAACACTTTAATGATCAAAAGAAGTTGATGCTATGTACACTATTACCCAGATTTCAAAGTTTTTTTTTAATTAAAGTAAATCTTATTATAACATACAACGTAAGCCATGAATTTGATGAAAGTATGAACTATGATTAGTAATAATATTTTTTCGTGTCATCTTGTCAGACATTCAGCGCCATCTATCGAATAGATAGGAAATCATTTCGCAAGGAGATTTTACCAATGTATAAATTGTTTTAATTGTTTTTAACATGTAGGTAATAGCCGCTTTCATAGATGGCGTTGTAATTAATATCGTGTCAAATCAGTTTTAACTTTAAACAACTTCGTTCCTATCGGCTGTCCCACGACACCACACGGCTTTTTTCTGTGTCTATGTGTAATTTATCTATTATACCTCGAAACCTCTACGAAACTCCTCTCTCCTCCTCCATTCATCATCAACAGCCTTTAATAGTCCACTGCTGGACATAAGCCTCTCCTTAGAAAGGAGGTTTTGGCCTACTATACCACGCTGGCCAGACGGGTTGGTATAGGGTTTGTGTGGGGCGAGGCCGTAGAGGAGTGGGCGGCCTCGGTGGGCCTCTGTCTTCTAAACAGAGGCTCCACCAACACGTGCGTGCGACAGCAGGGGGGGTCGATAGTGGACCTCTCGTTCGCTACCCCTGCCCTCGCCGCACGAGTAAGGAACTGGTGTGTCCTGGAAGAGGTTGAGACGCTCTCGGATCACCTGTATATCCGATTTGAGCTCTCCCGGACCCAGGACTCCAGTAGGGGTCACGTGGCGCGGCGTTTATCCCGCTTTCCGCGGTGGGCTGTTGCCAGACTGAACCGGGACCTACTAGAGGAGGCAGCCATAATTCACTCGTGGCTGTCTCCTCAGGCTCCGACCGAGGAGGTCGACGTGGGGGCTGGCCGCTTTCGCGATGCGATTACGCATATCTGCGATGCGGCCATGCCCCGCATTCGAGGTCGTCGGCCTCCAAGGAAGGAGGTCTACTGGTGGTCCCAGGAGCTGGCGGACCTCCGTGCGGCCTGTACACGTGCCCGGAGGTCCTACACACGCAGTCGGCGGCGTCACCGTGGAGACGGTGAGGAGGACCGGCTTCATGAGGAGTACCGGCGGGCGCGGAAAACTCTGAAGCTGGCCATTAGCCGCGCCAAAGAGGAAAAGAGACAGGAGATGCTGGAGGGTCTTAATCGTGACCCCTGGGGTCGCCCTTACCGCGCGGTGCGACAAAAGCTCCGCGCGTCGGGCCCCCCCCTTACGGAGACTCTCCAGCCCAGCTTCCTGCAGGAAGTGGTCGAGGGCCTATTCCCGCAACGGGCGGAGCACACACCCCCGTCAATGGCTGCATCAGCCGGAGACGACGGGGTCAGCGAGGTCGATGTTCCGCCCGTCAGGGAATCGGAGTTGGGGGCGGCTGTTCTACGGATTCGATCCAAGAACACCGCCCCCGGGCCGGACGGGGTTCCAGCCCGAGTGATGGCCCGAGCCCTCGACTACATGTCGGACCACCTCAGGGGGGTGTTGGACGCTAGCCTGGCGTCCGGACGCTTCCCTGAGTGCTGGAAATGCGGGAAGCTGGTCCTGCTGCAGAAGCCGGGACGGCCTGCCGATTCGGTCGCGGCCTATAGGCCCATCGTGCTGCTGGACGAGGCGGGCAAATTGTTTGAGAGGGTTCTTTCTGCCCGCATCGTCCGGCACCTCTGCGAGGTGGGCCCCGATCTGTCGGACGCCCAATTTGGTTTTCGGGCGGGGCGTTCGACAGTCGACGCCGTGTTGCGCCTGAGGGCCGTGACCGAAGAGGCAGTGAGCTGTGGCGGCGTGCTGTTGGCGGTGTCATTAGACATCGCCAACGCATTCAATAGTCTGCCATTCAGCTGCATCAGGGAAGCACTCCACTATCATGGGGTGCCAAAGTACCTGAGGCGGCTAGTGGCAGACTATTTAGAGGAGCGTACCGTCGTGTACGAGGACCGAGAAGGTAATTTGAGGAGTCGGCCCATGTCGTGCGGTGTTCCACAGGGGTCTGTTCTTGGACCCCTCTTGTGGAACATAGGGTACGACTGGGCCCTTCGCGCCGATTTCCCCCCCGGGCTGGGTGTAATCTGTTACGCAGACGATACCCTCGTGACAGCCCGGGGGGCAAACTTCCAAGAGGCGGCGCGCCTGGCCACAGGGGGAGTCTCCCTGGTGGTCGGGCGCATTGAGGCGCTGGGCTTACGGGTGGCCCTAGATAAGACGGAGGCCCTGTTATTCCATGGGCCCCGTCGTGGTCCACCCCCTGGCGCCTCAATCGTGGTCAACTCGGTCCTCGTACCGGTTCGGGCCCAGATGAAATATCTGGGCCTGATCCTCGACGGGAGGTGGCTCTTCGACGAGCACTTCCGACAGCTTGCTCCAAAGCTGGTCGGCGCTGCGTCTGCCCTAGGGCGACTTCTGCCCAATATGGGTGAACCCAGCGTCGCGACAAGACGGCTGTACACGGGGGTTGTCCGGTCAATGGCACTGTACGGTGCACCGGTGTGGGCGGCGGCTCTGACCGCCCAGAATAGGGTACGCCTCTGGCGCCCTCAGAGGGTAATGGCGGTCAGAGCCATACGCGGTTACCGCACCGTTTCGACGGAGGTGGCATGCGCATTGGCCGGAACTCCCCCGTGGGATTTGGAGGCGGAAGTGCTCGCCGAAGTTTATCGGCGAGTGGCTGACTTCCGGGCGGAGAGCGGATTTCGCCCTCCGCCCGAGGATGTGCGCGAGTGGCGCGAAGCCGCTCGCCGAGCCACGATGGCTCGTTGGTCGTTCCGGCTGGAGACTCCACGCGCTGGCTTCGCCGCCGTGGAGGCTCTCCAGCCGGTCATCGCCGAGTGGGCAGGGCGGCAGCACGGGACCCTTTCCTTCCGACTGACGCAGGTGCTTTCCGGGCACGGTTGCTTCGGAAAGTACCTGCACACGGTCGCCAGGAGGGAACTGAGTCCCGCCTGCCACCACTGCGACTGCATTGAGGACTCGGCCCAGCACACGCTGGCGGTCTGCCCCGCATGGGCGGCGCAGCGCCGGGCCCTCACTGCAGTCATCGGAGTGGATCTCTCGCTACCGGCCGTAGTACGCTCCATGGCCGGTAGCGACAGTTGTTTTACCGCGGTCGCAACCTTCTGCGAGGTAGTAATCTCGCGGAAGGAGGCGGCGGAGAGGGCCCGGGAGGACGACCTCCACTCGGACCCGATCCGCCGCCGGCGAACCGGGCGGCGGAGGCCCGCCTATCACAGCCTCATGCCGCCCTGAGTGTGGCCGCGGGTGGACGGGGTGGGTTTCCCCTCCACCCGCATTAGTTTGGCCAGCCGCGAGGGGGCGGCGTCCGCGTGTGCCGGACGTCGCCTATAAAGAGAGGAAAAACATCGAGACGGAGCCCGCACCAGGAGCGGGCTGGCGCTAGGAGGGGTCCGGATGTCTTAACAACAGCTGTTCCCGGATCCCTCCTGTTACAGGCGCAGAGTGGCACACCGTGTGGTTTTAGTCGGTCCGAGTCCGACACACCACCCCGCCGCAAACCCCGGAGGGGTGACGGTCCGAGGGGATTTCCACACGTTAAAAAAAAAAAAAAAAAAAGGGTTTGTGTCAAGTTTTCCTTCTCTCTGCAGTGCTGTTGTTCTGCGTAGTTTTTTCCCTTAGTAGGCTCTTACGACACCCACGGGATGAATAGGGGTGGTGACACTCTGTATTCTTAATCCGTCACCACACGGACCCCTCCTCCTTTACTTTGTATTAATGTTTAATCTTTAAAGTTGATAATAATATATGACAATTTTATGTCTATGTGGACGTAGGTACCCATTATACCTAATGTAACTTTGTTTGAACATAACAAACAAAATAACATGTTTATGTATAAGAACCTTTGTTAGTTTTGTTGTAGATTTTTAAGTATTATTCTGTAAGAAATGTCTGTTCGTCTTTTTTTTTCTCTTCTTTTTTAAGTTAAGGGAAGCCTTACGCTCCCAACGCTCTTTTATTACTATGCTTTCCGTGGCAACCTGTAATTAAGGCAGCACTAATGGTTGTATATCACTGCCATTGTATCTCTTGCTTTTAAGGTGTATCTTCTTGTTGGTTGTCCAAATAAATAAAATAAATAAATAAACATAGGTAAACTACATAAAGGTTCTAAATAACTTATGAAGTAACTAAAGAAATTTCATTTGCTTTATTTTTTTTTACAGAGTGACGAATTCGACGCTAACTTTTCCGTAATGTTTAACATTATGTTTTGGTTTAGTTTAGTGTACTGTTTCTCTCTAATAGCCATTGTGTACACCGTGATGGATATGGACCCCGGAAGAGACACGATCATTTATAGGATGACTAACGTTAGATCGAAAAAAGACGTTTAGAATTGTCGTATGTAATGCATGTAGATAAGTTCTAATTATATTACTTACATTTATGCATTAGGAGCGGATGATGATTTCAAATACACTCGTAGTGAAATTGGATGTTTTTGATTACAATAATCAGTGATGTGAAAAAAATATGCATAATGACATCAGTCAAAAAAGCGAGGCAAGTGCAAGTCTGACTCGCTCAAGGGTTGAATAATACGAAGTATGCCGTTCGTCCATTTGAGAAATTAAGATTTTCTCCAGTCCCTTCAGTCACTACACACGAGTTTGTTGACGTACAAGTCTGTAACATTGATGGCATCATGTTGCCGGATTGACGATTTTAAGATAAGTAGGTTATTTTTATATGGTACCTAAAATTCCTTAAAAATACCTACTTATTGCCTACTTTTTTTTTCATAACTCACAGTCACTTATAGATGACTACAAAGTACGAACATCAATTAATAAATACACAATAATAGTTAAAAAAAAGAAGCCCAAAATCGATCTAAGTGGCGTGCAATGGGAGAGGCCTATGTCCAGCAGTGGACTGCGATAGGCTGATGATGGATGATGATGGAATCATAGTTATATAATTATAATCTTCTTACGCTACTACTTACTTACGTATAGAACTGCCTACTAAGAACAATTTTTAGAAAGTTTTATGATTATTCGGAAACGACCCTAAGAAAATCTGTTTGTAATGAATGACACACATATTTAAGCCCTCTGCAACGTGTATTGACACACATATTTTAGCCATCTACATATTATAGTCGCGGTCTCAGGGAAATGTGAGTGGTGGTCGATGCCATCAAGCCGAAATTTGGCTTAAAATTTGGTTTAAAATTAATAAAATACGTACGTTATCCTTATCTTGAAGTCTCTAGAAAAACTGAGATACGCGTCATACTTTTATATTTGTTGACGACCGGATGGCATGGTGGCTTGTGTAACGGACTGCTATCCCAAAGGTCGGGGGTGCGATTCCCGCTCAAGTCAAACATTTGTGTGCATGAACATTTAATGTTTATATGTTTGAATTTTGCACTTAGAGATTTGAAATAAATTGCATGTGTAGGTACTTAGTTTTTCAATCATTTACAAAAAAATATATTATTGTTGTACGACCAATAGGAGCGAAAATATATTATTGTTGTACGACCAATAGGAGCGAAAAATTTTTTTTTTCAATAACCTACACATAACGATCGCTGTGTTGTGTATTTTGACTTCGGACCGGGCTAGTTCTTTTTTTCAATACTTACTTTTTTTCGCAAAGATTTCGGCGATCCTTTCGCCACAAACGATATTATAATAAACTACGCAAAATCACTCGCCAGCCGGCATCGACCACTAATTTCCCTAATTTTCATGTCTGTGGGGCTGCAAATAATAGTATAAAATGAAGTCCCTTCCTGTTTCTATACGATTTGATCTTTTAAACTCGAGAATTTCAAAGATTTGTAATTTAAAAAACATGTTTTGGGCACTTACCTACATTGCAAGCACTGCTACTCGTAAACCTTTAGAGATACTACGGAATCATAAATCTTAAAAAGATCTATAAAAAGGTTCGGAATGCTTTGTCTTTCTCCTAAGGATAACCGATTCACTGGATAATCCACAGTCTTAGATAGATATAAAGAAGATAGAATAAAAAGCTCCGTATCCTAAAGCTCCACATCAGCGACAGGCGACGCTGGGATCTTCCTTTCACGGGTGGGCCAGCAAAAAAAACATTTAACCATTAACATTTTCGCATTTTAACCCAGTTTACCGGCCTGTAGTGCCACACACTGGCGATGATCTGACGAGCCATTACAAGATGTGTCAATTCATAAGTTAGAGTAAGTCGTAAGCAGACTTCACCGCCTAATCGATTTTGCGTGATCCAAGTCCGTTAGTCGCTAAGAATCACCACCTCTTCCGATGGGATCTGCTGCAGTTTGTAGCTAAAGGTGTCTTAGTAAGAGTGCACTTTTCAAATTTAGAATAACTTTTTTACGTGCAAGTGGCACCTCTGAACTTTGTTAGAAAGGAAAGTTACGATGAAACCGCTCGCAAACTTTGCCAAATTTTTAGTCGAGAAAGTGCACCTAATGTGTCAACCATTCGAAGAGATAACAAAAAACAAAAAAACCTGCGCTCAAATCAGATATACAACCCGTCATCGAATGAGAGCCACATCTCTGTGTAAAAGTCATGGAAAAATTCATGAAAAGAGTAATGCCCTGTCATCAGAGCCTTGGGGGCCATTTGCCGGATATTTTATTCAATACTTAATCGGAATATGTCGTCCAATAAAAATATCAAACTCATAAAATACGTAAAAACACGTTTCAAACTCTCATACACGTGTTTTTATTTTAAAATGAACTCTTTCTCTTACTGAGACACATTGTTCCTAAAACAGATTTTAGTTAACAGAAGAGCAGGGTGAATATTCCTCAATTTCCTCTCACAGTCAGCAGTCAGTCAGTATGGAAGATTCTTTCTCTGGCTAGTGTGATCTCGCTGCTGGCGTCTCTCAAGGCGGTATTCTTTCACCTCTTCTATTTTCCATCTTAACCTTATCAACCTTAGACTTCAGTGTTCTTATCATCTCTACTATCTGTACTATAAAACAGAGTGGTTCAATATATCGTCTGCGGTTTCGATTGTAAACAGTGACCTAGCAGCTATTGAACATTGGTACGATATGTTTGGCGTATCGGTGAATCCGAACAAATGTCAGGCCATTATCATCGGGAGTAACCGTGGTATGAGCCAGCTTGAGACCTTCCACCTCTTTCCTACGATGGTATGGTTATTCCATACTGTGAAAGCGTGAAAGACCTCAGACTATACTGGCGGAAACAAGTTGCACCTGTGTGCCAGAAAGTCACAGGCTCCTTGCGGGCCCTCTATAGGCTTAAGAACTTTTTGCCAGTGAAAACTAAGGTAATGCTTGTTCAGACTCTAATATTCATTATAATCGACTATGGCGATATGTGCTACTTTGACCTGAATTCAGATCTACACAAGAAGCTTGACCGCCTTCTCAATTATTGTATTCGATTCGTTTTCAATTTACGCAAATATGATCACGTGTCTCAGCATCGCTCCCTTTTGGAGTGGCTTCCAATTCGCTAACGCAGAGAGACACGGGCATTAACTACTATATTCATTACTCTTTTCTCCAAGTTCTCCTTCTTACTCAACTAGTCAAATTCAATATTTAGGTGCAAACCACGCCAAAACGATTAGATCTTCAAGCAACCTAGGTACTTCTTTACTGTATTGTGTGTGTGTGTTAGTATCAATTATTTATCAAAAAATATTCTAATGTAATTATTATAAGTACTCTGCGTATATGATATCCTTTTTTTTTTCCGTGCGGAAATCCCCTCGGATACCACCTGTCGGTGGCATGTCGGATTCGAACCGACTAAAACCGCACGCCGTCTCGGGGTACTAATAACCGGGGAACTAGGTATACCCTAGAAAGGAAGTCCCTGGTCTACAGACAAGTAGACGATCCCCCCGTGTGGGAACCCCATGTTCCCTGTGCTCCCTGGAAGCGAGCGCGCTTCGCAACGCGCTCGCCGCCACCCCGGCCTGCTTCTGCTAGGGTGACAGACAGAACTTTTGCACCCAACAAAACCTTCCAGCTACTTTTAAAAGGTAACCTCAAATCACCGCCAAGCATTAGATTTGACAATGTTACTGTAAAAAATAAAACCTCAGTGTGTTACCTAGGATTAGTTTTAGAAAGAAACTTTTCATTTATCGAACATATTAAAATAGTTAATGAAAAGTCTAAAAAGAGTTTCTGTGCATTGACAAGGATATCAACTGCGACATGGGGTCTATCATTTAATACATTAAAGATCATATACGGAGCTACTTATTTAGGTTCTATGTGCTATGGTGCACCTGTATGGGCCGATAGGGCGACCGTAGGCGCTGTCCGTCGCAAACTGTTACAAGGCCAACGACTTGCACTGATATTCTTGTGTAAGGCATATAGGACGGTTAGCACTGAGGCTTTACCGGGTGTTGGCGGGTGTGCTTCCGGTCGATCTCGAGGTGCAGAGACGTGCAGCCATGTACTATTCAAGACAACAAAACATGGAATGCGATTTTTTGGGCGCGCGGGATCGCGGTAAAATTACAAGATTGCTTCAACAGCAGCCCGATGTCTATAATGACCTCATAGACGAATGGCAACAACGCTGGGATGAATCATCCAAGGGGCGCCATCTTTACCAGTTCTTTCCATCTGTTCGCGAACGGTTGTCGAGGATATGGCTTGAGGTGGATCACTGTGTCGCTAAATTTTTTACGGGTCATGGTAACTCTCACTATGAACAGTCTGCTCATCATATCCTCTGGGAATGTAGTCTTTGGTATAATGAACGTAATATAATGCTGAATAGCTTGCAGGTGACATCTGGGGCGGTATACTATGGGGATCTTGTGTCAACTAGGGTGAATTTCCGTGCGTTTAGGCGATTCTGCCATACATATTATAGAAATCAAACATAGCTCACGTAGGACCCGTAATATTTGTGGCCGTGGTGCTTCCCTGTTTAAAAGGGTGTATGCGTATTTTACTTCATTTTGTCTCCCGCTTTGCTAAGGAGGGAAGTGGATTTACTGTATTTCCAACTCCTCCAATTTTCTTCTGATTAATTTCGTTGCGGGTTCCAAGACAGTTTAATTTCTTCCTGGGACTTCCCGAGTGTCATAACTCGGTGTGTTCGTGGGTCACTGCTGTGGATCCTGGTGTACAGGAGTTACAGTGGTGGGCATGTGGGTGGGATTAGTCCCAATAAAAAAAAAGATGGCCTCACCTGTAACCCCCAGGCCTGCGCTTATGGAGGACGGAGGTCGTTCTGCGACCTCCGGCGCCTGAGTCGCCTGCGGTACCTGGCCCGTTCCCGGGCCTGGCGAGCCGGGAGAGTCCTAAACCTCTCCCGGTCCCGCTCCGCCGTCTCCTTCGCGAGCATAACTTGCTCGCAGAATGAGACGGCAGAGTTCCACGCACTCTCGCTCCGCACGATAGCCGCTATCAGGCTATCGAGCGAGAGAACTCCCACTCCGATGGCCGCCACGAGGTCTCGCCTCTGCTCAACCCACGCCGGGCACTCTGCCAGCGTGTGGAGAGCCGTGTCCACGGTCTGGCCATCGCAGTGGTGGCACTCAGGCGTTGGCTCCTTGCGGATCAGACACAGGTGATCCCCGAAACATCCATTCCCAGTGATCACCTGCGTCAGTCGGTATGAGAGGGTCCCGTGACGCCTCTCCAGCCAAACCTCCATAACGGGTCTTACCGCCGCGGTGACGGCGTGCCCGGCGCTCGGTTGCCCGAGTCGTTCCTTCCACTCCCCTATGATGACCTGGCGGAGTTGGGATTTCCGGCCATCGATTTCTCGAGTCTCGGGACACCGACCCAACTCCCGCGCCTCCTTGCGCCACTTATACAGAGCCACAAGGGCTCTCGCCTCCAGGTCCTGCGTATATGATATCCTGTATATGCTATATTTTTCATAAAATAACATTTTAAATTTCTTTTGTGCATCTACCATGTTTTGGCTCTGCATCGCCCTAAGGTTGACTAGGAGAAAATGGCTTCAGCATTAAGTCCGCCTGTACCAAATTTGTGCATAAAGTGTAAATAAAAATACTCGAAATTGTACATCGAAGCCTTATATGAATAATGTAGTGCTACAAAGCGCATATATAATATACTGCATCATGGCTGGTTTTTAACATGCCAGCACTAGTTATACGCCATCCCATTAATACTGCAACTACTATTCCTTATTTGTACTCGGTGAAACTCGGTGAAGGAGGCACCGGCCACGAGAAAAGTGCACCGTTTATTTGGTATGTTATTTACCAGTGGCGGACTTAGCCATTGCGAGGCCACGGGCGCGGCGGGTAGATCAATGCCATGCACCGGGATGTGAATGTGCATTGAGTGATCCTCTCTTCAATTTTAACTCAAATCGAGAAGTATTTAATAAAATATAGATAAAACATTATGGCAAAGTTAAAAAGTTTGTTAAACCTGAGATATGGTCAATAAAGTAGATCATTCAAACCACGCGCTTTAAGGAAACGTCATAATGCATATCTCAAAATATATAGTCCTTGCACTTCTTATTTAAATATTGAAAAATAGGTAAAAATTATTACCAATTTAAAAGTTCCCTTGCACGTAGTATTCCGAATTTATTACGATTGATTTGGATCACTCATACTGCATATGGGCCGTATGAATGAATAATAAATACGTATTATTTTTGTTGTGTAATATGACTAAACTTCATAATGAATTGAGTGAATTTGTTAAAGAATGATTGTGACAAAACTTATAAGCTGAGGGAAGAAATTAACCTTTACTTTTTCATCTAACATGCCGTCTAAGAGTTCCATACTTCGACTTCTACATACATACTTCGTAGGCAGGCTAAGATTGTATCCAAAATTGTTATTTGTTGTTTACTATACTTTAATATATTTTGTACTCTTATGAGGGTCATACTTTAAAAAACACCACGGTTCGTTCATTCCTAAAGGAAAAGAAAGTAGGGTAGATATATTTTTATTTTGTGAGACTGTTTTGATCAACAACCCACATCAACATCTTTTAGTAGTTCACTGCTGGACATGGCAGGAAGTTTAGGAAGGAGATTTTGGGCTATAATACCTACCACGCTGACCAGCCAACAGGTAACAGTAATTTAGGTACAGGTAATTTCTTCCTTCAGCTTACAATGTCTCATTCTTTAACAAATTCACTCTTTAGTTTAGTCATATTACACAACCAAAATAATACGTATTTATTCAATTCGTAATAATGATGTTTAAGAGAACTCACACAGCTCGTGTGCGGAATGAGTGATCCAAATCGTTCGTAATAAAGGAGAAGCAGCCTGGATGTCCACGCTCAGGTGCATGGTGTTTTACTGGGTACAAGTAAATCGGTACTAAAAATAATAACTTAAACTGGAGTCTTTAGTATTAAAGGGTATTATTTCAACAATAAAAAAACTTACATTGTTATACTTTCATTTACGTTTTTTATTTAGAATAAAAATTACAAAATATATTTAACAGCACCTTATGAATTTTAAACTTACAGACTATATAAATTGATTAATTTAAAGTATATTATATTACGTACATTAATATATTAAAACTTAATCTTATTAGAATTAATTATTTAGGCATACATAAAAAATGAAATAAGGCACAACATTTGTAATTATTTTGTGGCATGGGATGTTTGGTAGTACATGGATCTATAACATGTCGTAAGCTAAACCAATTGAAAATATAGCATAATAATATAGCAACGTTATACCTTGCAAAGGTATAACGTTGCTATATATAGCATAATAAATTTATAAGGCATTATAATGATAGTCGAATTAATTACTTCACCGATTACGATTTGTTTAGTTTGCTGCAAGATTTATTACATCGAATAAGACAAGTTAGGGAAATATGAACTTTGAAAGCAAACTACTTAAAGGAGCACAATTATTTTACGGACTACTCTGCTAAAAATATGCCGTTTTGAATTCTGCTGACAAGAATGATCATGTTTTCATAAATAGGCAGATAACATGAGCAAAACCTATGGTGGCTTCGCTGGCAACCAAATTAGCAATTCACATGTTTGCTAATTTAGTGGTAAAAAACTAATATTATTATTATTAGATTAAAGTTATTTACGGGACACAAGAAAACGTAAGATCTTATTAGTATAAAAGTGGATTGTCACGTGTATTAAAATACGGTGATAGTTGAGGCTAATCAGCGTCGAATGGTATAGTGGTGGGCGCGGCGCAGCCTACGCCGCAGCTCTGCGGGGAACTTCTCGTAGCAGCGGCGACACGCGGGACGTTCGTCGTACTCGTAGAACTTGCTCCTCGTGCTCAGCGCCGTGTCGCACACGGAGCAAGCAAAGTGGTGAACACACCAAGCTTTGTTTAGTGCGGTGAACACTGGAAAAAATACAATATTGTTATACAGTGCATCCTGTGGGTGTCGTAAGAGCCGACAAAGGGAGAAAACTACGCAGAACAATAGCACTGCAAAAAATACAACATTATTATACAATGCATCCCGTGGGTGTCGTAAGAGCCGACAAAGGGAGAAAACTACGCAGGACAATAGCACTACAAAAAAAAGGGAAATTTGATACAAACCCTATACTAACCTCTCTATTTAGTATATATCTCTGGTATGGTAGGCCAAGACCTGCTTTTTAAGGAGGGGCCTATGTTCAGCTATTAAAGGCTCCTATTTTTATATAATTATATGGCAATACTAGTAGGTAAGAAAACATCTCGAAGATATGTATGTCTCCTTTAACGTTTTTATATTCTAGTGAATCTGATTTACATTTGTATTATATCTACGTCTTAAAATTCCACATGTTATGGAATAATAATAATAATATTACAATATCTTTTTGATTTACAGTACCATAACTACATCATCTTTCATAAATTTATAAGTTTTTGTATTGCACGATTCATGGTATAGATTAAAAAAAGACATTACCATCCCCAGCGATGACTTGGTTGCAAACATAGCACAAGTTACCAAACAGCTGGTGATAATGTTGTTCGCAATACGCGAGGCCCTTCTTCTCGTAGTGGCGATGACCGTGGAATGGCTTCTCACACTTGGCGCAAACAAAGTGCTGGAACAAATTAAAATCAATTAAGTAGTTTTTGTGTAAAGACAAACACCCATATATCGATCCTCACAAACTTTTGCGTATTTAATATTAATGGGATAATAATAAACGTTTTGCTTTTTGATTTTAGCTAAGAACTAAAGTCCTCGCTGACATTCAAACTGTTTTTAGTTTTATAATACGTACCTCAACATGCCAATGTTTGCCAAGAGCTGTTACAATTCTCTCCTCGATCGGTCGTCGGCAGGCTCCACAGATGGGGATACCCATCTTGTCATGGCAACGGAGACAGAACAAATTATTCTGAAAGTAAATAAGGTCATATATTTATTTTATAGCCACTGTTATTATTATGTAACAGTTTTAGTTGAGAATTTATCAATATATAGTATATTATTTCTATGTTGAACTTATCATCTCGGCCTAGATTCATATGACTTTTACACTCACCACGTCATTGGCGGCATATCCGGGGCGATTTTTAACCTCTCGGGCAGTGTGGTCCAGTTCCACGCCACACGTGGCGCAAGTAAAGTGGTAACCATGGTACACTTCTCCACGATAACGCAAAGGTTCACCGTCGATCACGCCACTGATAAAAATAAGAACAAAAATTTAAATTGCTGTCGATTTGGACGTAGTCTAACTTTGTGTCCAAATGATTGATCGAAGTAAGTTACTTATAGGTATTTTTCCTAAACGGGTTTCCACCTCTCTCTCCTGCCCTGTTTTGGTACCGCATTCTTTATTTTTAAGGAATATACTGTAAATGACGTCGAATGATTGAATACTTACTGGCATTTATGGCACATGTAGTTAAGAAGCCCATCGGCTTTGATACGTGCGTTGCAGCTATGACAGAGAGCACGTCCACCATTTTTAATGAATCCTGCATCGGCTAATTCAACGTTGCACTCCTCACAACGGAAACAAGCTGGATGCCAGTTCGCATTCATTGCTTTTATTACTCGACCAATCACAAATTCGCCTGTAACAAAATATTGCCTAATCACTAACATTTTGTGACATTGCTCATCATAAATAAACTTTAATGCAAACCAGAAACTTATTAGAATTATTTATTAAGTGTGCAAAATTTATCTACAAAATCAGTATTATAAATTCGCAACAACAGGCTACAAAACATTAAGGTCAAAATATGTATTCAGAATTTTCTCGTTGAGGTAAATCAATCAAATAAATAACTAATTAAATACCGCATTTTCCGCAGCAGGGCGCGAACAAAACTTGGAAGTCACGTTCACAATATTTACGACCTTCAAATTCATAAAACACTCCTTCAGGAAAAACCCGGAAACATTGAGCGCATCTGTAAAAATAACTAACATTGTAACAAATAATGGTCATATAGAACAAACTATGACTTTTGTTTTCATATCACATGGTAGATCATGGATTTGATCGTAATTTGCCATGAAACGCCTATAAACTATTTATCAAAAATATTTTTATCAGTCGGTATGAGTGCAGTATAAGTACAAAACCATTTTTAGGTCAGATTAGTTACTTGCTTGGAATTACTGTACCTCACTCATACTTTTTGGGAGTCAAACTTAGACTATGTATAATGTGGAACTTACACAAAGCAGTTGGTGTGCCACAGTTCTCCATTAGAGTTGACTATTTTTTCATTGGCCTCAAACCCATCTCCACAGCGGGTGCAAAACATATTGTCGAGAGACATGTTGGCTATTCTGTAAAAAGATATCCATGTGGGCTAGCCATCAGTTTGCTAAATACAATAAAATTCCTACTGAGTTGTCAAATATTTAATGTTTGTATAAGGTGGAAAAAATTATATGCGTTTGTTAGATCTAGATCAAAACCTTCTGGTATTTTGTGGTATTTTAACAACACCCAACTGGAATAGGATACTATTGTTGAACTTCTACTGTTGTTTAAATATTTTTTTTGACATTTTCTCTTTCATTGCCACACACTTATCCTCAGAGTAAATTAATAACAAAAAAAACATATTTAAAAGTATATTCAAAACAACATATAATTTATTCATATTATTATTGTGATTTATTCATTACATTACTAACTCTATGACTATTTAACATTACTGTTATTACAATGAAAGGGACTACAATAATAATATATATATTACCACAAAAGAAGTACACATAATAAAGCTAAAGGTTTTGGTTTGAAACCTGGTTTGATTCCTCCAGACTTGAATTATCTTTTAGGGTCACAGAGTATATATTGGGGCAGATTGTTAGCTATGACACATCACCCCTTAGTAGCAAATGTGACCATAACCATTCCACAGGCAGGTAGGTTCGGCATCATATTATATGTGTGTTTTAAACATGTGTATTTGCATACTTTTATCCCATTAATTTAAATAGAATATTAGAACAACATTGCTACTTGAATATTTTGAAGTCTGTGTGGTGAGGGATTAAGAATATGGTGTTTCACCACCCCTATTCATCCCGTGCATGTCATAAGAGCCAACTAAGGGAGCAAAACTACACATTACAATAGCACTGCAAATAGAAGGCAAACTTAAAACAAACCTTATACCAACCCGCCTGGTCAGCATGGTACAGTAGACCAAAACCTCCTTTTTAAGGAGAGGCCTATGTCCAGCAGTGGACTATGAAAGGCTGTTGATGATGATTGATGACAGGGTTAACAGATTAATATTATTTTACATCAGTGTAGTGCCATATTTTTATGTCCCAACATTAATATACAATATTTATACACTATACTAATGGTTGTTTAAACAAATTTCCCTCCTTCAAAAACACATTGTTCAGAATTGACACACGAGTTTTACACATGAAATCACAAAAATGGAAGTCAAATTTTATTTTTTTTCTGTATAAATTTGCAACTAAGATTAGCATAATAATTTTATTGGTATAGGAATAGAAAACATTTGAAAATGCTAGTTTTTGCTTATTTTAATTTATCCCCAGCCTTTGATAGCCCACTGCTGGATTGGTCTATAGGTCTCTCCTAAAAAAGGTTTAATTACTTGATCAAAAACGTGACAATGTGTTAACTACTAAATTTACTAGAAACAGTCAAATTGGAACAACTGTGAAAACGATTTATGATAGATTTTTGATGTGTTTCAATGTCATTTAAAGGTTGTTAATGGTTAGGTTTAATATATAATAAGCTTGTTTTGTGTGGAGTTAGAGCACTGTAAGCCAATTAAAAAAGTGAGCTCATCCAGTTTAGCGGTAATTTTTTACATATATGGTATCATAATACTAACTTTTAATGAAGCTGATAATTCATTAATAACAATACTGAACCTTGAATATGTATTACAAGCACTTTGAATTTGGACTGGAATTTGATTAATACAAGGTTTAATATAAGTATGAAGGTGCCTGTTATGACTAAGAGCAATCTGTGCGAGTAGGTTAAACCACTCCCACGATTACAGATGTAGCTTACCCTGGCATTTTTCACTTCTTAGGTATATTAACAGGATTATAACAACTCGTCGTACAATATTCTGCTAAAAAGAAGAAAAAAATGAGCACCAAAAGCCGTAATACGTATGGGACTTATTGTGCCTAATTTCCTTCTACGGAGCCAGCTACGGATAATCTAGTAGGTACCACTAACTATGATGTAATTGGGTCCAAAATAGAACATATATATTTTTTAAAGATAACTTACTGTATTTCACAATAGGACAAATTGTAAATGTTTCACAAATGTAAAACTATTCAAATATTTTAACAGTAAAAAAAAACACTTCATCCGCACGAAGTACAAACATAATATAATAAAAATATTACGTTTTCAGTCAATCTCAAGTTGCCATCGTATAAATATTTGTCTTCTTCAAAACACAAATCCTCTTAGGCCCCGTCCGCACACCGATATTTTACCGCGCTTTTTTTGCAAAATTCTCTGGAAATAAATAACTACCGTATCGCGTTCATTTTGTATCTTTGTAAATATGTTTTTTTTCCGCTAGTGAGGATAGTCCTAATTTGCAAGATTCTGTGACATTTGTGATCTATATAGGGCTATCCGCCCTGGCGACAAAAATATCTGTGATTAGATGCAAAATTAACGGATCGCGTCATCCGTCCACAATCAATAGGTACTTTCTGAATATTTATTTTAGACTAAAAATAGGTACATCTACGATTTCAAAATGTCATGCAAAAAAATAAAAATATCTATCTACCTACCCTGTTTAACATGCATCACTGTAAATTAAATAGGCACGGATGTTGTCACTTCGTTTGTGGAGTACCTACGTGAATAGAACTTAAATAAACCGAACAAAGTTGATGTGCGAAACTACCATCGTTAAAAGATTTGTTTTAGTTAATGCGATAAGATTAGAACTTTCAAAAGAACATTAGAATGTCTAATCTAGACGGGGTGCAGTAGTATCTTTCTGTGAAGCTGCAATGAGTAGCGATACCGAGCGTAGAAGACGTCAGTCGTCGACGGGGCCGCGGGCCGCTGGAGAGAGGGGACATATGGTGGCAGACTAATTGCTGCCGTAGGGAATAGGATGGTGGCCTAATCGCATTAAGACGCGATCGGGCCAGTAGGCCAGTTCTTCTTCTAATTTTGCTTTAGAAAAATATAAATATAGTACACAATAGTTGTCGCATGTTACTCAGCACAGCAGAGTGGCTGGAGAGGAAACACGGAGCTCTCACCTTCCGGATGACACAGGTGCTTTCCGGGCATGGTTGCTTCGGCAAGTACTTCTGTCGGATCGGCCGGGAGCCGACGTCACAGTGCCATCACGGTCGTCACGGTCCTGGCGAGAGTGCATGGAGCGCCTTCACTTCCTTCTGCAAACATGTGATGTCCGCAAAGGAAGCGGCAGGACGGCAGAGAGAACGGAACATCGCTGTCTCTACCCGCAGAAGGCGTACCGGGCGCCGGAGGGCACTTGCCGATCTCCGGCCACCTTAGGAGGTGGCCTGCGGGCGACAATTTCGGGGGATTCGTGGTCCGAACAGATCCAAGAGGTAGCGCACAGTGTTCCGTGTGCGTTCCTAGAGGACTGCGACCAAAGGGTAGCTATCGCAACAGGTGACGAGACCCGTCTTAGGTGAGACGGGCCAATGCCTGTCGGAGGTGGCGAAAGAATGCAATTGCGATTCTCGCTCCCCGGCCATTGGCAAGGAGAGGAACACCGAGGTGGTTTTTAATCGGTAAGATTCCGTCAGACCCCTTCGCCATTCCCCACTGGGCGAAGGACATCCGTGAGGATCTTCCTACCCGTTAAAAAAAAAAAGCACAGCAATAAACGCGTTTCTTCAGTAATTCGATACGTAATATTTTTTTGTTTAAAATATTCTCTGAACAATATTTAATGAGCAGTTTTTGTTATTAGACATTCCCAATGAAAAATCTCGTCGGCTTATTAAGTTAACTTGCTTTTGTTTTTGTCTCTTGCTCTGTTTTTTTGTGTATAATCTTTGGTCATTCATATTTCAGCAGTGTGCAGCAGCACAATGAGGGGAAATTAGGGTCCATAGGGGGAGAAAAAGGGGAAGACATTAAAAGGGGAAATTGAGGGAAATCATGTGTAAAACTTAGCTTAAAATATGGCGGTAAATTTCGGAACTATTTTTGTATGGACTCTACCGTGGACTAGCGTGTTGCCGTATAAAACAGTGACAACACGTGCATGTGGCGTTTAAGGTCTAAAATATTATTCTGTACTAGAATGTATGTGCTGATTGCGTAAACTAACTTGGAATAAGAGGTGAGTATACAGCCCAAGTTTTATAGATTTCATAGTATAGGATCACCAGAGGCGTGGGCTGGCTATAGAAAATCGATATTCCTTTTTTTTTATTTTATTAGTTACTGCACTAGGGCCAAAAGTAAAAACTACAGCAGAAAAATTATTGAGGGGAAAAAAGCCCACAGAAGGGGAAATTTGAATTGAGGCGTGGGGAAAAGAAATCATTAAAGTGGAAACACTGTATTTCAGACGGTTGTTGTCAATTTGTCATAAAATGTCAAAACGTGAAGTTAAAACGAACGAAGATAAAAGTGCGCCAAGGGCCGCTAGTAAATATCTAAACATGGAAAACACCTTTGAAAACAACTTGAAGACATTAAAAGAATTGATATTAGATGAAGGAAAAATAGTTACATATATTTCCCTAAGCAAAGACTTATGTATTCATGCCAATGAAGCAAAAGATTTACTAAATCAAGTAGTGCGGGATATTAGAAAAAAGGAGCCGAGAACTGAAATATATATTTATTACATGATATCTGGATTATTAAGTAACAACAGTGCATGTACTAGCGTATGTTCTGAATTAGATTTAGATGCGCTCAGAAAAAGTTTAAATATAATATTCTACGAACATGTATACTGCGTCAGTAAGGGTATGCAAGCTGTAGACAATGTAGCTTTAACGGCACTAAACAAATTTGAAGATCTTTCTCTATGTACGGGATTAATAAAAGCAAACGTGTGTATTAAGAGGCCTGATAATGAAATACTGAACTTAAAGTCCAACAATATTCAGAACAAGATGATTGAACCTAAATCTAATGTGAAAACAAAAAATACAAACGAAAGAAAAAGAGAACTTTTCAAAAACACTGAAAATGTAAAAAAAGATGTTGAAACTAAATCAGAATCAATAAAGTCAAATGAAACAGTATCACCTAAGAAGGAATCAACAAATAATAAAATAAGTAATAAAAATAGTACCAAAGCTGCTTCAAAAAGTATTGCAGGTTTCTTTAACAAAGCTAATGGAGATAATGCTAAAGCAAAAACTGCAAAGGTTAAGGAAGATAAAGAACAAGAAAACAAAGTTGAGATCAAAGTTGAAAATGAAATTAAATTAGAGCAGCCCATTGCTGACAAGAACACCTCTGGTCAAAATGAAACTGAAGAACCAGTGCAAAAATCAAAGAAGACGGTTGAAATTGAGAAGCCTGACAATAAGTCACTAAAACAAATAAAAAAGAATGCCAAGGTGGAAAAAAAACGTAAAAGGCTTTTGCATGTATCAGATAGTGAAAGTGATAATGAGACAAATGATCCATTTGCAGATGATGACAACATAAAAATGTCAGTTGATCAAGAGTCAGAAGATGAGATACCACCTACACCTACAGTTAATACTGTCAAAATAACATCAGGAATAATAAATCCCAAGAAAAGAAGAAAAATTGTAGATAAAACTTACACTGATGAAGATGGTTACATTTTAACTAAAAAAGAAGAAGTATACGAAAGCTGTTCTGATAATGAGGAGGAAATAAAATCAAATATTAAACAAGAGAAAGAAAATGTGGAAGTGAAACAGGCAAAGACTGTAACCTCACCACAAAAAGATAGTAAATTGAAGAAAAGAAAGGTGTCTCCTCCACAGAAAGGAAAACAGCAAACATTAACAAATTTTTTCAAAAAAGTTTGATTTCTTTTCTGTTTTTGTTTTAACTAAGTCAATCAAGATTCATTTCAGTAGGATTTTGGATATTTAGTATTGGGTAATATTAAAAGTTACAGGTGATATCAGTTGAATTTTATTATAAAGTTTCAGGTGTTCATCATGTGTTGTTAAAACCTTGTGATAAGCTGAACATTTTATAATAAAAAATGAATAATATTAATTTATTATATAATTAATAATTTTATAATAAATTATCATGAGAAGGAGCATTAGTCTTTTAATAAGAAAAGTGTAATAATGTTAGATGGACTAAGTGTCGTAATAGGGAATATGCATGTATTTTTTATATCTTTTTTCGAGTCTAGTCAAAAATAAAAATAACACATCCGAAATATAAACCGTTAAGCAAAAAAATTTATTAAAATCACTATCATTTTGGGGCAATTTGAACACGTCTATTTTGACGCGCTTTTTTTGTGACGTCAGATTACACTTTCAGACGAATTCGATGTCAACGACGGAGTGAAGTTCACAAAGTTTCTGAAAGTTAAAAAAGTGAGTGATAAAAATTAACTTATTACCATGGAAAGCCAATAAAAACTTAATATAAATATTGTGCCGTTCCATTGTGCCCAAATAATATCAAAACTGAACCTGACAAAGTATATTCAGTCATGGTATTGAGTCACGGGCATTTAATAATTTAACATTGAAAACGTATTAGTTATTAACTTAAAATGAAACAAATAATCACCAGAAACCAAATATTACAAATACACACAACTTGTTGACACTCTTGACAGTGTAGGTTGACGTCACGTTTTATTCAACCAATAGCGTTGCGTTTTAGAATTTGCGAGGGAATCTTAAAAAAGCCAATTTTTGATGATTAAATTTCACTATTAAATAATAATAAATTTCAAAAATAATTTTATGGGTATCTTTTTTTAGCAATAAAAATTACAAATAAAAATATTTTGTCCATTTTAGTGTCACGTGCATATTCCCTATTATTTGGTGTAAAATAAAACAATATGTTTGTGTTCTTTTTATTAATTGTTATTACTGTACACTTTTTAAATAAATAGATGCATACATATTTTTGTTTATTTATATTATCCTTTAGTGCCTATAGCGACAACCCAGTCTGGATGAACTTGAACATCTACTAAATAGGAACATTTTGTGTTATATGTTGACTGTTGAACGTCTTGGTTGGACATCTGCCTGTAAATTAATCGATTTTAATTTTTTCATTTGTGTTTCATGCAATATACGTTATAGTAGACCTGTCATATTTCAATAAACGTTTTGGGAGTGTTCTGACGGACTATAAAGTCATTATTCTATAGTCCAACAGAACACTCCCAAAACGCCTTGGCATAATTATACCAAGGGGTAAAATACAATTTGATAGCTTAAAGATATCATCATCATCTGTCTATCGCCGTCCACTGCTGAACAAAGGCAATGGATAATTGCCCTCCAACAAGGAGGGCCAACGAATATATACTATTTTTATAAAGGGGACAAACGAGCAGACTGTTCATCTGATGGTAACTGCCGCCGCAAATGGACACCTGCAACTCAAGAAAGAGTCACAAGTGCGTAGGCGTAAGTAGACTCAGAGGGACCTATACTATTTATCAAAATAGTAACAATGTGAAATTAGTAACACGATACATACGCAATTATTTGCATCGTGTTTACGATAAAAATAGCGTCATTAATTAGTACATCGAAAAGTGTGTTTATTACTTTTGTGGCCCGATAATGCATAATAAACTCTTTAAAACGTAAATTGACAAATAATTTATTATTAATATAGGCACATCGAATTTACAAGGGGTGCCATATTAGACTGGGGACCGATTACAGCAGGTCAACAATGTTAAAGTGAACTTGACGCCATTTGCATTTTCTTCCAATCAAAATTATAATCCTATACTTACATTGAATCATCCTAATTATATGAAGCATGCTTCACGGGTTGATTAGATTCATATTTAAGTGGCACCGGTCTGTACTGTTTTGTTTATGTTAAATAGTTTCTTGTACTAATAAAAGTGTGAACAAGACAATTTAAAAAACATTTCAATATAAGCCAATTAAAGAAAAAACTTACTTTGTTTTGGAATTACCATCCCACATAACTTTAACAATCCCGTCCATACCAGCTGAGCATAAAAGTGAGTTATCAATAGACAAATCATTGGGATCTGTGAGAACTCTGTTAGTCAGAGAAGGTTTGCCAACATCAGACCAATCCAGTGCTGTAACCTTCCCATGATGACCTCGATACTCATGTATACAAGTACATGCTGCTAGATCCCATACTTTAATTTTCTTGTCATCACCTGTAGAATACAGAAAGCTATATTTGATGTTTGCGATTTAACTTCTTAAGGTAATATAAATTAAATATAATTTTCGGTTTTATACTAAAAAGTTACTACAAGAATGAAAGATAAACAAATAAATTAGTAAAACACAAAACTTGCGAATGTAATAGTAAAACTATACCAGCGCTTGCTAAATATGAGCCGGACGGTGAAAAGGCGAGTGTCCTTACTACACCCCTATGTCCAACCAGTACTCGTACTAAACGAGCATCAGATACCATCCATAACCGCACGGTCCTATCCGCGCCTCCAGTTGCAATATAAACTTCATTAGGATGAAATTTCACACACTGAAAAGTAATATCAAAGTTTTATAAAGTAAAATTGAGTTATAAAGGAATAGCAAATTTTTCGGTTTAGACACTGCCCCTCACTGAACACCCTATCCTTAAACAGAAACGATTTAAGTTTTACAGACTATCGTGTCTGTCGATCTTCTTTTTATTTATTTTTTAAAAGTCAACTCCCGCACTAGGAATACATCCTGTGTCGCGAGGGACATTACAAACATACATGAAACGGAGACAAAGAACACTTAGACTCAGAACGACAATTTGTGGATCACACAGTGTCACTCAGTGTAGTAGGCAGCGGCATGGCGACCGCTAAATAATAAAAGCATTTATTTCATAAAATGAACTGCATTACAATACTTTAACTGACTTATATGACTGCAATCCAGATGCTGTTGTATATAGAATCGGTCTGAATATCGAAATCTTCAGTATGGCTCTGTGCGTTTAACCACTACGCCATCGAAGGCACCTCAGTCAGACAGTCGTCGCGAGTGGCGAGAACAATCGGGGCGACAGGCATTGTCCATGATGCACGCCGCTATTGCGGCGGTAAGACCCATTATGGAGGATTGACGCGAGAGGCAACACGAGACCCTTTCATACCAGCTGACGCAAGTGATCACCGGGAAAGGATGTTTCGGAAATAACCTGTGTCTGATTCGCAAGCAGCCAACGCCTAAGTGCCATTTTGATAGCCGGACCGTGGACACGGCGCACGCGACTCGCTGGTAGAATGCCCGGCGTTGGTGGAGCAGAGGCGTGGCCTCGTGGCGGATATCGCAGTGGGAAATGTTTAATGGATATGATACTGGATTGCGGCCATGGTACGTAATGAGAGCGCATGGAACCTCGCTCAACGATCTAATTCTGTGAGCAAGTTATGCTTACGAATCGGACAACGGACCGAGATAGTTTTTGAACTCTCCCGGCCCGCCAGGCCCGGGAACGGGCCAGATACCGCAGACGACTCAGGCGCCGGAGGTCGCTGACCGATCTCCGTCCTTCATAAGCGCAGGCCACCCTGGCATTTGTCATTTGGCAGAAGCAGGCCTGGGTGGCGGCGAGACGCACTGCGGAGCTCGTACGCCCTTTCGGGAGCACAAAGGGAACATGGGGGTTCCCACACAGGAGAGGGTCATCTATACGCCGTAGATGACCCGAGGTATGTCGGGGTACTAAAGATTTCCTTTCTAGATCTGGTTCCCGGTTACTGGTACCCAAGCCGGCGTGCGGTTTTTTATCGGTTGGGGTCCGACATAACCACCCCACCAGTGGGTGGTATCTGAAGGGATTTCTGCACAGAAAAAAGACTATCACAGCACAGAAAAGACTAGTGTCTGTGAAATTTCAAATTTGTTTAGTTCAAAGGAAGAATTAAGGAGAGACCTTCACTTTGCTTTTTTATGAACAAGAGAAAAAATCCTCTTTAGAAAGTTTGAAACCGTTCTTGGGTATGTATGTGCGATCCACTTTATTGAAGTATGTACTGTTACTCTGAATAAGGCTTTCAAATTCTTTGAGGCAAGTATAATAGTAAGAGGTATCAACATCCAGGTGAATTTTAAACATTCCTTCAAATGAAAGGAAATGTTAGTATTAATTCACATGAGTATTATGTTATGATGAAGTAATATAATCCAGCTAAGGAATTCATTCAATCAAAACAAAGTTTCAATTGTAAAAAGATTGTATACATTCATTCAGCTTGTCTTTGTCTTGAATAACTTAAACATGTTGACATTTAGTATCTATAAGATAATGTTTATAAATTACTTATTAGGGAATAATATTTTTAAATTACTTACTGTGACATCAGACATGTGTCCAACAAATACTCTAATTGGAAATGTTCTACTTAATGACCATAATTTTGCTGTCCTATCATGAGAGCCGGTGACAACAAAGAGACCACTTTTGGATATATCCATGCACCATATCGGATAGTTATGCCCTCTGGAATAAATTTGTCATTTAGTTACCTCATAATGTTGCATCTGTCAAATCATTTTATATTATATAGGTCATTGCTACACCTGTATATTGCAGCACACGAATAGTCTGTTATTCTCCATGCCCTCATAGTATTGTCATGTGAAGCCGAAATTACCAAGTCTTCCCTAGGAAGTACGCTAACAGCTTGAACTGGTCCAGAATGGCCTCTTAGTGCAATTCCGGTACCTATCTGTCTGAAAATAAAATTTATGGTTCAGAATTCATTTCATTCGTAATTATTTTAGAATATAAAAGAGCACACTTACAAAGTGTCATCATCTTCTGGTAAAACATCGTATGGTACATAGCAGGCTAATTCAACTTCTGAAATATTTCGGTTAACAACTCTTTTGATATTGTTCTGGCCAAGGTCCCATACTCTAATTTCAGAATTACTGAATCCACCACACAACATGTTACAATACTGATCTGTTTTTGCACAAATTAAACTGAAAAACGATAATCCTTTAGCCACAAACTTTTCAAAATTGCAAAATACCAAATGCGTAATTACTTACTTGGTATCAGGAGCAGCTATTTTGTATAATTTTAATGGTGTTGTTGATTCTCGCACGCTCTTTATCGCATCTTGAAGATCTTGTAACTCTTTGTCAATAGCTTTATATTCGACATGTCCATTGCATTCAGCAAATACATCTAAAAATAAGTTATTTGAGTGTCATACTTCATATTTGGAAAATTACTAAAATATTTTGTCAAAGGGTTTTTTACCATTTGCAATTAAATTCTTTTCGTCGGATACAGTATCTGTAACGTGCATTTCTTCATCCATTTCTTCTTCATCATCTTCCTGTGAATTAAAATATTCACAACTATAACAAATCAGTGTTTTTAAATAACATATTTTTTATTTTAATTGTAGAGTAACTGCAACATTATGATGATGTCACATTTGTTGTGTTGTTAACTACTCATAGGTGTTGTAGAAAAAATATTAAAGGTAAATGGATTCCATTGTAATCCCTAACAATCTTGTTGATTTATTAGTACGAGGTAAAGGATATATTCATTAAAACTGTTTGGCCATGTTTTATCTGGCGAGGCATGCACTCCGATCTGCACCCAGCAGTCTGATCAAATCGAAAAATTTGATTGCCGAGTAATCAATACATGTTAGTATGTAGGTGCATTAATTATTTACGTGCATTATTTACTGTTTATTAGTTACTTACGGCATTCTTCTGACTTGAGTCGTTATTGATGTCAATATGAAACCAAGTTTGTAGCACTTGTAAAAGAAGAACATGACCATTTTTAGCTAAATATGCTTTCAACATATTTAAAGCATCTTGGGACAAACTAATGTCATATTTACATGATCTGAAAGAAAACATGTAATAATAACAATCGTTTTTGATACAATGATAAGTCACTCTGAAGCCTGGCCTCAGAAATTCTACTATCATGAATCTATCCTAGCACACAGTTAAAAATGTCATTATGTGTATAATAGGTAATGTATTATAATATAAAATTGGTGTGTATAAGTCTCTTTTTATAACTTACTGTACCCTGACATACTTCACTATGATGTAAAAAATAGATAAAAACATTAAGACAGGTTTTATACCATGTTAAAATTAGGGCTCAATTGGTGCAGAACTTTTTGAGTTCTGGAAGCATACAGGAACCAACTTACATTTATATATATATATATATAGATGGATTAAGTTATTACAGATACTTTTTATAGAAAATAATAGCCTGAATATAATCACTATTTATGCTAACACATATAAGAAATCAAATCAAACAGTTTATGTTATACCTGAACGCAGCAATGGAGGGTCTAGTTTCCACTTCCTGTAGGGTATAAATTGAACCAATATCATCTAATATCTGATTCATCAAGTCCTTTTCTGGAGTCTCATTATCTATAGTTCCATTTTGTAGTGAATTGAACAGTTGTTCTAAGCTATTTGGTCTGTACAAAGCGGATGGCAAGTTACCATCAATGGGTTGATGATATGACAAGTCTTTTTGGGGTAAAGTTCCACTATGTCTCTTAAGAAACATCTGTGCTGGTCCTCCATGACCACCACGCAACATTTCTAAATACAAGTGACAAAGCAATGGACATAATAAGCCCAATAACTCATTTTTAACTTTTTCATTTCTTATTTCTTTTATAAAGTTAACAAGCCTGCAAGGGTATTATATAATTAATTAAATAGTGAATTCATCATGATTATACATAAGTAGCTAAGAAATTCTTAGCCATTTATGTAGGTAAATAATAGATTACTAGAAACTTTTCTGTGACCTACAAAACCAACAAAGATGTGGAGGAAACTAAGGTTATGAAAAGTACATATACTCTAGCCAATTGATAATTTTCTGTTCGATTCTTGAAAACATCAATTATGAGATACTTTGAAAACCAGTAGGCGAAAAGGAACTCTATTAGTTACCCACTTTCCTGATGTGCAAGGGCATCAGTTATCAAAGAAACAGAAAATTACAGACATGGACAGGACAGGGTTATAAGTCTTGTTAATAAGGCTTTAAGTTTATTGCTAATATATTTTTGTTGATATGACTTAAAACAAAATGGTTTTCAGTGTGTCTACGGTATTACTCCGGTCGAGCCAGGCGGCAATGTGAATGTATAGATATTTAATTATAAGTACAATAATAATTCTACAAATATTGAAATGCAATTTAAAACATGTCAACAATGGTACAGGTCAAAAGAATAAATGTGAAAAAGTCTTAGCAGCTAACTTCAAACACTTAATATGAGATATACCTTGTATATTGAACGTCGTACTGCCCTGAATCGTTGTTGATGCAAGAGTATAAAATAGAGTTTGCGCGACTTGCTTCGCACTGAACTATAGTAGCAACAGCCATTTGTTCAGCACTTATGCTTAGATTATTACCATTACTGAATATATCAATATCCTAAAAGTAAAATTATTTTCGATGAAATTATCTGGTTATTTAGTTATATTTTTAATAATAATAAAATGATACTCACTGGATAATTTCGCCGCTCTAAGTAGGAAGTGACCGCAGCCTTAATTGCATCATTTCTAGTCTTTTTCATTAAAGACATCAGTTTATAAGGTAGATAAATGTGAAAATAAATAAAGAATAAGAGAGAGAATAACTAAAGAAACGAATTGTTTTCGACAAACAATACAAAATATGAAAATATGGCACCTCCTGTTTTGACGTAAGTGTCCACAGATAAATTACTACAGTAACTAACTGTGTAATATTCTGAATGTAGAATGAATGAATCCATTTAAAAGATATCAGGAGCTCTTCAACGAAACTATTTTCAACACGTGGAAGAATTAGGGTTCCAACATTTAATTGACCATATTGTTCCAAATTATGTTCTAAAAGGCAGAAAAAATTTTGCAGCAACTTTACGACAAAGTGTCATCAAAAATAAAAAACATGTTACAAGATTTTGAAAGAGTTTCCTTCACATCATATATCTGGTCAGACTCTTTATCAGGAGTTTCGTTGCTATCTTTAACTTGTCATGGAACTTCCAACGAAAAAATATCGTTTTGAAAGCGCAAGTTCTTAAAGAACGTCGAACGACACGGGAGCTTATATTTCGGAAAAATTTCAAACTGAATACGAAGCGTGCCTGTTTTTTTTTTGAAATAAATAATATCGACTGTACAGCTCATCAGTTACATTTGGTGGTTAAAGAAGCTATTAATAATGTTGATAGAATCTCCATGTTACTTGGGAAATGTAGAAAAATTGCAGGACATTGCAACCATTCTACAATGGCAATTAATGGCAAAATACAAAGAATTACAAAAAATACAACTTCGACTCAATGAAAAAAATTTAAAAGTTTTGCAAGACTCACCAACACACTGGAATTCCAGCTACTACATGTTGGAAAGATTTGATTGCATCAAGGATTCGTTGTCACTTTATGTTTCTAATAATAAAATGGAACAATTCGATTCGTCATTGTTTCAAGTCGCCACATTTTTAGACCCACGGTACAAAGGTAAATTCTTCAGTGATATTCTCATAAAATAAATTGCTAAGTAACAGATGTAGAAATTGAAGTAAATCACACAAGAAATCAAATCAAATCAAATAATTTTTTTGCGAACATGGGTATACATATTAAGGTGTTAATAAAGGTATAACAATGAGTAGCCACATTTTACCTCAAGGCATGCAAAAAAAAATAAAAGTTTTTACAATAAAACATAATAAAAGAAAAATATAGGTATGTTAAATTTGCGTAGTCAATTTGTGATACAATAAATTTAAACAAACAAATTTCAGCAATTTCATGTCAAAACCATTATTTCCCTTTATACAATTCTGTCATTCATAGTCAGTAACCCTATAATAACATTTCGCAACCAATATATTTTTTAATTTATTTTAAAATAAGTCAATATTACATTTTTTAATGTAGGATGGCAGTTTATTACTTTTATAGGCGCAATACATAGCAAACTTTTACTCATCATCCTTGTTTTAAGCTGTGTAAGCACAATCTAATGTCGTTGTGCCTTTTTTTTTTTACAACGTCAGATAGGCGCTGAAATAGGTCAGGATTTTTGTGTACGAAAGAAGCCACCTCCAGTATGTATAGTGATGGAAGCGTCAGGACGCCATACCGGAAAAAATACGGCCTACAACTATCAGTCGATTGCAGACCAAACATGGCTCGAACGCAACGTTTCTGAGTCTTAAAAACCATTACGGCATTTGTTTAGTTACCCCAAAAACTACAACAAGTACTGAAGTTAAACCAATTACTATTAGAAAAGAATAGTGCCAGAGCCTAGAAGAGTCTATTGCTAATATGTTAGACAGAGATGAGGAGGATGAGCAATCTGAAAATCAAATATCAGATACGCAAGCTAATTTGCTAATAGAATATATGTCAGAAAAAAGATTACCAAGAGATCAAGACCAACTAAAGTATTGGCAGATAAACAGTTAAAAGTTCAGAGGTCTCAGTCACATTGCTCGCACATACTTATCATCACCTGCCACAAGCGTTCCAAGTTAACAATTTTTCAGTGCAGCAGGAATTGTTTACGATCCTCATCGTAACAGACTTTCGGGGGACAAAGCTGCCAAGCTCTTTCTGAAGTACAAATTACCGATGCTTAACTTTAATTATGACTATTAATTTTTTTCAGTTGCTATAATTATTACTGTTTTTATTTTAAGCTAATATTAACACTTTATGTCTCACGCAGTATTCGTTAATTTAATTAGAATAGTCGTTTAAATAGAATTTACAATGTTATGAAGATTTAACTTTTGGTTGTCCCATTATAAAGTGACGTTATAAGTTTCTATAATATTAATAATACTCGTATAATATTTCATTATTTTAATAAGCTAATACGATTTTTTTTATTGATCTTATTATAAAGATAGTTCTTTCAGTACCTACGACCTACCTGGTTAATTTAGTGTAGTATGATTAAATTGCAATACAAATATTTGATTTAAGAAATAAAAAGTCATCTAAACAGAATTCAATAGTTTTTCATTGCTACCTAATAATATAATATTCAGGGTGATTTTAAATTTACTGAAAACCTCTGTAGTGCATATTAGTAACACTATAAACAACAACTTTTCTTCTGGACTAACATCGAAAACGAAAAAAAAAAATTTGTTTCATACAAACTAACAACATTTGATTAGTCATTTGAATGGAGGACCAATTTTATTTTTCATTTTGACGTTGGCCAGATAAAAGTTGCTGTTTATAGGGTTCAAACACGTACCTACCTAAGAGTTTTACAGTGAATACAAAATCACCTATATAGAATTTCATCTATGTATTGAAAGATCCGCCAAAAAAGTCACGGATACGGATATCTCTTCTCCCTTGGATACGGATAGGGATATCACTAGTTTACATGCATGGCGAGCCTCGACAAGTGTCCACAAACACAAGCGTTTGGCACGGCTCGCGAATGCTCGTCGTCGACCGGTACTACTGTCGGTTATTAAACACAGATCAAAGGAGCTTTTTCCCCTTCTGCTCAATTTGATATTACAAGTATTGTAGCTGAGCAGTCGGAAATCAACATTAAGTCTCAATTCTCTACTGATTGAGCAATTTAGTTGAGAGAGTTGATTTTTTAGTTTGGTGCCCTAGTTTAAATTTTGACGTTTGCAAAGCCTAAAACCACCAGAGTACCACTAACGAAAAACGACCCTACTCTAATAGACACTAAATATTCCTCTAAACATTTTTTTTTTTGTAATTACGTAAGAAAACCATAAGTAAATTAATAACTAGTTTTCTTAATATTATTGAAATTTAAAATTGATTCTAATTGTTTTTGTCAGCACGTTCATATGAATTGCATTTTATTATTATTATTATTTCTCTTTTGTTTTATTTGTTGCAGCGGTCTCCTTCCAACTTCAAACCACAGCGTATTGTTAAGCATAGCAGATAAAAGACTTAACTTCATTCCATTTCTCTGTTTATAACTCTAGTCTCTCAACTCAACATAATATGATAATAATATAATATTCTATCACATTCACACAACGCCATCTCGTCCCAACCTAAGCAGGGCTTATACTTTGGGTACTATACAACTGATATAAATACATTTTTTTTATAAGTACTTACCTACATATTATACATAGAAACACCCAGACCAAATCAAACATTAAATGTTCATGAACACAAATGTTTGACTTGAGCGGGAATCGACTCCGCGTTTTTAGAATAGCAGTCCATTACACAGTCGTCACATCGGTATTGAAACGATTCAGTATTAAGAGAGTAATACCAAAGATCGCTAATTCCTCAAATGTTGAGGTCCCTTGGCCCCTTGGGCATCTTTGAAGAGCAATACCTCTTGTATGTCGAAGTTCCATAACACTTTGCGCATTGGTACACAACAACGAACCGAGTATAATTGGTATGGTAATGATATCAATCTTTTTTTTCTCTTCTGCTACTCATCCGGAATCCGGATCGTTGAACATAGAGTCGGACCCTGAATTATATCGCTAGTCTGCCCAGACCCAATATTGTCAACTTTGAATTGTGAGTTTGGTTTTAAACCGAATCGAATTGATAATTTATATCATTTGAAAACAATGAAAAATAATTATTTACCAACACAGAGTTTTTAACTTATCAAAAGAGTTTTTATAACTTATCCCCAGGGTGTATTGCAAATTCTTTTAATATTTTAAATTACAAATAAAAAAAATATATTTTTGTTTTGTTTTTTTTTTATATTTTTTATTTATTTACTTACTTTTTTATTTTGCATTTTTTTAATTTTTTTTTTGTACAATTATTATTTAAAATTGATAATTAATTAACAAATACAATGAATTAATTCTTTTGTACAAAAGTCTCCAGCACTGCGAGCTTGGCAGGTGAACGTTCAACGGGTCCTTAAAAAAAGTGATCGGCCCAGCCCTAACAACTACCGTTCTTCCTATATTTTATTATTATTGGCAAAATGTTTAAAAACAGTATAAATCATATTATTTCATAAATTATAAAGTCTCCCACTAATGTGGAAAAACCAAAATGATTTTTAATGGTAACACTGATTCTAAATTACAATTATCAATGTTTTATTTCAATTATAGCCTTATTTACGATATTATCAATACAAAAACCATAAACTTACACATGAAAAGTAATTCCGCATGATTTATTATGGTTTTGTGACCTTGAATCGCATTCTTTCACTACGCATTTACCTATTTTGGCGATTGTTACTGTCATGTGTCGCTATGTTCAACTCGGTTGACGCCACATTGAATACTGAATTGAAGTTTGCTACGCATATGGCTGTGGATAGATGTGCAGTAGCAACGATTTTAGGCGGTAATTACTCATCTATGTAAGTGTTATATCAATGGCGCACATTGTGATCGTAAACGTGCAGAGTTACATTTCATCATAACTTTTTAGTTACTATACTGTAAGTAACTAAAAAGTTACTAACCTAACGAAACTTCACATACGTTTAAAGGCAGTTACGAACTATAAAATCACGTTTAAAGTAAGTCTTTAGAGGTCCTATTCAAAGTGTTAGGAGGTATATGGAAGTGTTTTCAGATTTAATTAAATAATCTTTAAATGGTGCATTATTCTTGTTTTGAAGTTATATACAAAATCTGGTTAGAATCCACTTACTCTTTTCAGATCCAGCAAACCCACAAACGTTACTCCAGCAGGATCTCGAATAACTTCGCAGCCGAAGAAGATACAAATACAAAATGAGTTGTAACATTTACCTCATCTAGATAAATAATTATTTAGCTAATACGAGTATTTATTTCAATATTCCAATTAAAAAAGAAAATGTCTGGCTGCGGTAACGTTACCATCTTCCCCGTAAGCGATTATGGTGACGTGTGCTGTTATGACCTAAACGCTGATCTTCTCGATAAATTAGACCTAGTAGTCTTCTTGATAACTGCATTCGATTTTTTATAATCTCCGTAATGTTATCCTCTTTCCGTCTACGTCTAAAACAACGCGGTGTCAAGGTCATAAACCCTATCTTAAATAACCCATCTTCGTCAACATATTTAATCTCCTAGGTACTTCTTCATTGTACCTCCCATCTGTCTGAGTTTGTTGGCTCATCCTTTGTTATTTAGTCCTTTCTTCTTTAGTGAGCTTTCCCTCGAAAACAGCATGGCCGCCAACAATTTGTCTTTTAAAACAAAAGTAGATAAAACAGTATCTTTATTTATTTATTTTTATGTTAGAGGGGGCAGACGAACAGTCGGGTCACCTGATGGAAACGTTCAGTTGCAGACGTTCATGGGCGGCGATGGTCACGCCGCCCATGAACGTCTGCAACTCAGGAGTCACAAAGGTGTTGCCGCCCTTTTAGGAAGGAGTACGCTCTTTTCTTAAAGGTGGGAAGGTCGTATCGTTCCGAAAATACCGCAGACGATAACCCGTTCCACAGATTGGCTGTGCGGGGCAAAAAGTGTCTCGAAAAGCGCACAGTAGCGGAGCGCCAACAATCCAGGCGATAAGGCTGAAAATTTTGCCGTGTGGAACGATGGCGGAAAGTTGCGGCTGGTATTAGTCTGAACAATTCCTCGGAGCACTCTCCATGATATACGCTACGTAACGCCAAGGGATCGAGCCGATCAGAGATTGGGCTATCGACGCGTCGAGTCGCCCTTCGTTGGATGCGGTTCAGAGGGAAAAGCTGGTACTGAGGTGCCCCTGCATAGAGATGAGAATAGAGATAGAGCTGAAGGCGGTGGGCAGGAGTGAAATACTGCCTCGATCTGTTCAGCACACCGAGCTTCTTCGAGGCCAATTTGACCTTACCCTCTAAGTGACCCCGAAATTGGACTTCGCTCGATATGTCGATGCCTAGGATTCCGATGCTGCCTGAGGCAGTTAGGGAGGTGCTCTCAAACCGAGGTGATCGACAAATGGTATCTTTTTGCGGTGAACGCACATACCTGTATTTTTTGGGTTGAACTGGACTAGATTTAGTCGGCCCCAATCTGAAAGCTCCGCTAAGGAAGTTTCAATTTCAGACAAGTTTGTTTCGACTCTCGATATGACGTTTTCCCGAGAAATATTACGGTGTAAAGGGCATCTCCCGTGCTATCATCTGCATAGCAATGGATGCTACTAGTTTGCAACATGTCACTGATATGCAGAAAAAACAGTGTGGGTGATAGGACACAGCCTTGCGGGACACCAGCATTTACGAATTTCAAGTCGGAGCATGCACCGTCGACAATGACCTTAATGCTTCTGTCCGCAAGGAACTGGTGACCCAATTACACAATTTCTCGGGAAGCCCAAAGGAGAGATGTGCCTTATGCCACACCCGATCAAAGGCCTTCGCGATGTCCAAACTATCCGCACAAGCCTCTCCTTTGGTCTCGATCGCATGGTGGTGGTGGGCGGTAAGCACCGGTGTATTAGAAAGGCAAATTCTAGAAAAAACATGATCAACCAGAAAGAGACCTGCGTTTGAAAAGACTGATCGTGTCATGTATGTTTAATTTATTCTAATTATTCAATTTTTAACTCTTTTGATGTGAAACATCTAATGCGTTGTTGGTGTGGCGAGAGGTGTCACCACGCTTTCTTTACCAAAAAATAACTACTAATATATATTATATAAATATTTTTAATTGCGCTAAATTACGAATTAATTATTACGAATTTTTCGGATGATAATAGTGCAATTAGTTACACCACAAATATTTATTTATTTATTAACGTGACAAACTGAAAAAATTTATGGACGAAAACTTTAGGTAAATTTAATCAATGATTCTATTTATGTTTTAAATAATTATAAAGTTCCAAAGAACTAGAACAAGCGTACCTAACCTGTGACTGAGGAAAAAGTGATTGCACTGCACTCGACACAACTCGACTACAAGGACCTAAATAAATGGTAAGAAGGAAAGGGGGGAAATGTAACAGTAGACTCTTGTAAGTAAGTTGTTATGCAAAATTGTTACATAAATTTTCGAAGAGTTTTGTTAATCCAGTTCCTGAGTTTGTTACTAAGTAAGCAGCTACATAACTAAATACACATAAACATCACTAAATAAACTTATGTGCTCGCACTGGCGAGTAGATATGTTCCGCTCCACCATTTAGATTTACCACAATGTTATCGTTACCACATCACTACAACGTTATTCGTTTATACACAAAGTCGTTGTAATATAAACTCTGCCCTTGTTCTCCCTGGGTTGAATACGCACGTATAAAACAGATAACGAACACGAGTGCAGCAACAGTTCACTTCGAGATGGCTAGCGTAACAGTTGCTCTTATAACGATCTCTTGTTTATTGACTCCGACGATAATATCGGCGTCAGGAGATAGCTTGCAAGATTTAATATCTAGTGGGAACTACGAGTTTATTGACTTAAGTCATGCTTTCAATAATTTAACTAGCAGTTTTCCAGGCATACTAAAGTTTAAATTTATTAAAAAATCTGTAAATCCTAGTGGTGATAAGTCAGCTTGGTGAGTAAAACTTTATTGATTTAAGTATATATGTCTAGACTTTGCTTTTATCTTGCACTGAATGACTGTGGCTTAATTTTATTCTTTGGTAAGTGAGTAATGGTCATAAAGGGCCTTCTTGACTATTACTTACTTATTTCACTCTTCGGTCATTGTGCTCCAACTACCTAACACGAAAGTAACACTTAATAATATAATTATACTCGCGGTCTTCTCTTCGTCAAACAATGTGAGCACAACCTTTTTTTTAATGAAAACATTACCATGTCTTTTTCTATACCCATGTCCTACGTGTTTTCCAAATTTACGATGAATAGTTTAGTATAGATGTAAAGGGTAAACAACTCGCTTTCGATAAAGCCACGATCATAGCTTGATCGTGGTTTAGTCGAAAGTAACTTGATTTATTGAATTTATTAAAATCAATATAGTGTGTTACATATTTTATTTTTTATGGTATAGGGGGCAACTTGGTAGAAGTGTCACCTGATGGTAAATGACTACCGTCGCGCACGGGCACCTGCGACTCAATAGCCGTCGTGTTACCACCCTCTAGGTCCACCCCTTCCTCCAAAAAGTCAATATGATATTATAAGAAAATCTTATGTTTTTTTACATTTAGGTATGCAGCTAACGATTTCGAAACAGGGGAACATGCAGGCACACATATCGATGCGCCCTATCATTTTTACGAACAAGGAAAATACGTTGGAGACCTGCCTTTGGAAAGACTGATCGTGTCATGTATGTATAAATGATTTGTCTAGATCCTGACATTACATACTACTACTTTTAAACCCTTTCATTAAACTACTAGCTGCCCCGACAGACTTCGTTCGCTGAAAAGTTATTTGCCTGTTGCACTCCAACAGAAATAATAAAATGTATTTCAGTGATCACTTTTCTTAGAACTTTATTTTAATCCGGCATAGGTTAATTTCCATACAGCCTGATCAACTTAAAGACATACCAAAGATAATCTAAGTCCAATATTTGACAGCTGTGGTTTGGATGGGAAATGTTGTTTTCACTACTTGCCTTGCAATTTTTAAGAACCTTCCTTGTACCTCAATAACGATATGAAAAAGAAATGGTAGAGCCGTTCTCGACTCTCGTTTTGGACTTATAAACACATTTGGCGATTCTTTTGTTCAAATAGAATAAGGATAATACTTCGAAAAGTTGTCGGACTGGACTAGGACAGTCCAGTCCGACAACTTTTGCATTACAAATTTTATTTAAGACCACCTCTCCTAATCTGGTCAATCTTATTCACATTAGGCTCACAAAAACAAGTCACTCGTCGATATAAACTCCCGCCGAATACCACTCATAGGATTGCATTTAGATAAAGATATATTTTTTTTGTAGTTTTCCTACAGTAAATAAATAAGATTTTGTCAAGAGGAAAGAATAATAAGTCTGAGTTTAAAGCAATAGTACATTCATTCACATATTCACATGCATATTATTATACTCGAAATGTTTACAAAAAATTTGATACTCGTGTTTGTAACCTGCGAATGTCGAGTTTACTGTAAGTAATAGGCAGAAATATTTTCTTGTACCAAGTTATAGCTACGAGTGGAGGAGGCTACAAAAGATATACGTTTGTATTTTTTTTTCAGTAAGAGTAGCTGATGTCACTTCAAAAGTTAACGGAAATGCTGATTACGTGTTGTATAAAAAAGATTTGGACAACCTGTTAAATGAAACATTCGATAAACCTTGTGTGCTACTTTTTAAATTTGGTTGGAGTCAATATTTTAATGACGCACAGAAGTACTTTGGTTTTGATGGCACTAAGGCTAAGTTTCCAGGTAAAATTTTATTTTTAGTAATTTGTAATACACGTATATAGATGACAATAATAAATCTATGTCCAAATATAACATAAGAAAACATAACGAAATGTTATCATAAAGGTTCATTCAGAAAGAATCATTTTGAGTCACATGGGCTAATGTGTTCATTTATTGCATAGGTAGCAATTATTATATGGATAATACTGTTTCAGGTTTGAGTACGGAGGTGGCAGAATGGATAATAACGAATAAAAATATTCTTGGTGTTGGAGTTGACGGTCCGTCGGTTGATCCTGGCCCTTCAACAGACTTCGCAGTTCATAGAATACTTTCTAGAGCAGGATTGTACAATTTGGAGAATGTTAATGTACATGGACAGATCAATGGTATGATTTACTTATTTTTATTTACGATACCTTTAATTAGATATCATCGTGTGCGTTACCCCAGCAAAATAATGTCGAAAATGGTCATTTAAACGTTATAGATAATTAGTTGCTCCCCTTCTGTAATTGTTAGGCACATTTTTAAATTTGTTTCTCTTAAACTTTTTTAGTTATTTCAAAAAAACATTTCCTGCTGGGGTAACGTTTGAAACGTTACCGCAGCCAGACATTTTCTTTTTTAATTGTAATATTGAAATAAATTTTAGCTAAATAATTAGTTATCTGGACTAGGTAAATGTTACAACTTATTTGGTATTTGTATTTTCTTCGGCTGCGAAGTTATTCGAGATCCTGCTGGAGTAACGTTTGTGGGTTTGCTGGATCTCTGAAACGGGTAAGCGGATTGTAACCATCTTTTGTACATAACTTCTTAAGGATTAGTTTTAATTTGTTCGACAATAAAATAACAAAAATAATGGACCGTTTAAAAATTATTTAGGTAAGTATGAAAACACTTCAATACGTCCTAACACTTTAAATAGGACCTCTAAAGACTTACTTCAAACGTTATTCTATTGCTTGTAACTACCTTCAAATGTATACGAATTTTCGTAAGAATACTATAAGTGACTAAAAAGTTATGATGAAATGTAGCTCTCCACGTTCACGATCACAATGTGTGCGGCCTTTTTTGGCCACCGATAAACCTGTGTGTGGATATATAAACTGAATGTTATGCCAATAATTAGTTGTTTAGTTCAGTTGTCTACCTGTAAAATTTCAGCGTAGTACATATAATAATTTACGAGATAATTAAATAAAAGTCATTAGAAGGTGCAAGACCGTGGTAACCCCACCATGTTTAGGTGGTTACAAAAAAGCGATCACCCAGTACATTGTGCTAGCTTTTAAAATATGTAGGATATTATTTGCAAGTTTACTACGGATATGTACATAAGTGTTACAAAAAACTACGTTTTTTAAATAATTTTTATTTAGGATTGTTTATTGCATAAGTAATAAGTAATCAGCCGGGAGATTAGGTATTGTTTTGAATGCTTTTGTTTTCTCGTAATGTTTAGGTGAATTGTTTATAGTTGTTCATAGAATTGGTACCTGTGTAGTATTTGTTAAATGAAGTTTAATTTTAGGGTAGGTATAGGTAATTTAAGTTTTGAAGAGTGTAACGTATGCGTTGTAAATAGGTATTTTGTGAATAGATTGGGATTTTTTTAAGTGATGAATCGACTTAGGCTAGCATATTGCGAACAAACTCTGTATTGCATTATTTCTGTAATAATGTTGGAGGAAATAAAATATTTGATCACAAAATCGCGGTGAGTTAAATTATAATAAAATAAATTATTTATGTAAAATTATTAATAAGTGATATACCTACCTACAAGTTATGATCGTTTTTAATTTGTTCACCCTGAACGAAATTTCAATATTAGCATTAGTAATTAATATCCTAAGACAAGAATTGACAATTACTTAAATTGAATCGAATTAGCATTAATGCCCATTATTAGTAATTAGGTACACACATATTGAAGAACTCTCAAGAATACGATAAATATTTGCAAAAATAGAAAGCGGAAGCGCACACGCACTTTACAAGACGTATATTATCTGCCTAAGGGTCAAGTTTAGTGCACTAGATGCAAATTGCAAACAATGAAGTATCCCTTCGCCCCTCCCCTTCCGCGTTCTAGCGAAGGATGTATTATCGGCGATTCTTGATTGACAAATATTATCTGACCAATAATTTTATCTATAAAAATGTATCACTTTCACTCGATAAATTAAATTACCGTTATTATATCAAAATATCATTCAACAACTGTTCGTTTTTAACAGAAATCAACAGTCACGGGCTCAACGCTTTAGCGTAGGTACATAGGTATAGATAATTCTCGGTTCTCGGTAAAGACCACAGAACAATATTACCTACTCTTACGAGGTATACCACTGTTGGGCGATGCAATGTTGATGCATTCTAATTTACATCTGTATTCTTCTACAATTCGGTCTATTTTAACTTATTGGAGATGACTTGTTGCTTTAAATATTTTGATGCATTCAAGTCTAAGCTCTATACACCTCAAAATAAAATACAATTACTTTAGTGTTATTTCTTTACAAAAAAAATCAAAGAAATGAAACGATTTCTTATTGGTTTAAATTTTCGATTTATTGCAGTCAGGTGAATCGTTCATACATGTATCTACATATTTATAATTTTAGAAGACCAGTGCAGATTTTCTGTTGATTGTAGCTCCGGTAGTTAAAAAGACTAACGAAATTTTAAGTAAAGAAACTAGTGCTTAAGATCAATTAGGAAAAAAAAACAAAATAAATAATAGGTAATAATAATGAATAAATATTGAATGTATTTAACACTGTACGCAACTGTACCGAAATCGTAAGGTGTATTACACTAAACATTTTAAAAGACAGCGCAATGTACTGGGTGATCGCTTTTTTGTAACCACCTAAACATGGTCGGATTACCACGGACTTGCACCTTCTAATGACTTTTATTTGATTATCTCGTAAATTATTATATGTACTACGCTGAAATTTTACAGGTAGACAACTGAACTAAACAACTAATTATTGGCATAACATTCAGTTTATATATCCACACACAGGTTTATTGGTGGCCAAAAAAAGCCGCACACATTGTGATCGTGAACGTGGAGAGCTACATTTCATCATAACTTTTTAGTCACTTACAGTATTCTTACGAAAATTCGTATACATTTGAAGGTAGTTACAAGCAATAGAATAACGTTTGAAATAAGTCTTTAGAGGTCTTATTTAAAGTGTTGGGACGTATTGAAGTGTTTTCATACTTACCTAAATAATTTTTAAACGGTCCATTATTTTTGTTATTTTATTGTCGAACAAATTAAAACTAATCCTTAAGAAGTTATGTACAAAAGATGGTTACAATCCGCTTACCCGTTTCAGAGATCCAGCAAACCCACAAACGTTACTCCAGCAGGATCTCGAATAACTTCGCAGCCGAAGAAAATACAAATACCAAATAAGTTGTAACATTTACCTAGTCCAGATAACTAATTATTTAGCTAAAATTTATTTCAATATTACAATTAAAAAAGAAAATGTCTGGCTGCGGTAACGTTTCAAACGTTACTCCAGCAGGAAATGTTTTTTTGAAATAACTAAAAAAGTTTAAGAGAAACAAATTTAAAAATGTGCCTAACAATTACAGAAGGGGAGCAACTAATTATCTATAACGTTTAAATGACCATTTTCGACATTATTTTGCTGGGGTAACGCACACGATATCATCATCAGCCTATCGCAGTCCACTGCTGGACATAGGCCTTTCCTATTGCACGCCACTTCGATCTATTTGCGGCTTCTCGTATCCAGCATCGCATACTAATTAAGTATATTAATACGTATATCACAAAGATTTGGGCTTTGATATTATTACATAAATATAGTCAAATTATACCATAAATATAAATATGCTTTTAGTATTTCACTTCATTGTGTACCTATTTTAAAGATACTTTCAAGATTACCAAAATGTAATGGATAAGGATAAAAATCCTTTTTCATCTGCAGATATCCGTGGATACGGATATCCGTGATATCACTGATTGTAATTGTTGAATTTTAAATTCACGGAATAGCCTTGGTATAATATAACACCAACCAGTATTTCTTCGAATCATTTTTTTTTGTTTATTGTTATTGGCGAAAGTTGGGATGGATATTTGTAACTCAATCGCGCCAGAATGGCTGAACGACTTTCGATGAAATTTGGCACACGGTTTTGACTGAAATAGCACAGACTTACTTTTAGCCAAGGAAAGTTGATTAGAAGAAACGGGAGGGAGCTAATATAGCAATTTTTCTTTTGTTTCAGAAAAAAAATGTACTGCCTTGGTGTTACCAATGAAAATCGAACACGGCACAGGTGCACCTGTAAGACTTGTGGCTGTTTGTCCTAAAGTGACACTATGAGAGATATGACGAGAGAGAGAACATGTACTAAACGCATCATCAATCATATTATAAAATGTATTTGTTCTCTAATTTTACACATTTTATTTTAATATGTAACTATAAAATATACAAATATGTAGTGGTTATTGTGTATTAAAATAAAACAGTATACCTGAAGAAATTGTTTTATTTGGCAAACTTACATGTAACTAATATGAGATGTTATTTTTGATGGAAACATTTTAAAATACAGACATAAGATACAAAATACATTTTTATTAAGCGCTCATTAGAAAAATATAATTAATTTTAATGTTGTATCTTGTTTTTAGATTCACAAAATACATTATTTTGGTATTTCACTATTTTTCAACTGTAAATTTTACGTAAATATACTTTTTGCCTGCACATAGTTTTTTTTCGCATCATCAAAAGGGTCACAGTAAGATTTTAACGTACCTATTGCACTACAAAAATAACTTGTGTTTATAGTTGCCCGACAAATAGTATAGCTGTATCGATTATGTGTGAAACTGACAAAAGTTAAATTATTAATTACACGATCTATTAAGACCATATACATATATTTCGTAAGGTCTTTTCCAATGTACCTCTTTACTTACTTATACTTTTACTAATTTCGAAAAGTTGATTGTAGTGAACATGTGTATGCATTGTGTCCGGTCATAGACTAGCGATTTTCTTAATACTATTTTAATTAATTTAAATTAAAATACAATACAATCTACACGCTGTGTGCAAAGCACGCTATTAATGTAGTTACAATGAGGAAAAAGTCAAAAGCACAAGAAAATAAACAAATTATTAGGTTGCATAATGGTTGAGAACCTCGAACTTGTTTTTATTATATTTTTTAAATTAATGGACACACAAGAAATTGACTTCAACGTTTGTAATTACATTATTAAGATTTAGTTTTAACTCGTTTTTTAATAATTTTTATATGACTCTTATCGTACCTTGGTTGATATCCAGCTTGATGGTTGATGGATGGTGAATAGTGGCTTCCCAAGCAGTAAAAGAATATTTAACAAATAATCGTGACCGTGTCGCTCAGTAAAAAATGAGAAGGCTTATGCTGGATGTTTTTGCAATAATATACTCTAAATGTTACATAGGCATTTAGAATATGGCCAGTCCATGACTGGACATACTGTATTTTAAATTTTATGAATGTTATACACATATATGTACGTGTGTTGTGGAGTGTTAAGGATCATTAAATCAGATCGTTTTTGTATTTTAATCAACAAAGCTATTTTAATACTTTGACGGATTTATGTCTGGGTTTATTTAACAATTTTAATTCTTGCACACATGTCAAAACATAAAAAACCTTAAGTTTTACCTTTAAAAATACGTATTTGTATTTCAAATATTACTTAAAGTATAATACATATACTTTACATATCTTTCTAAGTAATAGTACCAGTGAAAGTTTTGTTACAACAAACTAATATTGTCTGTTAATAAACTTAAAGTAACACAAAGTAAAGAAAATTCGATTTAACAATTATTTTCAACTTAGTTAGTCACAATAAAAATATCTTTTTCAATGAGTTCTTTATATATTAAGTCATTTTTATAATTTTTTAATTCTACCAACGGAATCGAATTTTCGAAAGTTACGATTTTAGCTTTAAATGGTCCTCGATCTAGAAATACCTTCGCGTACTCTTTTGTAACGTCTTCAATATCCAACTGTGGATTTATTTTGACTCCATATAGTTTTGCCGATATTGTAGCCGGCGGCAGCTTTGTCCATTCATCTAATATTTCTCTTGTGTCACCTATAGAAATAACTTCAGTATTGCCATAGTCAACATATCTAACTTTAATTTGTTTTTTTGCCTCACTGAATTGCAAAATTGATGCTCGATACCATTGACCGTCATCCGGAAAAATCGCGATACAAGCTTTATTTTCAAAAATACCATTTATTAATGGCAAATTTTGACTTTCAACTTGTAGATCTTCAAATAATTGTTCATATAAAGTAGTAGTATCCTCATCGGAAATAATAGTTAATTCGAGTACGTGTAAGTCGTTTATAATTGTAATGTTACATGTAAATTCTTTATTAGTATGTTCTGGATATGTTACATAATTACCATCAATGGGTTCATCCATAATTTTATTCCAATCTACCCCTTTCATAGAACTTACTTCGAAAAAATCGTCGTCTATGGGCTCACACGTGTCTGTTTCAGTTTCATCTACAACTATATAATCAGGTCCAGAATCTGAGGCAATTGTTATAGTTTCTTCTTCATGTTTTTCTAAAGGGACGGGTGCGAATTTCTTTATGAGAGATTTTGATCCGTCTGTGTATTCAGCCATTTCAAAATCAACCAAGTGGTCGTTGATCGACAACTGCTCATATTTAATTTCTATTGGTGTAATTCCATTGATTGCATCTCCTGTTACTTTAATATGACATTTTTTATCAACAACTGATTTATGAAGATAGTCCAATGTTTCCCGGTCCCAACTGCCGCCAACCGGACGGATCCGACTCAAACTAAACTTACGTGCTTGAATCGGTATTTGATGTAGTGGGACACTTTTCCTTAAATTCGAGAAAGTGCATGGGTCTTCGTTACCATAATCCACATAACTAATAACACAACTCAACGCTTCATAATCGACATCGACTACCCTTCCTCTATAATATCTATTGTCTAAGTAATACAGTGCAACACATGGTTCACCGATACTCCATTTTGTATATTTTGCTTTCGGGTCTGGGGATTTGAAACGTACTTCAAGTGCCTTACGAATAAGATCTAATGTGTCTGTTTGTGCTACGTCGTGTAGATAAATCACACCAGTATTATCAATATACCTAAAATAATAGAAATGTATATGTATTGTATTTGACCACCTTTATAATATATACATATATATATATATATAGAGCATTGTCGTCATAAACACTTACACGACTACTTCTATACAGTCTAGTTCTAGTTGTAGTCATTGCGGATCTTGAGCGCTGAGTGTCACCTGCGCGGAGGTCAATTTTTGGGTCCCTTTGGTGGAATGAAGGAGGGCAGGGGAACAAAAAAGCATAATGACGCCCAGTGATTAGTTCAACGTGTTCGCTGTAGGTACTTTACGACGACGAGTATACCTTCGTCCAATTTAATTAACTCGATTAAATTATTTCTACTTTCTTTATAAGTTAAAATTGAGATATTTTATGTGACTGAATTATTTATTTATTTCAAACTTAATGCACATGTTGTACAAAGGCGGACTTAATGCCATTAAGCATTCTCTCCTAGTCAACCTTTAGGTGATGTAGAAATATGATGCGGTAGGTGCGAAATAAAATATTAAATTTAACATAATTTAGGTCTAGAGACAAACACAATATATAAACACACATACATACATAAACATACATAAATTTAATAAAATATATAAATACTCAGTCGGGTACTAGCGTTGTGACTGTTCTGCCAATTCACTCCGAAGAAAATCGCGCACTTTCCTCTTGAATGCAAGGCGGTTTGTGGACATCGGCAGGGCGGGCATTCCAGAGAATAACTATCTGGACGTAGAAGGAGTTGATGAGCTTCTTCTATACCCCCCTCACACCTCCAACGGTGCGAGGAAACGTAAAGCAGACACGTGGTCATACTTGCGAAGATTGAAAAAGAATCGAATGCAGTTATTGAGAAGGCGATCTAGTTTATTTAGAAGGTCTGCATTCAGGTCGAAATAACATACATTACCATAGTCGATTAAGGGAATAATTAAGGACTGCATAAGCGTAGCATTAGATTTAGCGGGAAGGCAGTTCTTCAAACGATATAAAGCACGGAGACATGTGGTGACTTTCTAGCTGACGTATGTAACCTGTGCCCGCCAGTCAAGTGTCACTATAAGGTATAGTCATATTGTTGTAGACAACTGGTGGGATGACCGCCATATCCAACCTACTTATTATTTGTTTGCTCCCCACGACTATCACTTGACATTAGGTTGGATTTACCGACAAACCAAACCTCGTTGACCTGCTCTTTATAAAGTCTTTGTCGATAGCGTATGTTATGTTCTCAACCCTTGTCTGTGTGTACACTAGTAAGTCATCAGCGTAAAGGTGATACGTACACTGAAGGTGCTGGGTTATGAGATTAATGAATATTGAGAATAATAAGGGAAATAATATACCGCCTTGAGGGACGCCAGTGAGAAGATCACACCAACTCGACGACAAGCCATCAATATGAACACTCTGTTGTCGTCGACAACAGAGTGTTTGTGAGAACCATTTCAGAGCTTCTGAGGAGATCATAAGATAGGAAAGGATGACTAACGTCATGACTAACGGTATTAAAAGCATTCGAGAAATCAATCAAAGTGAGTACTGTGACTCTAGTGTCCTCCATACCCTCCCTAATATCGCCTGTCACTTTGAGGAGAGCGGTGGTTGTGCTGTGACCGGGTCTGAACCCAGATTGTAAAGGACTAAGAAGATTCTGCTGATTTACAAACTGTGAGAACTGCTTATATACACAGGCCTCTAGCACTTTAGAAAGAAAGGGAAGTATATACATAGCGTACATAGTGTAATAAATTCTAATATGTACATAAATAATAAAATATATTTTTTAGTAGTTAATTTATTTCTATAATAAAGTATTCTTATTTAAAAAGTAACTCCGAATAAACGCTGAAGAAGGCGTCATAAATTTAAAATAAGCACAAAGATCAGAACAAATCGACTTCAAGTGGAAACTGTAACAGATGATGACCATTTTGATATAATTAAAAGGTGTTAACACATTTTCAGGGGTAATTATGAATAAAAATATGGTGTGCATTTTATTCTTCAATAAGTGCACACTGTGTCGCCGAGTGCTCAAGATCCGCACCAGTAAATACAATATATGAATATAGTATGATTTTAACATATGCTATAAAGGAAAAAATCGTAAGAGAAGGCTAACATTCATTTATGATATTTATGAAATTAAAAGAAGCCAAAGAACTTCATGCAGCTCCTGCAGTAGTCGCGAGAAAGTAAATAGTAAATTGACAGTGGTGTTTATCCGTGGCGCTAAAACGAATATATGTAATATAATATACTAACACTATTGTGTGACATACTAATTAAGTTCTGTTAAATGTGCAATAAAATATAAACTTACGTTGGTATTCCAGTAAATTCTTTAGTTGTCACTGGTTCAGGAGGCAGCCAGTCAGAAACATACATGACGTTACTTATGTCTACATTTTGAGCTTTGTGATAATTATCATCACTTTCTAATGAAGAGGAAGGCGAGGCTCGTATATTTTCATTTTCAGATTTCTTGGTGATGGGCTCTATTGGTAATGGATCTAATTGTAGCCACTCATTAACTGATCCAGTTATGTTTAGAAACGACAAAATACCGTCTCTATCCGTTTCTGTATTTTCCTTGGTCGCAACCTGAATAACATTTGTAATAATTGGTAACACATTCTATTTATTTTCCACTTAGTAAGTGGCAGCAGATTCTTGAGAATCAAGCTGTGTGAAAAGTAACTATTTACGAGGGTTGCTATTTATGAATCCGGAACTTGCCAGTTACAGAACAATAAAAAATGAAATTATAACATTAAAAAATGGAACTCTTTGGCTGAAGAATACTATTTGTTTCATGTAGCTGTCATTTTTTATCCTTTGTGGCGTCATTTTGATATTGATTGCCACTAATAAGAGTATGCCTTACTATTAGAAAGTGTGTTTACTCTATTTACATTCTAAATTATCATTGGTTATGATCATACAAAAAAAAATTGTCATTTGAAAGTGACGACGAGAGTATTTTCGAAAATAGATAGTGACGGAATGTCGTAAGTAAACTATATGTATTATACATCAAAATACTTGCCAATAAATCTAGTTTATTTCAATATGTATAAAGTTATTATTCTTGATGTATAAATTACAACGAAAAACAACTTCAAAATCCTATACCAAAAAAATGGCGCCTAACTTGTCAAAATAACTGTAATTATTCGAGTTAATGTAGGTATTACCTAGTAATATATTTGATAACCTTTCTTATTTATCTTATATTGTTGAGTAAACTATAATAATAAACTTATAATTTTGATATTTACGAAAATGATATCGAAGTATGGCAGAAAGTACTGATTGTCAAAAAACCATCTAATTTTTTCAAGTCACGTGATATTTCTGTATTGATCGAGGTGTAAAAGTGCAAATATTAAAATACTAGCTGACCCGGCAAACGTTGTTTCGCAATATACATTATTTCTAGGAAATATTTAAAAAAAAATTTGGGGATGGGTCGAACCTTGTCATTTAGGGGTATGAAAAATAGATGTTGGCCGATTCTCAGACCTACCCGATGTGCACACAATATTTCATAAAAATCGGTCCAGCCGTTTCGGATGAGTATGGTTACTAACATTGTGACACGATAAATTTATATATAAGATGATTACCTTGTTTTTATGTTCTACGAGCCCTGATGCAAAATAGTTCGTCTAGTGAGAAATTTTCTGTGAGATTTTTTGTAACTTCATTGTTTTTGTATATCTACATAAAATATTAAGCTGTTCTACTATCATATGCCGCGTTACTTATGCCATTTTTTAATTATGAATCAATAAACTATTTTAGCTTTTTAAATTTATACATATCCTGTTTTAAATTCGAAGAAGTTATAAGCAAGATAGTTCGTCTAATTGTTAATTGATGCAAAAGAGTTCGTCTATCGGTGAGTTCAATAAGATTATACCTTCTTTGTACAATTATGTTGCATAATTTAAATTAGTAAAAGTAATTCTGTGTCATTTGTCAAGTGAGACAGTATAAATTCTGAAAATTTCAGTCTTTCAGCGAATAGTTTGTGGGGTCGATGCTGGCAAATCAAGTTACAAAATATCTAAAGACTGGATACTTCCCAGGTCTAAAGTCCAATCTATCATTCAGCACTAATATCAAGAATAATCGTCGTGCTCGAGCTGGAGAACTCACGGTGCAATGGAAGGACATGATTCACGAAGACGTCACAGTTGATACTTGCAAAAGAGTCCTAAAAAGAATGGGTTACGGATTTTACACCGCTAAGGAGAAGGAAAGAGGTCAAATACCTAGGACTATACTGGCCAGTAAACTCCTGTGGAATAAGCACCTCGATGAAAAACTGTATAAAGCCAGCATTATTTTCTGCCAATGCAAACGGCTACTCGGCAAAAGCTGGGGACTATCACCCAAGATTACTTTATGGCTATACAGAACAGTCATAAGACCTAAGACCAATAATGACTTACGGTGCTGTTGTCTGGTGGCAGAAAACAGAGCTAAGCACCGTCATAAACAAACTGCAGCAATTCCAGTGACTCCCATGCTCCGCGGTCACTGGCTGTATGCGCACAACGCCTACTGCCGCACTGGAGGTGGCTCTTGGTCTGCCCCTCCTGGATCTATTCACACAGCAGGAGGCCGCCATGGCAATCATTAGACTCAAACACCTGGGTCTATGGCACAAAAGTGAGGGATCGCACTCCAAATTATGGGATCAATTGGTGGAATACGAACTACTGATAGCAGCTCCATGCGATAGAATCCCAAAACACCATATCTTCACAAGAAGATACTACATCAAGATACATGAAAATGACCGAGATCAATCCGGCATTAACGAAGTCCGAATTTACACGGACGGTTCCAAGACTAGGTCAGGCACTGGAGCCAGAGTTTTCGAGCTAGACCTAAATATAAACATATCACTAGCGTTAGGCCAACACAGTTCCATATTTCAATGTGAATGTGTGGCAATAACTTACGCTACCACAACGGCCATGTCAAGGGGTATCAAGGACTACAACATCCGAATAATATCCGACAGCATGGCCGTCTTAAAGGCATTAGAGGGCAACACAATGACCTCTGGTGTTGTCTTCGAATGCCACCAACCACTGGAACAGCTCGCTACATTCAATGGGGTACTCCTCCAATGGATTAAAGTGCACAGTAACTCACACGGGAACGATGCGGCAGATGAGTTGGTAAGGAGGGGCTCGGCAACCCCGACCTCTGGCCCAACCCCACTCCTGCCCATATCGTTTAACCAAATACGATGCTGGGTCAGGCAACGGACCTGTGAAGCACACAACCGGAGGTGGAAAAACTCACCCGGATGTAGACAGTCCAAACTGGTGCTGAATCAAATCACACCACGACTCACCTGCAGATTGATCAGTCTTAGCAGACCGGAAATCAGAATGGTTGTCGGAACTATTACAGGACATCTAGCCCTGAACTGACAACTATTCATCATCAATGCGACGGACAGTCCCCTGTGCAGGGGATGTCTGGAAGCTGAAGAAACGGCCGTCCACGTAATCCTGGAATGCGAGGGAGTGGCCACACAACGGGCAAGTATCATTCCCGATATAAAGTCGTTCCTAGAAGCCTGTGAACGCCCCAGGAGGCTTCTGCGCTTCTGGAAGGAGCTTGGCTGGCTCACCTAGTCAACCAATCCTCGACGCATAAAGGACCACTCTGAGTCTAAATGCGGAAACCGAAGCCCACAACCCATACCAATTACCCTTTCCATAGCAAGTTGAGCGACTTACAACTTGTGGAATAGCCGTACCGTAAGTGTCCACGGGTATGTTATGACGGGTAGGACGCACTAATTGAAAACTTCGTCTTAAGGCGCTGTGGGATCGACGATGAGAAGACTCGACGTAGCTTCCCAAACGCTGCCCAACCCAACTGAATTCTTCTGTTCAACTCGTCATCGAAGTTCTTTCTACCTAACTGCAATGTCTGCCCGACGTACACATAATTTTGAACAACTTCGAGCACGCAACGGCACCGTGTACCGCAATGGGTCCGGTAGTACAACATGACCTTGGTTTTATCCAAGTTCATCCGTAGGCCGATGCGTACAGAAGAGTCAGCTAGGTCATTCAGCATCTGTTGTAGGTCTTGTAGCGTCCCTGCAATTATGACGATGTCGTCTGAAAATCGCAGTGCAGCGTCTTCAACATGTTTTCCATTGCATTTGGGAACAATTTAGGGGAAATAACGTCCCCTTGTCTCACTCCTCGATGAAACAGTAGGGGCCTTATTTGCTGATTGTGTACTTGGACGGACATAGTTGTGGCTTCGTAGAGACATTTCATCACTTGGATGAATCGCTAATCTACTTGGCAACGCTGCAGGTACTCCAGACCAGATCTCGATCGAGTCAAAGGCCTTCTCATAGTCCACGAATGCTAGACACAGAGGCTGATTATATTCTTCGGTCTTTTGTTTATATGCCGCACTGTGGATGTGGTCTAAACTTTGGGAGCTCCCTTAGTACGGGTTTACCTCCGGCCTTTAGCAGCTTTGTTGTAACGGCATCCTCTCCAGGGGCTTTTCCATTTTTAAACTGTCCAAGAGCCATCTCAATTTCGTCAGTGCTGACTTCTGCTAGGTCTTTGGATCAGGTCGAAATGCATGCGATGCTTATAACCTGTCATAGAAGCTTTCCACTTCCAAAAGGACTGCCGGCTTCTAAGCAACGACTTCTCCACTTGCTGTGGTCAACTTTGTCTAGTGGCTTCTTCCAAGAAATTGTAGAAACACTTTTAACCCTCTATTCTGCTCGATCGCTCTTTCAATTGAAAGAGTATTGGAGTACCGGAGGTCGTGTCGTACGAGCTTACTGATCTCTTGGTTTAGAGTCCGCTTTGCCGACAAAGTGACAGGGGGGTTTTCACGTTGTTTCTTAATTAGCCCTAAGGTCTCTTCTGAAAGCTTCGACTTCCTACCCTTACGCTGCATTTCACAAAATCTCGTACCTTCTTCCCTGAGGATCCGAACCACATTTTCGAGGTTCTGGTTTAGTTCGGTTGTGGTTTCCACGGAAGCCAATCGGTTTTCCAGTTTTGACTGGAACGTTTTAGATCCTGTCATCTCTTGGAGCAGAGTTGGTCGGAGCCTGTATTTCATCAAACAGACACGTTCAGCCTTAAAGTTGATATTCAGAGAGCCTCGGACAAGTCGGTGATCACTACCGGTATTAAACCTATTGATTACTGAGACGTCTCTGAATATGTGCTTCCTATCCGTCATGATGAAATCGATCTTATTTCTCGTCGGGGCTTTGCCACGTCCACTTTTTGGGGCTGTTTCTTGAAGAAAGAGTTAATCAAGAAGAGCCCCTCCCGTTCAAGGAAGTTGATAAGCATTTGCCCCCTGTGATTCCTGCTACTAAATCCATGGGATCTTACTACTGATTCGCTGCAATTTTGTACTCCTACTTTAGCGTTGAAGTCACCCATAACAACGTTGTCTTTCCCTCAGCCTATGCTTGTCCACTGCTGGACATAGGCCACTCCCAATGATTTCCAGCGGGGACGGTTGATTGCGGCCTGCATCCAACGGTTTCCGGCAACCTTTACCAGGTCGTCCGTCCATCGGGTAGGCGGTCGTCCCACACTGCGCTTTCCAGTACGTGGTCTCCATTGGAGAACCTTGCTGCCCCATCGGCCGTCAGTTCTCCTTGCTATGTGCCCTGCCCATTGCCACTTGAGCGCGCTAATCCGTTGGGCTATGTCGACCACCTTTGTTCTCCTGCGGATCTCCTCGTTGCGGATTCGATCACGCAGGGAAACGCCAAGCATAGCCCTTTCCATAGCACGCTGAGCTACTCTGAGCTTTTTGATTAGGCCCATAGTAAGAGACCACGTCTCAGTTCCGTAGGTCATCACTGGTAACACACACTGGTTGAAGCATTTCGTCTTTAGGCACTGAGGTATTTTGGACGTGAAGACGTTTCGTAATTGCCCGAACGCTGCCCAGCCGAGTCGGATTCGACGATTGACCTCTTTCTCGAAGTTGGACTTACCTAATTGGACCGTTTGTCCTAGGTAGACATATTCGTCAACAACTTCGAGGACAGAGTTTAACACGACTATGGGAGTCGGCGCGACATGGACATTCGACATGATTTTCGTCTTGTCCATGTTCATTTTAAGGCCGATCTGTTGAGAAACTCCGTCAAGGTCAGCGAGCATTTGTCCCAGGTCTTCCAGCGATTCTGCCATGACTACGATGTCGTCGGCAAATCGAAGGTGAGTGATGTATTTGCCATTGATGTGATGCCAAGTTCTTTCCATTCCAGGAGCTTGAAGGCATCTTCCAGAGCAGCGGTAAACAGTTTTGGAGAAATAACGTCTTCCTGTCTTACCCCTCTCTGTGGAATTGCCTTCGTGTATTGGTCCTGTACTCGAACTGACATATTGGCGTTATTACACAAACACTTCAATACCTCGATGTGCCGATAGTCAATATGGCTCCGCTGGAGAGACCTAAAGACTGCCAAAGTTTCGATCGAATCGAAGGCTTTCTCATAGTCCACAAACGCCAAGCATAGTGGCCGATTATACTCCTCGGTCTTCTGTATAATCTGCCACAGCGTATGTGGTCTATGGTACTAAAGCCTTTTCGGAAACCGGCTTGTTCGGGAGACTGGAAGTCATCAAACCGACGTTGGAGACGATTCGTGATGACTCTTGAAAACAGCTTGTAGACATGGCTCAGTAGTGTGATGGGCCTGTAGTTCTTCAATAAGGTATTATCGCCCTTCTTGAAGAAAAGTACCACCACACCCCTTTGCCATGACTTTGGCGTGTGTCCCTCGAGCAAGACGGAATTGAAGAGCTTCTGGAGGACCTTGCCACCCGCTCTCAGAAGCTCAGATGTGATTCCGTCATCACCCGGTGCCTTGTTATTCTTAAGCTGTTTCAGAGCCATCCCAATCTCGTACTGGCTGATGTCCGGGATATCTTCGGTAGAATGTCGGTTTAGCCTTGCTCTAGGGTCTTTAGCTGGGCTACTAGCAGGCTTTGCGGTTGAGGTATACAAGTGTCGATAGAACCTCTCTATCTCCGTAAGTACCTCTTGCCTACTCGACGTTACACTCCCCTCTTCTGTCTTCAGCTTTGTCAACTGGCTTTTCCCAATAGACGCCTCTCTTGCGAACACTTTAGAGCCTTTGTTTCGCTCTATCGTCTCCTTAATACTGTTAGTATTAAAGGAGCGGAGATCGTGTCGCAGAGAATTCCATATCTGTCTATTGAGCTGCCGATAGGACTTAGCATCAATTGTAACGTTGTAGTGGGTCTTAATTGTGTAGTGGAGGGTCCTCGATATGTCATTGTACATATCGTCACCGTCACCGGCCCATTGTATTTAGAATACGCCAATAGCGATGGATATACCGCAATCGGTCGGTCGCCAGAGCCTCGTTCAGCAGGTTGCACCGTGGGCACGCCCTTACATGTGCATATTTCGTTTTACCTTTTATGTTATTCTATCAATGACTGTACAACAACTATACAAAAAAATATTACGAAGGGTGCACGCTGTTTTTTTATTTTTAGAATATTGTGCAACACTGCACATAAGCCACCACAAAATTGTACATTTACTGAACTGTTACCAAATATTTGCTGAATACATAAATAATGATGTAGTATACTGTATTTATATCTGTATTAATGATCACTTGTCCTTTGATTGATCGAACTACCAGGTCCGACTGGCATTTTCTTAACTCTCCTTATTTGTTTTTTATGGGTTGCTATAATAAATAAACATAAATTCATTTCATGATTTGTCTTTTCATTTTTACTGTATATTATTTACCTTGTATACTAATTTTATATCTAAAATAACTAGACGTAATCAACACAACATTATGCTACTAAAACAAACGCTAACACAAAAACAAATCAGAATGTAAAAACAATTGATGTTGATGTCTCCAAAGGCTAAAGAAGATCGCACTAAGTCGGTTGTTGTACCTCAAAATATTGATGCTGTGCTGGCACTAATAATGCAAGATCGTCATGTTACATATCGCGAGATAGAGGCGTCTCTGGGAATAATTATGACGAGTATATTTATAAATAACATTGAGCTACAAAAAAAAAATTTTACGATGGATTCCGCACAACTTGATAATTGACCAACCACGGGCTCGTGTCGATTGGTGTAAAAAAAATTGTTACAAAAGTACAATCAGGGTATCTATAATATCTACACAGGTGATGAATCTTGGATATTTTTATGCGTATGATCCTGAAACTAAACAAGAATCAACGATTTGGGTGTTCCAAGATGAACCAAACTGAACAAAAGTTATTCGTTCAAAAAGCACTTTGAAGCAAATGGTCGCAATTTTTTTATATAAATGGACATGTGGCTACAGTGCCACTAGAGGATCGTAAAACGGTTAATTCTGAATGATACACGACCATTTGTTTGCCAGAAGTTTTTTAAGAAATAAGAAAAATAACCGTCAACGCAGAATCCTTCTTCATCATGACAACGCTAGCTGCCATAGGTCGGCCGAAACAACTTAGTATTTGGAAGATCAAAAGATCGAATTAACGGGTCATCTGCCGTACAGCCCTGACTTGGCCCCCAACGACTTCTATTTATTCCCAACCGTTAAGAATCAATCCATCAATCAACACGTGGTCAACGTTTTTTGAGCCGTGAAAAGGCTGTTGATACGTTCAAAATGCACGTTTTGGAGATACCACAATCAGAATGGAAAAAGTGTGACGAAAATTGGTTCCAACGTATTCAAAACTGCATCGATCATTACGGCAAATATTTTGAAAAGCAATAAAACTGTAATTAATGCTATATGTTTGTTTTACTTTGTTATTCCGGATACATAAAAAGCAGCCCTTATTCTAGATGCAGTACAACTACGTTTATTATGCTGAATAATATCGCAGTTAAAAGTAGAGTTTACGGAGAAAGTACGGATGCCATGTACAAGAAACAATAGATAACATAAGCGCCCGTAGTTAGCTGTAATCTTCTAAAAACTTTCAATTACCCTGGCTAGGCGTTGTTTTTAAAAAATAATCCGAGAATTTACTGCATTTTATACAAAGTTAAGGGCTATGACCTAGAAACTTTAGGGGAATAACTAACCTTGATATTAAAATAAGCTATGTTACTTAATAATATCTATGTTACTCTATGTAACTTACTTCATACTATAGGTATCACACCATATTTAACAGCCTTACTAGTAAAAATAAGTTACACATCTGTTTAACAAATTTATAGTTGTACATTGTATAATCTGTGAATAGGCGTTAAACACTACCCTAACAAATAATCAGTGTGTAAACAATGGATAGTTACCGACTACGTATAACAAAAACCACTGGCAACATTTATTCCAATGACTTTTGTTTCATTTGGAATTACGTTTACAACTTTATACTTATGGCTATATAAAATGTATGTATTATTGATAACGTCGTTTTATCCCAAAATATATCATTTTTAAGTTCTTATACAAATTAAAAATAAATTTATTTTTGATTTGTTTGTTACATACATACATCCAGTTTTAGAACGCAACCCCACCAGGTAGTCCGACGACCGAAGGCAAAAAATGTCGTAAAAGGTATATTCGTAGTATTACTATGACTAGCATATTATCAACTCAACTTTCGGTTACAATACGATATAATCACATTATACAATACGATATAATGACAACGTTGGATGGACACAATACTTCTTTTATTCATTTATACGAGAATTGACCAATAGTACAAACTTAAAGTTCTTTTGACATTCCAGCACCTCGAGCTTGCTGTTTAATGTCACAATTAATTTAATATATTTTGTTGCATATTTTTTGCTGAACTTAAGTTTTGACCGAAACTCATATTCAGATAAAAAGAAATGCTCAAATCGATTTTTGTAACATTTACTTTTCTTGGTGGTTTTTCATTGTCAATTTAACCAAAAATATCGAAATATTGTAAATAATCCATGGCTTTCAAACTGAATATAACGAAACCAACACGTCAATTAGTGTTTTATTGGTAACGTTTTTGTTATAACCTTAGTATACGTCGTTATCTTTTATTTTTAATGGAGATTAAAGGATTTACTTCAAAACTATTAGTTTAAATGCCATTACAACATTTTTATGATTTATTCATCATTACTGACGATTAATATTAAAAAAGATAACTTACCATCTGAGACTTGTCTGGTACCCCTAGACCTTGTTCAATAATCTTTTTGTTTAAGCAACGCCATTCGGATTTGTTGGGTTCCAGTGCATCACCCTGTATGGTGTGATACACCCATATTTCAATAGGCATACTTTTTTCTTTAAAATTGCCAATTTTTGTAATGAATATCCGCTTGTAAATATCTAGGAGCTCCTTCAAAAACTCTTTGGTGAGTGACGGCCATTCTTCTCCAACGGCGGGTATGATGCCATACAAATGGCACATAATAGCTGCATCTCCAAACGACGCAAACTCTGCTGTTAGTTCTCTTAAACTTGAAATAGGCACAGTTTCAATGCAAGCGAAATCGCAATAAAACACTTTGGCTTTTTCCCCCTCAAATTCCATTATGATTGAGCGACGCCATGTTTGTGATTGGTTACACATCGTGCAGCACCTATCACCAACTTTCCATTGTTTTTCTAGTTGAGTTTTGTTTTTAGAATAGTGTTTCTGAATTTTTTCGAATAACTCGTTAAAAGGTTTTTTTTGATGAACTAGCGAAATGTATATGAGCGAAGGCGACTGGTAATGTAAAATTTTAGCCTCTAACCTAAGAGGTCCCTTGTCTTTAGCCTCTAAATCAACTTCATTAATTATAGTTTTATCCTGATTTTTCAAAACAGTTATTTTATTACTCTTTATTTTCGGTTCATCTAGTGGTGACTTATTTGTTACGACCGTTTCTTCAATTCGATTTTTGTGAAACATATAAGCCCTGTAAGAAAAGAACAGATACATATATTTTTCTTTCCTATTGATATATTTAATAAGATGATATAGTGTGTATGTGTGTGTATAAAATAAGCTATTAATCATTGTTCGAGTAGTTGCAAACATGGGATCCATTCATCTCAAAGCTATAACTGCTGAGGTCGTGTTCTACGGAATATATAAGAAAAATGATTATTATCTCACCCAATTGTTACGGCATATTTATACTTGATCATTTCATGATTGATGCATATAATGTTCTCAGGATCAGTTTTATCGTGTAGGGTGACCCCAATAGAGCCTCGGTTCTGATTAGACCGGTTTCGACGACTATCTTCTACCTGTAGTTCTAGTAAGCTTCCCTCGTATTTTTTCAGTAAAGTAACTGAACCGGGAGCCCATTTCTTGTTTAATGGTGTCACGCCAGCTAAGTGGCACTCTGTAGCCTAAATCATACAAATAAATTTTGATTGAATTAGTTGTACATTAGGAAAATCATTGGAAAAATCTATATTTTTTTTGTTTTGGTGTCTATGAGTTCGTGCATACTAGTTGGTTTAAAGATTTTAGTGTTTTCGTGTAGTTACTCTGAGAAAGCAACATTGAAGCCCAAATTTAAAAGGTATCTCAGTCGCGAATCTAGTCTTAAAACTAATTTTAAGTAGAGATTTTATTATTGAACGTCACTTAAAACGTGATTCAGCAATCCATACTCAAGTGAGTGATAGCTTATTTTAGAACGATGTTTATGTCGAAATATTTACTCAGGTATAGATTTTGACAGCTGATATCTTTGTTTAAGTGAGACAAGCTGAAACTAGTCTCAAGCCCTAGGCATTTTAGGGGAAATGAATGTATGGGCGGTCCTGAAGGCCAGCAACGTCGCACTAATGCGACGACCGCAGCGAGTGCTGGCCATTAGGATTATAAGGGGGTACCGCACGATCTCATTTGAAGCGGCGAGTCTCCTGGCCGGATTTTTTTAAAATAATTAGCTACACAGCAAATACGGGATAATAATGTCAATCATGCGGAAACGTAGTTGAGAACAGACTAAGTTCAAATCAATACTTAAACTAGTTTCCACTGAGTAAAACTTAAAACGCGTTCTATAATAAGATCGATACTTAAGTTTTGATTTGCACTTAGAACTAGTTTCAGGCAGTCAGAGTTCACGATCGAAGATACTTGAGACGTCTTTTTAAAATGTGGGCCTTAGTGAAGCAGTAGTGTTAATAAAGGCACACACATGAAATTTATGCTCGTGACAATGTACACCAATGAGGAAGATAATGGAGATCCGCATTGTTTAGAGCAGATCTAGAGATCAGTCGTCTGTATATGCGGATATAAAAAGTTAGGAGCTGTACGATACGTACGATGGCTCTGATGGCGGTGAACTTGTTGTGTATGTGGCGCAGTTTGGTCCAGTGCAGCAGCAGCTCGAGGCCGGTGTCGGGCAGCAACACGCGCACGCGGCCGCGCCCCGGCAGCTCCGTCACCACGCCGCGCGCCCACGCGGCTCCCTCGGCCTCACCCACCGCGCCCTCTGCGTTGTACTTGTCCACGTTCACCACGCACACCATTCCTGCGATACGAGCAAATATAACACTGCTCTGTGAACGTTGCAGATCGACTACCTACTCGACCGATCGTCATTAAGTCTCGCATACACGTCGGCAGGGATACTGAAAATATACCTTTCTAGCAAGGAAGTAAACTACCTCTCATTACACTGTTTGGGAAAATTTATATTAACGCGACAGGAGCGAAACTTAAAATATACTAAATGGGTGAACCTTTGCTTCATAAGATGACTATACGCAACACCTGTTTATATTATTATTCTCTTTATTTCGGTAATCGGTCTATTACCACTATATCAGGTTTATTAGCAGCAATAGTCCTGTCAGTGATTATAGAGCGATACCAGTACAACGTTGCACGACCATTTTCAAGAACTGGGTCGGGCACATATTTGTAGTACGACAACTCTACAGTTACAAGGTTATACTTGAGAGCAAGTTGCTGATGGACTATCCTGGCCACTTGATTATGTCTATGCAAGTACTCGCCGGTGGCAAGACGAGAACAACCGGAAAGTATATGTCTGAGGCTTTCACTAGGACAATGACATGCCCGACAAATGTCTATTGTGCCGTCCTTCAGGATATACTTCCGATAATTATTCGTCATAATAACTTTAGCAGTAATTGCAAAGACAAAACCTTCAGTTTCCCCGAAGAGGTCATCGAATCGTAGCCAGAATACAGACGCTAGTTGGTCTACCTCAGGCCTGTTCAAGGCCCGATAAAAACGTCCATGCAGCTCTTTGCCCTTCCATATCTCCTTACGATCAGTAATGTTGAGTAACGCAAATTTGCGCCAGTTCTCTTCACCTAGACCAAGCGGAGTGAGTCCGTTATCAACTGCTACTACATCCCTATGCATATCCACATCAATAGACAGGAAGTAATTCCTGAGGTTACATATCTCACGATTGTGGAGGGTCTTAGCATTTAGAAACCCACGACCACCACATTTTCGTGGAATATATAACCTCATCACCGATGAACGTGGATGATGCATTCGGTACGCAGTAAGCAATGTACGAACTCTTCTATCCAGGGTATCTAGTTCAGTCTGAGTCCATCTAAGTATGCCAAAAGAGTAGGTTAGAACAGGTATGACCCAATCATTATAGGCTCTCACCTTATTACCACCTGACAAAAGACTATTTAATACTTTTTTCAGGCGGCCAAAGCAGCGTTCCTGTAACGATTGTTTCAAAGTCAACTCCTTTACACCTAACGCCTGTGACATACCCAGACATTTGTATGTTTCGTTAGCTGAGAGACACCTAAAGTGCGTGGAATATGAGAGTTCCAACCTTTCAGACTCCACAACCCTGCTTCTTTTTACAGGCATGATTGCACACTTATCTACACCAAATTCCATCCTGATACATTTACTAAAGCTTTTAGTTAATTCTAGTAAATTTATCAGTGCGGAATTACTGGAAGCAAACAGTTTTAAATCATCCATGTAAAGGAGGTGGGATATAACCTTACCACCTCTCTGCAAAAGATAGCCTAGCCCTGAACCCTCCAACATAGTGCTGAGAGGATTCAAAGCCAAGCAAAACCACAATGGACTTAAACTATCACCTTCAAATATACCCCTTAATCATTATATATTCGCCATCGCCTTGAGATTGCCGACACCCTGGATAGCAAAGGACCGTTCTCCATTGCCGCATACATGTCTCCAGAAAAGTGCATAGAGTTGTATCAATCTTGTACAACTCCATCACCCTCAAGAGCCACGTATGCGGTACAGAGTCATAGGCCTTTTTATAATCTATCCAACATGTCGCCAGATCTTTTCGGTTACGGCGAACTTGTTGGTTAATAGTCATGTCAATAATAAGGAGCTCTTTAGTGCCACGTGCCCCTCCTCTAAATCTATTCTGAGAGTGAGACATAATAGAGTTGTTCGTAATATGAGATGTTAATTTATATAACGTCGGAAGACACGTTATTGGCCTATAATTTTTAGGATCCGTGGCACTACCAGATTTATAGACTAGGTGAGTTACTCCCATAGTCATAAAAGATGGAAGCGAACCCGATTCTAGGCATGATTGAAAATGAGATGCCAAACGTACATGTGAGCTACGGAGCCACTTTAACCAAAAGTTATGCAGTCCGTCCGGTCCCGCTGACTTCCAATTCGGTAGCGAACGAACTGCATAAGCTATATCAATGTCTGAAATTGATACCGGCTCCATTGTATTGATTGATTCACATGATCGTTCGACATCTCGGATCCATTCACCCTCTGTGTGAGTGATAGGCATCGACCATATGTTACGCCAAAATGTATTAGATATTTTAACATCTGGCAAATCTCCATCACTTACTAAATTAGGCTTCTCCCACCTTCTATAAACCCACCTCTCGTCCCTTTGGAATGTGCGATTCTGAGTATATCGGTCTACTCTTTTTTTATACCTTCGTATACGATTTGCCCATGCATAAGTATAATAAGTCAATGCGCTCTGTGACTCGTGCCATATAATCACAAGACCTGATAACAGTTCCCAAAAAAGCCTGATTCACAAAGCGCATTACTCTCGGGCGTGTGTTGCCCGATCTGAAACAGATAAGCTTGCCAATGAGTACCCCTTTTTTTTTTTTACGTGCGGAAATCCCCTCGGGATCCCCGAAACATCCTTTCCCAGTGATCACCTGCGTCAGTCGGTATGAGAGGGTCCCGTGACGCCTCTCGAGCCAATCCTCCATAACGGGTCTTACCGCCGCGATGACGGCGTGCCCGCCAATGAGTACCCTTGTCTCAGCAATACGACGTTCAATCCTAAATTGCCACGACGGCACCGGAGACTTAGGTAGAGGCCTGGTATGCAGTAATGGCCGCACAATACAGAATTGAATGTGTATCACTGAGGTTTTCACATTTTTCAAAATATGTTGGTAATATAGAATCAAGGGCACACACTAGCGCTTTATTTCGCTTATGCATCGGCAAACGACGTAAACGTGGTCTGTTTACAAAATTCATGGACCCATATTCCAGGATAGCACCTTCCAAAGTATTCCTTATTGTATCATTGTACTGGGTACTTACAGAAAGAGCATCAATTACCTCTTCTTCAGCAGGAGAAGCCTTTAGTAATTCAAGATCTTAATGTATATTATTATGTGAAGAATGAAAAGTAGTGAGGCTTATCTGTAAGTCGGAGCGTAGCCTTACACGCACAGAGGTATCCAACAAATGACATCGCTTAATAGCTCGCACTTGATCCGATAATCTTTGTACCGAAACGTTAACAGTTGGTTCAAGTTCTTGAAACAGAGTCAGCAAACGAGTACGATACGCAGTGAGATTAGTTTCTCCCTCTGTAGCCACAAAATATGCTCGCATGACGTTCTCGTTCATTGAAGAAGTCCATTTCATGCGACGCACATTACCACCGACAGCGGGGGCCCTATTCGAAGCCGATGGGCCTCGGGATCCCAGGCAAACAGGTGGCCGACTCTCCCCTGCCGACGTACAGGTGTTGGCGACGTCGGCTGAGAGAAAAACTCGTCGCTTGAAGACGAGCTCGACACCTCAGCCACGGCCGGAACTTCTGTTGTGGTTCCGTGGACGGCAAGACGGAGCGGAGTGAAGAGTCCGGGGATGTTATTAGTGCTCTCGATCTAGCTCTAGTGATCATTCTTCAGTCGAATTTCTTAGGTGGAAAAACACTTTCATGTATTTTGACGTGACATGACGTTAGACGCCATGTCTTACTATACTCTATCTATGTTTGGTTTATTTATTTTAAGCGTTTTTTTATGATATTTTTATAAAAAGTATATATTTTATTGTTCTTTAATTTGTTTTGATTATTTTACGGTGTTGTAAATTTATGGAAAATCTGTTTATTTAAAATGTGTAAAAGAAATGTTGACTGCTTTCAGTGTTGCTAGTTTAAAATTAGTTTAAATTATTATTATTATTTAGACGCGTTACCTGATGGTAAATGACTACAACCGCTTAAGGATGTCTGCAGCTCAAAAGATGTGTGAGAATTAGGAGAGGTTGATCCTCCGGTAACCTCAATCATCATCATCAACAGGCTTTAATAGTCCTCTGCTGGACAGCCTCTGCTTAGAAGGGAGGTTTTGGCCCACTATAAAACGATGGTCAGACGGGTTGGTATAGGGTTTGTGTCATCCAAGAGGCGGCGCGTCTGGCCACAAGGGGAGTCTCCCTGGTGGTCGGGCGCATTGAGGCGCTGGGCTTAGATAAGATAGCTTGGGCTTGGGCCCTAGATAAGACGGAGGCCCTGTTATTTTATGGGCCCCGTCGTGGTCCACCCCCTGGCGCCTCGATCGTGGTCAACTCGGTCCTCGTACCGGTTCGAGCCCAGATGAAATATCTGGGCCTGATCCTCGACGGGAGGTGGCTCTTCGACGAGCACTTCCGACAGCTTGCTCCAAAGCTGGTCGGCGCTGCGTCTGCCCTAGGGCGACTTTTGCCCAATTTGGGTGGACCCAGCGTCGCGACAAGACGGCTGTACACGGGGGTTGTCCGGTCAATGGCACTATACGCTGCACCGGTGTGGGCGGCGGCTCTGACCGCCCAGAATAGGGCACGCCTCTGGCGCCCTCAGAGGGTAATGGCGGTCAGAGCCATACGCGGTTACCGCACCGTGTCGACGGAGGTGGCGTGCGCGTTGGCCGGATACCCCCGTGGGATTTGGAGGCGGAAGTGCTCGCCGAAGTTTATCGGCGAGTGAATGACTCCCGGGCGGAGAGCGGATTTCACCCTCCGCCCGAGGATGTGCACGGTTGCTTCGGAAAGTACCTGCACTCGGTCGCTAGGAGGGATCTGAGTCCCGCCTGCCACCACTGCGACTGCAGTGAGGACTCGGCCCAGCACGGTCGGTCGTGTCGGTCTGCCCCGCATGGGCGAAGCAGCGCCGGGCCCTCACTGCAGTCATCGGAGTGGATCTCTCGCTACCGGCCGTAGTACGCTCCATGGCCGGTAGCGACAGTTTTTTTACCGCGGTCGCAACCTTCTGCGAGGAAGTAATCTCGCAGAAGGAGGCGGCGGAGAAGGCCCGGGAGGACGACCTCCACTCGGACCCGATCCGCCGCCGGCGAACTGGGCGGCGGAGGCGCGCCTATCACCGCCTCATGCCGCCCTGAGTGTGGCCGCGCGTGGACGGGGTGGGTTTCCCCTCCACCCGCATTAGTTTGGCCAGCCGCGAGGGGGCGGCGTCCGCGTGTGCCGGACGTCGCCTAAAGAGAGGAAAATTTTGAGACGGAGCCCGCACCAGGAGCGGGCAGGCGCTAGGAGGGGTCCGGATGTCTTAATAACAGCTGTTCCCGGATCCCTCCTATTACAGGCGCAAAGTGGCACACCGTGTGGTTTTAGTCGGTCCGAGTCCGACACACCACCCCGCCGCAAACCCCGGTGGGGTGACGGTCCGAGGGGATTTCCACACGTTAAAAAAAAAAAAAAAGGGTTTGTGTTATGTTTTCCTTCTCTTTGCAGTGTTGTTGTCCTGCGTAGTTTACTCCCTTAGTCGGCTCTTACGACACCCACGGGATGAATAGGGGTGGTGACACTTCGTATTCTTAACCCGTCACCACACGGTGAAAAATAACAAAAGAATTGCTTCTGCACCGGTTTTCTGTGCATTGGCATCATTGCGGTCGAGCCAGGTCATATGCGCCGAAACTTGGCTTAGACCGTGTAGGTCAGAAATATACACACATACGAGGGACGACTAATAAGTCCGCGACCTAAGGTACTTAATGAAAGAAAACATATGGTTTCTATTTTTCAATATAATCTCCTTCAAGTGAAATACATATCTCACATCTCGCATACAATGTCTTTACCCCACCCAACAAATATTCTGTATCTTTCTCTTCAAAATGACGATCAACCGCAGCTTCATTTCGTTGTCATCTGCAAATCTCCGGCCCCGTTAGTCCTTTTTCAAATTGGAAAACAGGAAAAAATCGCTAGGTGCTAGGTCTGAGCTATATGTAGGGTGGTCAATCTCTGAGAAGAGTTCTATATTCGAATGTGTCTAGTCTTTCAGGGCTTGCCTCGCAACATGTGTGGTGTGAACGGCGCGTAGACTTGCAGAAAGAGCACTCCGCGCGTCAGTTTTTCACATCATTTCTGACTTTTCCACCTTGAATTTCTTCGGCGGCCTTTCTCCTTTTTTTGGACTCTTGTTTGAACTCCGGATCATATTGGCGAATCCATGTTTCATCTACGGTGACTATCCGTTGCCAAATGTTTTCCTTGTTATCGCCGACTAGCTCCAAAAATCTTTGCAACTTGCGAGTGGACGTTGCTTGTGGAGTGGTGTGAGCATTTTCGGTACCCAACGCTCGCTAATTTTTCTCATATTCAAATATTCACGTAAAATTTCTCCAACTCGTTCTTTGTTAATTCTTCAGCAATCTGTCACAATTTAATTCTTCGGTGGGCCACAACGTTTTTTTTTTACTTTCGGTGTATTTACCTTCTTTACGCGAAATTTTATCACGGCGCGGTGTTCAAAATTCCGAGAATTTTCAGATTCGGCTGACATGGTGATGTTTGTTGTTCGATAAATAATTGAACTTTGAGTGCAAACTTAATAAGTGATTGCTTTTATAATACTACTGAGTGTCGCAACTGGTGATATGAGTAACAGGCTAATTACTCATCGTTAAGTACTCTACTCTTGTCCGTGTGGTGACGGATTAAGAATACAAATTGTCACCACCCCAATTCATCCCGTGGGTGTCGTAAGAGCCGACTAAGGGAGCAAACTAAGCAGGACAACAGCACTGCAAAGAGAAGGAAAACTTGAAACAAACCCTGTACCAACCCGTCTGGCCAGCGTGGTATAGTAGGCCAAAACCTCCTTTCTAAGGAGAGGCCTATGTCCAGCAGTGGACTAGTATAGGCTGTTGATGATTGATGATGAAGTACTCTAGGCCGCGAACTTTTCAGCCGCCCCTCGTATGCAGTCGATAGAGCACAAATTATTATTAATTCGAGAATTTCGTCTCTCTATTGCTAATTTATTACAGAGTTTTGCTACTCGATGAGAAATGAATAAATAATAAAAAAATAGCAGGTTATGCATTACAAAATTTCAATAAAAAAATAAGACATACCTAACTCGGGTAAGTAAACTGTTCCAATATTGGAAGATAAATTATATTCTTGATCTAAATCTTCACAAATCTTTTCATAAACAGCCTGCAGATGTTGCTGGAAAAGTTAATTTGCATAACTTAACAACACAACAAATATAATTAATTAATAATAGCATACAAGCTAATACAAACAAAATAAGTAAAATCTTTCTTGAAAAAGTATGCAACATTTTATATGAATAGGTGTAATAATTTATTTTTAAGAGACTTCAAATACCTATATATTTTATTTACATAACGTATCAGTTACAAATAAAGAAAATTTTAATATACTTTTTTATAGGTATATTTTATACTTTTCGTAGAGATATAACAATTTTATTATATCAGTCAGTCAGTATATTAAAAATATAAGTATCTGGTACATATTTGAACACTTACTTTTCGAACATAGAACTTGTCAGGACTCACAACGTGTGTTATGTACACGGCTTCAGTGGTATCAGTTTTAAAGTCATTGTGACTCATGTATATTTTTGGTTTTTCTTTTAAACCACTGAGTAGGGGATACTGAAATGCATATTTGATATATTTAATGAATAATATTAAAATTAATAAATGTTTGAAGGTAGGTATCAAATAATCAGGGTAAATGTGGTGTAAGGCTGGCTTGGTGACATGTAATAGATATTACTTACACGTTGTTTAGGGTTTGGCATTATTGCGCGATCATGGAATGCAAGCGCGTGAGCAAGACTAACACCGTGTTCAAATGTTATAACGTCACATTCCAATTTGAAATCTGCCGTTGAAGTGTATATGATACGACGAATGTGAATGACGGCTTGCTTACTGAAATGTAAACAGCAAGTTATTATTATATAAGATTAAACAATGTAATCATAGGAATTAGTAACATTAAACTTTTGATTATCACACCTATATATATATATTTAATAGTCGGATTATTTGGCGCTTAATTAGCATTAATGATATTTAGATTTAATGTAATTAATTGCGAATATTATTTACTAATATTGCAATTTCGTACGAGGAGAGCAAATGAAAAACGATCGTAATTTGTAGGTATATCACTAAGTATTAATTTTACATCAATAACGTATTTTTATTATATTTTAACTCACTGCGATTTTCGCGATCAAAAGTTGCTGCTATTTTATTTTCTCCGTCATTATTACAGAAATAATTAAATGTAGGGTTTGTTCGCCATATGCTAGACTTCGTCAATTCGTCACTTAACACTAGGTATTAACGAATACTATATAGGTAAAAATTCTATGAACAACTATAAACAATTTAACAAAACACTACGAGAAAACGAGAACATTCAAAACAATACCTAATCTCCCGGCCTCTTGCTAATTCTAATTCGTACTAGACCACAGATTACCCCCAAATAGATTCCGCATTATCTAATATTTGTTCTGACTCGAGTTCTCGCAATTTGGAGGTATGCAAGGGTTGCAGGGGAAGTGTCAAATGCGCTGTGATTGGATATTTCACTGTCAAACTTAGAATGCGCCGAACCATAGTGATGGGACACGGTTGGGACATTGATCGATAAAATGGGGTGATGACCTGAATTATTGATAGTTATTTTATTTTTGATTATTGAAAAACAATTATATTGATCAATGTTTATTGATCTTTATAAAAAAATCAAACAATGTTTATATTTCTGCGCCTTGTGTGAAAAGTGATACAAGTAAAAAATCAACACTACAGGAACAAAAGCAACATTTAAAAAAATCTAGTTCGCGATATAAGTGGGCTAGGTAAAATTTGAGTACCTCGTTTTGTAGATAGAAACATTCACTTTCACTGTACATTTAAATTTTTGTGGTAAATGTTATAGTTTAAAAGTAATTCTTAAAAAAACCTGGGAGTTGTGCCTTTTCATTTCTAATACATGCTAAATCATACAAGTTCAGTTAAATTATGTTGCACTATTAAGTTGTCTTCGTGTAAATTGATATAGTACAAATGGACCTACTTATGCAAAAAAGAACCACGGGATTGGTTCTTTTTTGCATAAGTAGGTCCATTTGTCCCAGTTCTCGAGAATGGACCCATCTATTATCACAGACAGGACTATTGTTGCTAATAAGCATGATATTGTGGTGATAAATCGATTAGAGCATCGGGCAATGATTGTTGATATCGCCGTTCCTCATGACGAGAATCTCGTGAAAGTTGAAAAAAAAATAAAAAATGGATTTATCTCACGAGATTGTCGATATGTGAAATGTGGATTGGGCGATCATTGTTCCGATAGTCGTATCACTCACGGATTTAGTGCCAAGAGCCTCGATTAACACCTTAAGAGGATCAGGGGTTTTATGGAGAGGGCAGTTCTCCTTGACACGGCCCGTATAGTTCTAACCATCGGTGTCTTTGTCCCTGTACCCGATGTCGACCCTGTAAGAATCAAAATGTGCCGACAACTTTGACAGAACTAAATATTTCCATGTCAAGTTTTCCAACCCACATTAAACCAATAGTTCAATAAACTAACAAGATCCATGTCCCCTGGTAACTGGACCATCCAAAAAGTTTGTGAATTTTTCTTTCTTTAAAAGATCCATGTCACATGGTTTCTTGTATTTATTTTAAACTAGACTTCATATAGAATCGTGCGGGTTGGTTCTGTATTTTAAAAGACTAACATTACTTGGTTCCTTGTTAAAATTATGCTATTTACAACATCAAGGTATTGTGGTTTTATGTGTTGTACTCATAAACTAAATTTGAAAACGATGAATGAATGGTGAATCGGGACATAACTTTCTCTTGTACGATTCAAACTTCGCGAATATTGAATCTACCATAAAAAAATGAAGATTTCTTGTTATTGCTGAAGTCAGAAAAGAATATAATTAACTGGAAGACAACGATAGACGTAGAGAAAGTTCCATGGCTCAATACTAAAAGAAAAATATGACAAAAAGGATAAAATTTTCTCACAAGACCTAAACATGAACATATCATTAGCGTAAGGCCAACACAGTTCCATATTCCAATGCGAATGTGTGGCAATAACTTACGTCGCCATAACGGTCATGTCAAAGGGTGTTAAGGACTATAACATCCGTATACTGTCAGACAGCATGGCAGTCCTAAAGGCACTGGAGGGCAACACAATGACCTCTGGTAGTCTTCGAATGCCATCAAGCATTGCCACAACAAATGGGGTGGTCCTCCAATGAATAAAAGGGCATAGTAATTCACACGGGAGTGACGCTGCAGATGAGTTGGTAAGGACGGGCTCGGCAACTCCGTCCGCCGGCCCAACTACATCCCTGCCATTGCCTTTTTACTACAGACAGTCCAAACTGGTGCTGACTGTCTCACCACGACTTATTTGCAGACTCATCGGTCTTAGCTGACTAGATATCCGAATAGTTGCAGGAACCATAACAGGACACCTAGCCCTGAACCGACAACTATTCATCATTAATGCGACGGACAGTCCTCTTTGCAGAGGTATCTGAAATCAGAAGAAACGGCCACACAACGGGCAAGTCCCATACCTGGTACAAAATCGCTCCTACAAGCGTGTGAACGCCCCAGGAGTCTTCTACGCTTATGGAAGAAGCTTGGTTGGCTCACCTATCCAACCTCTTTTAGACGCATAAAGGACTACTCTCGAGTCATAATGCGGAAATCGGAGCCCAAAATAAATACAACCAAGGGAACAAGCGTTATGTTTAGTTTAGCCTAAAGGAACCATTGAGTTTTTTCTTTAATTACTACGCAATGCTACATTATTTTCATTAATATTATAGTTACACATGTAGAATAAATTATTTTTTATAATATTGCAAATAAAGTGTCGCCAAAATATCACACATTTTATCTGTATCCAAAATTTATACAAAACAGCTTTCTCTCAAAACGTTTAGTGGGTCAGTTGATTCCGTTTTGCATGAGTAGGTCAACTCTAATTATATCAATATTCACGAAAGGAAACTGAAGAATAAAATATGAAAATTAATATAGAAAGAAAGAAAAAAATGTTTATTTCGGCATTAACACGACACTTGTCAATTTTTGCAGCTTGAGCCTGCCGGACAGCTGCAATTTACAATAAAATTGTGCAATATGTACAAAACTACAGTCCTTATTTACGAATATTGTATCTTATTCTTATGAAGCAATTTTACTACAAAAACATGGCTTGCTCCTTGCATCCAGGAAAATAAAATTCTCGACAACCGCCACTTGGTGTTTAGAGATGATGGCAACCGTGTTGCCACAAACAAACAAGAAGGTGTTGGCTGTACTACGTGTGGCGAGATTGAACATGCAACCGGTTTTGATGTTTGATGTTGAGCATGTTATGATTGTACTCCCTCCGTCGGGTCTTAATAGACGACACGTTATCTGTGCTGCATACATTACAGCCACGTCCATACGAAGATTTATGCGTAGCACGCTTTGACCTCTTTACAAAACATTACAACTGAGCCTCGTACGGAGTCATTTTATTTTGTCGGGATTACAATCTGTCCCACATCAAGTAGCAGATGAGTGATTATGACATCCTTATTAAATCAACCGACCGCTTTAGCTATTATTTAAAGAATAGGATGACATTTGTCAAGGCTTTGTAATACAATACTATTGTAAAAGCTTTAGATAGAACGGTCTTGATCTGTTTTTTAGCAACACGCTGTGTCAATAAAAACTGGGCGCCCTATAGCTGCCACCGGATAATCATTACTTACATTCTCCGTACTAGGCATGGCTTTTAAGTTCTGTCGTTTCCATATTTTTCGGCAATTTTGAATTTGGAACTGTTCTATATTCGAACGTGTTTAAATTTTGAATCTCAAGACAGTGGAAAGTATTAGGATTAATGCTATTGTTTAGTCACAGCGTCGATTGGAATCTGTCAGGTTACGAACAAAAATGAATCTTTCTAAGGAAAATGTTCGTGCAATAAAAGGCCTGACACGGCTTCAGTGTTTTGAAGAGCTAACATCTGTGTTCAGTGATAAAGCCCCATGTCTGCGGACTGTCGAAGGCTGGTATTTAGAATTCCAGCGTGGACATACTAGTCTTAGTGACAAATCTCGCGAAGGACGCCCAAAATCCGCCTTCACTGAAGATAACATCATTGCTGTGACACAATTAATTCTCGAAGATCGTCATGTGACGTATCGAGAGATAGAGGCTCTATTAGTCGTCTCAGGGACAACCATTCAGAAGATCTTGCATGAAGCGCTTGGTGTGAGAAAGCTAGTTTGCCGTTGGATACCGTATCTGCTTTCCGACGATCAAAAGGCGGCCCGCGTCAGATGGTGTAAAAAAACTCTGCAATGGTTCAACCGAGGTGAGTCATATCACGTTTACGACATCATCAGTGGTGCCGAATCCTACGATCCTGATTCCAAACAACAATCTACAATGTGGGTCTTTCAAGACGAGCCAAATCCGACTAAAGTTGTTCGTTCTCGAAGCACTTCAAAGTAGATGGTGGCCACTTTCGTTGAAAAAACCGGCCATGTTGCGACTATTGCACTTGGTGTGTTCCGTTGCAGCCCGGCCACAGTCGATTTCGTAATTTATAGACGTATCAATTAATTAAATAATTAATAGATTAAATGTACCACAAATATATATTGTTTAAAAAGAAATTGTTTGTGGCCGGGCTGCACCGTATACGTTGCAGCCCGGCCACCTGTATATTTTCTGGTAGGATGCTCAAAATATTCCAAAAGATAAACCAAATAAATGTTCCTTTTATGTTCTTTTCTGTTTTCAATGAAATAAACCAAGAGAAAGGAAAATAAACAAAAAATGACTTAAAATAAGAATTTGCACTAAGCGCCTGTAGAACTAGAATAGCACATTGGCTTTGTACAAAGTACACAAATTTGTACTGTGTGTAATCTCAAAGCGACGCATCATCCTGCACCACGACAACGCAAGCTCACATAGCGCTCGTCAAACCATTGAGTATTTGAAGCAGGAAAAAGTAGAAATTCTTGACCATCCTCCATACAATCCTGACCTAAGCCCTAACAATTTCTTTACATTTCCTAAAATTAACAAAAGTCTTTGTGGTCAAAGGTTCCAGTCCGGTGAAGAAGCAGTCGACGCTTTCAAGTCAGCCATTTTGAACACCCCCACTTTAGAGTGGAATAAATGTTATAATAACTGGTTTGAGCGAATGGAAAAGTGTATTAAGCTACGTGCCAGGGGCGTGCGCTCCTTGTAGGCAGAAATGCAGTGCTTTACTTGCTATTCACAGACATTTTAATAAAACGTTGGTACGTTTTAGATGACTTTAATTAATAGTAAATAAATGAAAAAACAAAATATAATAACTTAAAAACGCGTACTATTTACAAATAGCATAGCACCACACAAACATTGTTTGCCAGGTGTTTACCGAAAAGCAAGCGCAAAGCAACTCATGCCGTCGCCTCGCGCAGGACATTTGTTCGCATGTGTGTAGTAATTTTGGTGTCCGTGCACAGTTCGCATACGCACACACCCATTTATTTTATATGCCCGACTACAGCCGCAGGATAACTGCAGTTGGCCTTCGGCTCCCGCGCTAATCGTTGTCGTCAGTATTCGGGTATAAACGGCAGTGTTCGTTGCCTATAAATCCACCCAATTACAATAGTCAGAAATATAATTAATCATGTTTGCGGATTATGAATTTTGAATATGGTAAGGTTTTATTTGTTTAATTAGCAGATATGTTTCTTGTTCGCGGGGGCCATATTGATTTTTTCATGTGATAAGCATTGTTTACTATTTTCTTTCCGCCAGTATAATTATAGTTTTATTTGAAAGTGTGTACATTTAACAGTTTATTACTGAGTTCCGTTGATTTTTTAAAAATGTTATTTGATTGTGAGGTATGTGTGGAAAATTTGTGTATAATTTAAATTAAAAATAACAAATTCTCACAATTGTCATTCAGTGAAGATTAAAATTGTGTCTAAAGGTCTGTAACTATCACTCACTTGGATAAGATATTTGAGGTGGCCGAAATCTTGCGTTTATTTACATTGGGATATAGTAATCTCAAGTAACCTTAACCTTGAATATGTGAATATCAGAAAATTGAAGATGACCAGGTGAGTAGTTTTAATATTTTAGCTTATTATTTTACTTATTAGAATTTCCTCCGCCGCGATCTATCGCAGTTTTGTCAGTGTTCAGGTTGAAGATGTACATGAATAGTAGTACATCTAAGAGTTGTTCTGTTGGCATGGTTTCCGACTTAGAGATCCATCGCGTGGCTGTGGCTAAGCTTAAAATCTATAAAAGAAAAAGTTTTTGTGACCGACTACTCTGCCGCATACCTAGTGTCATAATCCTGTGCACGCCGCTGCTACGTGGTGAATACTTTGAAATACAATAAAAAGTACTGTAAGGTTCTAGTCGTGTTTTGTCTTCAAACGACAAAACTTAAAAGGCATGTCTCGTATTAACCTCTTTTGAGACACATTATTTGCCAATGAAACGTCATAATGACCATATGACCATAAAATGTAATTACTACAAAGCGAAGCGAAAACGAATCTACTTCAACTGTTGGCTACTTCAAGATGATTTTAATAAGACTCACACAGTATTGTAAGGATAATAAACTGCAACCAACCCTACTTCAATGTTCTCATTTCATTAGGAACCTAAATTTCACTAGGAACACAACATCTAATACTACTACTACTACTACATACTTTTGGTTATTCATAGGATTGGATTTTCTTTTAAAAGCGGTGTACATAATAGTACGATCACATTGTTAATCCTATTCAATTTATATTCTTTGCATTTTATGGCCAATTTGTTAAATAATACTTATAACCTCTTTATTGTCTACATACTAAAATACTTTTCATTTTTTTTGTTAACTTACTTGTCTATTATATTCTGAATGAGAATAGAGTCACTACTGGTCCAATCACTGCTCTTCGGCTGACAATTTGCCAACGAACAGTTAAGAGCCAGGGGATACGGACATTGAATCCTGGGTGCAGGTATAAGGCGTAATCTAATAAAAAAAAAGATTATCATAATATTTAAAATAAAGCACCTCTAATCTAATTTCCAGTGAATTCTCATAGTAAATACAAAAAATACCTGTCAATGGTAACAGTTTCAATGCTGCCAAAATCAAAATAGAAGACCTCGATAAGTGGTTGTTTGGTCGGATCACTTTTATCTACTTGTATGACGCGACATCTTTGCCACATATTATCAGCTTTGTTGAAAGCTAAATAGGTTTTACCTGTATTTAACACACAATAATTATGCTTAGCTATAACTAGGAAGAGCAGTCTATGTACATATTTCGTTCTAAAGGTATATAGAAAACAATATAGTTTACATTAGCGTAGACATATAAATAGAAAGCATGTAGTGTTAGAGAAACTACATAGTTACAGTCTAAAGCAATCTTTCCCTTAGAGAGGTGATATACAAATACGAAACAGAAATTTCTTGTCCATTCTACCATAAGGTCCTTTTTTTTTGTGCATATGTACTATTTATGAAGTTGAAATTTGATATTGAAATCAATCAAACCACTTGAAGTGATTTGCAAAAAAAATGGCAAATATAATGTACACTATTTGTAACAGAAACAGTGAATAATAACTTACCCATGGATATGTGATTAGTCGATGGTTTTGTGAAAGACACAGCGTTACGGAATTCTCGTAACATCTCCTTAACAAACCCTTGATGGGATGCCCTTTGCACATAGAAGTTATGCGGATCCACAATGTGTGAAATATATATTAATTCCTGAGAACCTAAAAGGCAGTAAATAAAGTAACTTCAAGAAAAGACGAATGTACTAAATAAATCCGCAATTAAATTTAAGAAACTTTTTCAGTATCTATTCGAAAAATAACTTTTTAAACTGGCTGTTAGTAACATTAAGTAGATTGATAAAAGGCAGAAACTGTTAAAAAAGTACTGTTCAAAGGCATATAAAATTTTGCATTATAAAAAATAGATTTTGATATTAATATTTTTAATATCCCTTGATAAATATTGTGTAATAGGTAGAGATTGTTGCAAGATTGCTCAATATGTTTTTTAAGCACATGAAACTACGTCATTACCTTCATGAAGTTGCGGTAGAACTTGGCTTTCAGGAAACGGCGAAACTGTTTGTATTAATGGCTGTTGATAATGATCATCTGTAATTAACAATATCTATTGTTTTTATTTCACTACTCTCAGGTCAAAGAAAATGTGTTTTCTGTCCTAAGCTAGAAATAAAACTTTTGTTATATTATTTCTATGGGTGAGTAAAGTCCGTAAAATATAGCTTGATACCGCTGACAGGTAGAAACGACGACTTAAGTTGGAACCGACGCGCGGTGGATTTCTTCTATGGAGCGGTTGGCTAACATAGTTTTTTTTAATTGCAGTTAGACGATTTTTGTTATTTGATTAAAGAAATTGAAGGCATATTGCAATTTCTTTTAGGTGAAAAAAATATTATTGGTAGTCTAGTATTATTATTTATACGATACGTCAAACATTACCTATTGTCTGTTTTCCTTGTTGTTGGTCTTTGAACAAATATATCGTTGAAAGTAAAAGCACAAGTGGTGATAAAGGCACGTATTATAAAAAAAAAACAAGGTTTGCGATAGTTAATTACTTGGCAAAAAATAGATATATAAAGATTACTGTTTTAAAAATGCTAAATTTGTTTTTTGTATTTTTTAGCTATCTATTTTGCACTAGCAGTTATTGGTTTCTAGTGACTCCTATAGAAATGTATAGATTAGAATGAGATAGTTCGTGCAAAATATTATTGTTAATGGCAGTGTTTAGAAGTTAAGGGTTTAGTGGATCCACAATTTAATGCGAGATAAAGTTTTGCGTGTTAACCTATGATATTCGTTTATTGAACTTTAGCAGATTTTATAGCTCTTTCTTTGTTTATTATTTTAGAAGTAACAGACTACACAATAAAAAGGAGAGAAATGTGTGCATTTAATTCTTTAAAAAAATTAGCACCGATGTTTTTAATATCTTCGGACCCAGTCATATCATGCTCAAGGGTTGTCAGAAAATATAAGACAGCTCAGTGAAGTTTTAGAAATGATTTTACCCAGGTAGACGACCCGTAAAATTGAAATTTATTTTATCTTTTGTTATTTGTAGTGCAATATTTTTAATTTAATGTCATTTAAAGTAAACGGATTTGAAGAAATAAACATATATTGCCATAACACATGTCAACAAATTAATAATGGCCATAAAATAAATCATATTTTATTAATAAACACTACCTGGTTCTTGCCTAAAATATAATTTTAACTTATTTTTGTACACACGTGAAAATTATTGATAAATTTATGACTACGCGCTTAAGGTTATGTCAATGGTACAAAAATCTAGGGATGGGATAAATCGATTAGCTTAATTATCACTTGATTATTTTGATCAAATAATTATTAATAACTAATTATTATGGGTTTGGTTCGTTTGGCTTATTTCTTATGCTTAGATTAAAATGAAATAAATTATAGTTGAAAAAACTAAAAAAACAAGCTTTTGTACCAGCCAAACAAAAAACCGACCAAGTGCGAGTCGGACTCGCGTACGAAGGGTTCCGTACCATCTATAAAATTTGTTGTATGGGAACCCTTAAATATTTGTTTCATTCTGCTTTTTGTAGTGTTGTTGTTACAGCGGCAACAGAAATACATCGTCTGCAAAAAATTCAACTGTCTAACTATCACGGTTCATGAGATACCAGCCTGGTGACAGACGGACGGACAGCGGAGTCTTAGTAATAGGGGCCCGTTATACCCTTAGGGTACGAAATCCTAAAAATAGAATATTATTATAGAATAAATTTAAAAAAGTGGGATGCTAAATGTCAAGTGTTGTAAATATTTATATTTTATTGATAGGTATTAATAAGAGGAAAGTTATTACATTGTAAAATATCTTGGAAAGGACCCCACGCATTTTTATGAAAAAAAGATTTTTCTCTTTGAAATTATACAAAACTAGATTTTGCCCGAGGCTCTGCCCGCGTGTATGTCGGTTTTCACGGTAAAAAGTAGCCCTTGTTACTTGCTGATAATGTAGCTTTCCATTGGTGAAAGATTAAATCAATAAGTTTAGTGGTTAGGCGTGAAAAGCGTAACAAACAAATAAACAAACACGTTTTATTACTACGAAAATTCCTTTTATGACATTTGTGAGATCGAGAATAAATCGGCATTGAATTTTGAACGAATTTTTATTACGAGAATTATTCCTCAGGAAAACTGCAAATGAGAATTGTAGTTCGATATAGTTTGTGATCAAGAACTTATAATCAATCTGCAGGATTATTCCAGCAACAACGACTGATGAAGATGTAAATAATAATAAAATACTTATATGCTATTTTATTATAAACCTATAGATTTAGCAAAATATTATCAATCGAATACAGGTCTATACATTGATCGATTTAGCTAGTTATGTCTATCACTATAGTTAAAGCAATGGCACGTCCAATGTGTCGGAGGGGCAACCGGATGGCGAGTGGTATCTGGGCCTTGGAGTGGTACAGAGCCTCCTCGTATCGGCCCAATTGATACTAGTCATTGTTTTGTGACATCTGTAAGCCGTATCAAGCAAAATTTTTACGAAGTATCTTATCTCGAAAAGGAGTATAAGATTTTCTATGACAGACAAATTCGGTGTTATAGGCCACATTTTTTGCAAAATTTCCGTTTTAATAGTAGTGAGGAACAGGAAGGAACAGAAAAACCTACAATTATACTTCAAAATTATACATTTCACTAGCGCAATCTTTCAAAATCAATTGCGTTACAGACATGAGAAATTAAATAAGTACTTACTTTGTGTTATGTAACTCTTGTATGAACCCTCACTGCCTAAGGAATTAAGTGAAGACACTGAACCACTTTTGCTGTGATACCTCGGTACTTTTTTATAGAGTCTTTTGTTCTCCTCTTTTTCTGATTTTGGTTTGACTGCATCTCGTACATCTAAATCAAGTTAATTTATAGTCACTCGTTTTATAGCAATCACAATAAAAGTAATTTAAGGGATACAAAGCAGCTGTAATGTATTTATGTACTTTACTGGGTAAGTCGACCTAGATACCACTATTAGATAGATTAGATAGGGGTCTTAGTTACCACTATTAAATACCATATCTCAAACCTAACCATTTTCAGGATATTTTACTTTTAAGTTTTTTTTTGGAAGAATTGCCGAAATTTTGCCTAATACAATATTTTAAATCTTCTATCCTTTATTTGATGCTTTTTTTATTGTTTTTGTGTAGTTGATAAAGTGTTTTAAAATTACAATTACTAAAATTGTATGCCACCCTATTCATCCCGTGGGTGTCGTAAAAGCCGACTAAGGCAGCAAACTACGCACGACAACAGCACTGCAAAGCGAAGGAAAACTTGACACAAACCCTATATCAACCCTACTGCCCAGCGTGGTATAGTGGGCCAAAATAATAATTTAATAGTGAAATTGAATCTTCAGAAAGAGGCTTTTTTTAAATTCAGTCGCAAATTTCCGAAACGCAACGCCACTGGTGGAACAAAACGTGACGTCAAATTTTACTCGACGTCCTCTGTCATTGTCAACAAGTTGTTTGTATAGTTTCTGGTGATTATTATTTCGTATTGTTTCGCGGTTGTTTTATATATTACATTGTTAGTTTTCTGTTTTTAAGTATTAAATCTATGCGAAGACTGACTTAACAAAATGACTGAAACCGGTTATGTCAAAGCACAATGCTATGATCTTTCTAAAATAGATGTATATATGATGATCATAAATTGTTTAATACATATCATTATTTTTAATTTGAAACCCAGAAATAAAATTAGAAAGGTAAATAAAAATAGTTTTGAACTTCCCTCTTACTGGATAAATACCTATGTTTTACATATTGAGAATATAATTATTTTTAAGTACCTACTAGCCGAACATGTTTTGTGACTTATTATACACATATGTACATACTTATATAATTGTCAACATAGTCATAAAATGTATTGTGAAACATTAAAACTAATGAATAAATAAATCTTTACGAACTTTTCGTAAACTGGGTTATGGTTTCGTCGAAGTTTGTAAAAAAAAATCTGTAGGTAACTAAGTCAAAATGATCTTCACAACGGTGTAAAAAACTAAAACACGATACATCGTGTCCATTCATCGCCTTGTACCACTTTTTCATTATACCTGTATCCTTCGACATAAGAAAAATAGACTTTGTCAAGTGCAATTTTGATGTTATTTTTGCACGTAGGAAAGACACAATATTTATAATTAACTTTACTGTGCTTTTCCATGGTAGTAATTTGATTTTATGACTCACTTTTATAACTTTGTGAACCAAAAACTTGTTGCCGATGAACTTTCTGTAATCACTCGAAAATGATTTCGGGTGTGTTATATTTATTTTTGGTAATGTAATAACTAGTGGTAACGTTTAACAAATAAAAAAAGACATGCATATTCCCTATTCAGTTTCCAAAACCAATAATTATGTGTTTTGTAAGTGAAATTTTACCTCGATAATTGATTAAGTACTTTAAATAAAGACTACTTTTTATGATTGAATTACAAATGCATAGTTTTACTTGTAGTACTTGCAGTAAAAGACAAAGTAACTTACCAAATTTCATAGTTCTAGGGCAACGGGAAGTACCTACTCTACAAATTTTGATTGTCGAAATATGCGTTTGCGGCATTAACGCACGTATCTTTTTTTAACGTTAACTCAGAAGTTTGATTTATTTAATTTTAAATTTAATAATATGTATAACGTGTACTGAAGTTAAAATAATTATAATGCGCACATAATCAGCATAAGACATGGCACATTTATAATTTTGAAAATGTAATATACTTAATGTCAATATGGTTGTTAGGGTGAAGGAGATATTCTAAATACCTTTTGGCAGTTCTGGTGGCAGAACAGGAGCTTTTGGCGGTGGTGGTATTTCAACGTCCCCGTCTAACTCTGCTGTAGAATACAACTTGTACACAGACTTGACATTACCCTCCAACTGCACATAATCATTGATCAACGAACAAAGATCTTCATTAACGTTTATCCTGAAGCAATTATATTAATCACAATTAAATGTTAGAATACAATGTAGCGTATTTTGCATTTAGTGGGATTTGACACATATTAAATAGACCTATACTTATCTCATCTAGCCAATATATCTAAAAATGGGTTCTTTTCTTTAAAAAGTCTTAAGAATCCCAGATTTAAAGTCGAAACATTTACGGTCAATCTCAAACCATTCTTATATTTATCATACACATCCCGAATTCTGATAGTGTATTTAATCGTTAAGCTAACAAATTAAGACTCGATTTCTTTACAAATCACTATGTTTTTTAAACGTTAACATAATAATAACATCAAACTTAACTTTGAAAATACGCATTAGGGATGACAGAAATAATGTTAATACTAATTCACCAATAAAGACTAATCATAGGAATAACATGTATTCTTATGATCAAATTTACTAACTTGAGAGCCTCCTTGTTTGAATCATCTTTATTCAAATACCACGGCGCGTTAGTAACATCCTTTGCATCTTCTAGAAGAGCTGTTATATTAGCCTGTAACCATACTTTGTTAGTAAATTATAACAGAGAAATATATCATAGGAATATACATTTGGTAACCAAAATCAATTCAATCAATTGTGATATATATTATAAAAATTGCATACCTGCTTGAGTTTTTGGGGGTCAGAGAAGGCCTTAATACACTTCATTATACTTTTTGCTTTTTTTATACTGTTCACGACATCAGATTTAGCATTCTCCAACGAGTCTCTTTCCGAACATTTTAAATTTAAAATAATGTTGATCACGTCCTTCTTATGCTTTTGCACAATTGACATTAGTTTTGAAAAGTGCTGATCAATGCTGGCTATTATTTTAACCAAGTCTGTAGCAGAACCAGTATCATTCTCATAATTAAGGAGCAAATATCCAATGTCCTAAAACATGTTACAATTTTTATTTATTACAAAGACTGCTGTAGTGTCTTTGTGCTTCCTTGTTGTGGGGATTTTACTGGGAATTACTTTTGGTTATAACCAAAATTAACGTACACGAAGTATATCACCAGGAAATCTTTACTTCCATTATTCATGTGAAAAGGAGTTTTTTTGTTAATATTATATAGTAGTGGTGGAATTATTAGTCTTCACACTCATATTTAATTCTAAATTCCTAATTAGCATTTAGCAGTTAGCAAATTAAGTGTGGCCGGGAGATTAGGTATTGTTTTGAATGACTTTTGTTAAATTGTTTAAAGTTGTTCATAGAATTGGTACCTTTACAGTATTTGTTAATAAGAAGTTTAATTATACAGTAGGTTGAAGTAATTTAAGTTTTAAAGAGTGTGACGCGTACGTATTAATTCATATCTTCACGAAATTTCACGACTACAATTAATTTGCTAATTACTAATTAATAGACTTGCAACGAATAGTATATTCGGCAGTATACCGAATATTCGGCGAGGCCCCTGACCGAATAGCCGAATATTAGGCAAAAGTATTCGGCTGGATTTTAGCGCCAAAAACAGACGTGAATTAAATTATGTACCTGTTTTATGAACCAATGACTACTTAATAAATTATTATAAAAGAAATGAGAGCCTTATCCTTCTAAATTTTGATTACCACAATAATTCAAATACATAGAATCCTCCATTTTTCCTATTCAGAAGATGATTATGTACCTGTGTTATGCACCAATGACTACTTAAATGATTATAAAAGAAATGAAAATATGAATATATACGTAATCAATCGATTTTAATTTTTCATTTTACCAATTAGGTATTTCTCAATGACAAAATATATTATTTAAGTATTCGGTATTCGGCCGAATAATATGTAGATATTCGGTATTCGGCCGAATATAATAAAAGCAGCCGAATAGGCTGAATACCGAATAGTAACCGAATATTCGTTGCAAGTCTACTAATTAAGAATTAACAATTTAATATGAGCGTAAATATAATTATTCCATCACTAATGCTCTAGTGATTGTAAAAATTCTTTCCCCATTGGAAAGCTACGATAAATAGAGATAAAAAGACTTAAGTGAAAAATAACTTTCATGACAATAAAAATATCGTTATCGCGTTCCTCTAAAAATGTAATAGTGATATAATTGTTGGTGTGTACGTAGAGGGTAGGTAATGAGTAATAGTAACAAAGTAAACAAAATTCTCCAACATTTGAATTCTAAGTATTGTTTATGGCGGATTTGGTTATAAATATATTACAAATTTGCTTACCACTGCTGTCTTCGTTAGCCTCCTAAAGATTTCATCTACTTGTGGAGAAATACCGTTTAGATCTTCCATGAAGGACTCATTCTGTAAATATTATTATTTATAAAGTAGTTCAGCACATAATTAAATTCATTTAAGTAGCAGTTCTTACTATTTAATAATTAGAAGTAAAATACAAGCATGAAGAAGACGAAAATAAGTTTTCCAGAATAGAGATGCCCGATTTATTGGATCGATTCAATGGGATGCGATTTTCGCCTAGATCGAATTGTATACCTCTAAGATCGTAATGAAGAAATCGTGTCAAATAAACCCTAAACATCAAACGAATCGAACAATACGAACTACAACAAAGTAAGATTACTTACCAACCTACACATTGTAGCACACAACACACAAATATCAAAAGCGGTGATGTGTAAAATATGAAGGTAGGTGATACGATAATAATATTTTGTTTATGTTATTGTTGGGTATGTTAGCATTATTAGCGTTCTCTGATTTGTTTGTCTGCTTTCTTTATATTACTGTGATACGAAGCGTGTGAGCGAGAGCAATTAGATTAAAATACTTTATAATATGGCCTCCAACAAAATCAAACGTTTGGACATTTTTTTATAATACATGACATGGGTGGGCAGTGTAAATTGTGTAACACAGTTGTGAAATCAAAAGGAAATACTACCAATTTAAACAATCATCTCAGACGTCATCACCAAACCTATAAAAACATAACATACCCAACAATAACATAAACAAAATATTATTATCGTATCACCTACCTTCATATTTTACACATTGTGTGTTGTGTGCTACAATGTGTAGGTTGGTAAGTAATCTTACTTTGTTGAAGTTCGTATTGTTCGATTCGTTTGATGTTTAGGGTTTATTTGACACGATTGCACGGATGGCGTAGTGGTTTAAGCGGTCGCCACGCCGCTTCCTACTACGCCGAGTGTTGTGGGTTCAAACCCCACATGGGACGACACTTTGTGTGATCCACAAATTGTTGTTCTGAGTCTGGGTGTCCTTTGTGTCCGTTTCATGTATGTTTGTAAAGTCCCCCGCGACACAGGATTTATTCCTAAGGCGGGCGTTGTCTTTTCAAAAATAAGAGAAGAGATAAGAGAAACTTTTTGTGATATAAGTGAAGAAGAAGGTACCACTACAATAATAGCTGAAATCGTGTCTATTTCTGTTTATACAACTGAGGCGGCATCGAAGCGTCCTTCCAACTAATGGAAAGTGGTTATCGTAGCCTATAGGCGTCATTTAATAATTAAGCTAAGTAGGTATTGTGGTAGTTTGGTTTTTGTTTTAAATAGTACACTCAACTAATAATATTTATATAATATTACATATACATTATGTAAATATTAATAAATTTTAATAAATAAAACTTACTACAAAGCGTGGCCCACATAAAAATGAATAAATTTTACTTTGTAACTATCTTAGTAAAACTTAAACGAATTAGATTTAGGTTTTTTACTGAGTGGTTTATATTATTACTCTTATATAGGTACTTTACTGTTAACAGTTTTTTTCTTTTTTAGTCAATTGAACCAGTCCCATCAACAAGCCGGATGGATATTAGTAATGATAATTTAAGTGAAGATTAATTTAATATTACGCCGCTGAAAACATCGACGCCAAAATTTACAAGAAATTTTCAACCACGAATTAATGAGGTTTTGTCAAATATACACAAGCATTTAAAAAAGGTGGGTCCAAAGAACATAGACTATCTAAGGCATTGCTGTATTTTATTACGGTTGATGATTTACCTCTAAATACGAAGGAGAAAAAGGTTTTCAATATTTGATGAAAGTTATCTGTCCCACTTACTCGATTTCAAGTAGAAATACAATTACAAGACTTATTGATGAAAAATATGAGTGCATGTCTAATATTATAAAAAACAACGTGAAACAGGTTCAAAGCTTTCGTTTGACTACCGACATTTGGACAGACACGATGAACACAAGGAGCTACTTAGGTTTGACTTGTCATTTTCTACACAACTACAGTATAAAATCACTCGTAAAGGAATTGGCCGAACGACATAGTGCTGAATATCTCAAACGTATTATTGAGTCGCTCTGCAATGAGTGGAATATTGATGAACAAAAAATTCTGGCAGTGGTCACAGATAATGGTGCGAATATAGTCAAAGCCATCCACGATCTGCTAGGCAAAAATAAGCACTTACCATGTTTTGCACATACTCTTAACTTAGTTGTGCAAAAAGCTGTGGCAGAAACCAGAGGTGACAAGACATCATCACAAGGTGGAATTCAAAGCTATATATGTTACAGGGGTTTGTTGAGCTTTGTGATTACGTAAGCACTATTCTACTTCAAAACCCAAATGCTCCAGCTATACTTGGTGGCAATGAAATTGACATCATAAAAGAAATTGTTAATGTTTTATCCCCTATCGAAAACGTTACTAAAAAGATCTCGGGTCAAGATTATGTTACAAGTAGTATTATTATACCAATTATATTTTGTATGACCAAATCGATCGAATCCGCTAATACTGCATCTACTTTCGATGTTTCCGACATTAGTTCAGAATTAAAAGCAAAAATACTCGGCGAAATTGACAGACGTTTCAAATATATGGAAAAAGATACACACACATACACAAAATAACAAAATACAAATTTTGGCGATTTTAACTATATTAGACCCCCGATTCAAAAATATATATGTTACCGACGCTTAATCATGTGTAAAATCATTAAATGACATAACCGATTTACTTAAATCATTGGCAGGCGATACAGATTCATCAACGACTTCACAGGATGTGGTTTTGCCCAACGAAGATAAAAACATTTGGAAATTTCATAGCCAGTTAGTTTCCCAATCTGATCAAAATATTCCAAAAGAGGGACTGGATGACATTTTAAAACAGTACCTGAGGGAACCATTGCTTGCTAGACAAGCAGATCCAATAGCTTATTGGATTAATAGGACTGCTATCTGGCCGGATTTAAGCTGTTTGGCATTAAAGTATCTGACAATTGTTGCAACGTCCGTCCACTTTATTTTTTTCCGTGCGGAAATCCCCTCGGATACCATCTAACGGTGGCATGTCGGACTCGAACCGACTAAAATCGCCGTCTCGGGTACTAATAGCCGGTGAACCAGGTATACCCTAGAAAGGAAGTCCCTGGGGCAACGTCCGTCCCCTCAGAACGCCTGTTTTCTCTAGCTCGAAATACTTTGACAGATAGTCGTAGTAGGCTAGATCCAGCGTCTATCTAAATTATTATTTTTGAAAAGTCTTAATGTAGATAGTTGGAATTTGAAATCAGTATTGTAAAACATGTTTTCAAAAATAGTAATTTAGAGAGACTCAATGAATAACATGTTACGGCTTTATGTCGAAGTGTTTGATTTTGAGTATTTAAGTAAGTTTTATAGTATATTAAGTTATGTTAAAATGTTTTGCATGCAAACTGTACTTTTTCACTATTTTTATAAGTTTACTATGCGATCTACAGAAATCGTAAAAGATCGATTCATTGCAATACGATTAAAATCGTAGGTCGATTCACGATCCATTACGATCCAAAGCAAAAAATCGGGCTTCCCTATTCCAGAAGCATCCATAGAAACAATACAGATGATGTAGCATAAATGGCATTCATATGAAATAATATACCTCATTATCTTTATAAACATACACCATCTTTAATTTGTCTGAAATCTGAACCATACCACTTGTAATTTTAAACGTTTTGTCACTCATTGGGATATTTAAATTTTCTTAAATCATTAAAATCTGTTTACAATTGGGAAATTAATCACGAAAAACATAAAAACTGGGGACTAATTTGGTTTTTTATACATATACTTACAACTTCTTGTATGGAAACAACATTATGGTTTTTGCAAGATTTTTGTCCACCAACCATCATGCAGTCCATACAAATAGCCTTACAGCAATTATGGCAATAATACTCCAGTGACTTTTCTTTGTGAATTTTACAGAAATTAGGCTGCCCAGCTGTATCTAAAAGTAATAAAAAAAAAAAATGCTTTATTATGTAGTTAAAAAGGCATTATATTTACAGTTTAGTTGTTACGGTTATTGAGCTCGAACTTTCCAGTAAGAGCCAGTTGAGCTACAGTTGACCTGCTCAAGCTATTGCTTACATTCCCCCTATCCTTTTGTACTGTACTTCTGTAACAAGGTAAGAAGAGGGATCCTGTTTATTTTACTGTTGTCCCTTATTGTACTTTTCCCTCAATACATCGCAATTTACTCTCTATCTAATCCAGCGATAGGCTTATCCCCTAATAAGTAAGTGGGGCTAAAATTATATTTGACAAAATGTGGACGTTTAATATGCCTCTGCCTACAACTTGGATAAAGGCGGGATTATATGTATGTCTGAAATTAAAGACTTTTTAATACATTTCAGATACTGCTGCGTCGAAAAGAAAGTTCAAAATAAGATTTTCCCATATTTTTCTGAAACAATGGTATATTCGAAATAGTGTTTACGTAGGGAAAAATATTGTCTATTGTTTTATTCTATTTCCTCAAATGCAAATTCAAAAATATCAGTTTTCGGTATTTCAATAATTATTATTTATTGGTATACCCAGCTAATTCAAAGCAATAAATAGTATGTTTAATTCACAAATGCGAATAAACCAGTATGATGTAAGAAAACTTTAGAATATAAACCTCAAAATCATACCTATATCTTGTAACTCATGATTCCTAAATATTACAAAATTTTTATGTGATTTGTTAAAACAACTGTCACATAAAATTGTAGCACATTGTTGGCACATTTTTGATGTGGTAGCACGACATTCTAAACACTGTCCTGAAAAAAAAAAACAATAGTTGTAACACATCGGGAGACAAAAAGATTTTTTGTAGCACTTTAAAGCCTAGTTAAAGTAAAGCCTAAAAAACCCTTCGGCCGCCTAACTGGTTTCGGCAAAATAATAATTAATATTCATTCTTTCGAAACTCGTTTCGATAAAAGAATAATGTTTCTTCATTCGAAAATCGTAAATCTACAAACGTGAAGTTTATTAGTGAAATGGCTTACGAATTTCATCTAAGCCCGAGGCGGTGGCAATGGTTATAGAGGCAGAATCAGGACTACAGTCAGAGAGGAATACTAACTTAGAATAGTGACTTTTGGTCTTCAATCATAACTAAGTACTACACTGCTAATTACAGGCTTACAGATAATTATGGTAATAATATGTTATGGATTTAACAAGGGTGGTATTTATTATTGACTGACTGCACGGATAGCGTAGTGGTTTAAGCGGTCACCTCGCCGCTTCCTACCGCGCTGAGTGTTGTGAGTTCGATCGCCACATGGGACATCACTTTGTGAGATCACAAATTGTTGTTCTGAGTCAGGGTGTTCTTTGTGTCAGTTTCGTGTATGTTTGTAAAGTAGGAGACTTTCTACACAGGATAAATTCCCAATGCGGGAATTGTCTTTAAAAAAACAAAAAGAAAAAACAATTATTATCTATTATTTTATTCTTTAAAATTAGTCAGTGAAGTACCAACCTTTAACATCCTCATTTTTTAGTATGGCTTTGAGCTCAAGGAAATGGTCGTGCGATGCTGTTTGAGTAGTATCTGATTTCTGTAACATAATTAAATGATAAATAAATTATAATCCTTGACCAGTTACCGCAGTTTGACGGATAAAACTAACGATGAAACGCTTTTCTTGTCGTCAGTTAGAATAAAGCTATGATTCAAATACCATTTCGTCATTTGCCGCCTACCAGAAGACCTACCACTATGAAAAAGTTTTGGGGGTAAAAAATTATATGTCGAGGTTGCCTACTTTGTTGAGAACCATAGATTGGATTTTAAAATCCCTATATTTCTGAAACGCAATTATTATTATTTATGAAGATACAAATCAATGTATTTAAGATATTAGAATTGCAAAAAAAATGCGACCATAAAAAAGATCGGCTGAATTTTATTAAAGATTTAATGAAAAAATCTTTCTTCTTTTTAATGGTGGAGTAATGTATTGGTTTCTTAGGTAAATACACATCACACCAACAAGGGTTTGATATAATATATAGGTAATGATATAAAAATAAAAGAAGAAAAAAGATAAGCTTCCAAAGAGAATATAAAATATGGATGACTTCATTTCTACAGTAATGGGATAAACAAATTGAAATCAAAATGGCTAAAATATCTAAAATTAGCTAAAATTAAAAAATTACCAAATTTTCTTTTTTTTAATTTTCATACAAAGCTCTAATAGGTAAAGAATTAATATTAGACTAGGTCTACTAATTGTAGACCTTTTTTTTTTTGATGGGGTGGAAAATCCCTTCGGATCTCCTGCCCCTTGGGGCTAGGCGCTAGGAGTATGTGGAGATTCCAGTAAAAACCACCCGACGGACGGCCTCAGATCAGGCCCTACTCTGGGAGGACCTGGACCATGTTATTTCAGGCCCTCCCCGAATTGACACCATGCCTAGTCAGGCCCTATCCCAGGGGACTAATTGTAGACCTAGCCTCAAATAAAGTATAACCTTGTTTAATAATTTGAGAAATTAGGGCTTTCAACCAAAATAATAAACTGCAACTTTACTAATGTAGATGAGAATTCAAATATACCATGTAAACATTCATTTGATGGCAATGTAATATTTATCTTACCTGCAGGAGATTGACAGTTAGTTCACCAACCATATACACATTCACAGGAAAGAATTCACGCAGTTTAGTGGGATTCTTGACTACTATGATGGCATTGTCGGTTTTGAAGTCTACATCAGTTTGACAAACTTTACACTCTATAGGCTCCATACATTTTATAATGTTGAGAATGCAATTCTCACACATGGAATGACCACATGGTAGGAAGAGAGGTAAATTTGTCTTGGACTTCGATGGTACCACTAAAAAACATACTTTTATTGCAACTTTTTATTTTAAAATAGTATTATGAAGTACCAAAAGTAGTTCTTTATTTCCAGATATGCATTTCTTATGACAGTGGCAACAACTACATAATAGGGTAGATGACTGTCAAGTCAAATCAGTGTCTTTTTTTAAACGTCAAAACGCTAGACGCGGTACATTTTTGTATGAGATACTAATTAGTGACGTCATACCTAGTTATTGTCAAAACCTTTATATTTAACGTTGATTACAAGATATCAAATCAATAAAAAGATTAAATTGACAATTGAGGGCAATTCAGCCTCTACTTTGAGATGTTAAATTTAATAATGCAGGCTAAATAATTTATTTTAAACCTAGGAATCTACCCTATTTAAGAAAGCAAGCCACAAATCCTAGGCCAATTCTAGTAGTTTAAGACTTTTATGACAAAATATTCAGACATTTTAAATAGAAGTTCTTGGTCTGTTAATATATAATACATTTTAGAGAAAGATAGGTTGTAAACTTTCTCCACTAATATGCTGGACTATCACACATCAATATTAACTAGGCAGATTTATTGAAGCAACTTTACATCACTGTAATTTACTCCAATCATAATTTGTAATGTAATAACATTATTACAGTGATGAATAAATCTGACCCCTGCAACCTTTCTCTCCCTTATAACTTGGTATGTGTGTAAATTGGTTATCTCTTAAAGTAACACTAATTATTGAGCTAGCTTTGAGAGAAAGATTGTGTTATTGCTTTGTCTAACTATTATTTTAAACAAACTGTATGCATGTACAGGTTCAGCAATTTTTTTTCAGTCATTTCATTCAGTTTTTTATGACTTATAACAAAAAGCATATAAACAAATAAACGCTTTATAAAGAGTTTAAATGATAATCTTCTAGCATTAATAAGTTTATCGTTTTCAATAACAATCGTACAAACCTAATGGCTGCCGGTAGTAGGTTATGCTTGTTATTGAAATAACACGAAACAATAATTTTATTTTTTTAACCCGTGTTTGTAAGGATTATTAATCAGAGAAAATGAACATGTAAATAGTATAAGTAGTACTTACGATTCAAATTGTAAATTTGACTGCAGTTAGGACATATTTTGTTGTGTATGTTGTCCATAGCGTTAATGTAATAATTTACTTTCAGAAGCAATATGAAATATCGTTTAACTAGACATAGCCAAACGGCTTTTAGCAACGATATTACGATAAGATTTTAGAAATATGAGAAATATTGGGATACAAAAACCGCAAAATTTGCTGCGAAATTCAAAAGCACATAGCACAAAGATTCAAAGCACTTCAAAGCAGTACCAGGGTCTGTCAACTTTGTTCTTAGAACAAGATGTAGGTGGGCTTGAAAACAAGAAAGAGACAACAACATTAGAGTAAAAGAGATGAATTATAAAATGTTGCCACCAAAATTACAATTTCGTTTTCTCCAAAACAATGAGCTAAAAAAGAAAGTCACCCTTAAAAATACATTTTGTGATTATTCTGATACCCAAAAAAATTATTTTGCTAAGAAATATAACATATTTAATTGATCAATACACAAAAACAAAAAAAAGATAAGGGGGAAAATGTGTGGCAACTACTGGCAACACGTTTGACGTCACAAGAAAAATGTCTGCCTGCGGTTCCCGCACCATTTTATCTTGTACCTATGTTTATTTGTAATAAATAAACTAGTTGCATTTAATTCTACATACATTGTTACCGTGAGTCGAGTTTGCTCCTCCGTGGCTGTGTTTTGGTGAAATTAAGTGTGTGTTTGTGAGATATAGACTCGGTGTTGAGATAGTGACTTGTTTGATTGTGTGTTTAATTTTCGCAATGAGTTCGCAGAAAGAAAACACTAGAATCTGTTGCATGTGTGGATCTTCACCTTCTAAAGATTCCAGCATCACTTTGCATCGGTTTCCTAAGCCTGGCTCAAAAAATGCTCTGCGGTATGTACCTACCTAAGTACTTTCCATGCTATTCGTTTACATCCTTTAAATCTCTTTCAATCAAAGGAAATACAGAAAGTTTAGATTGTTATTTAGATAAAACTTAATTAAAAATATGATTATTAACCCTTTCCCCCCGGGGTAGTGATTTTTAACAAATTTTCGCTTTTGAACTTTATTTACATAATAAGGTAAGTAAAACGAAACGCACAGATTTTTTTAGATTTTTATTATACCTAGAAGTACTATTACCAAGACCTAGACTTAAAAGTGCCGTCAGGAACTTCGTGTTATCACAATGTTAGGAACTTGGATAGAAACTACAAAACAGTGTACAGTGTGTTTCTCGATAGTGATGTCGTTTAGATGTCAATTGTTTTTGCAGAGAAATAATTGACCATCTTGATGAACACTATCGAGAAACGCACTGTACTTGTGCATAAAATGCAATACAAAGTATCTGTTTTGAAATTCCCGCCCTAGCTTCTACTGTCTAGTTTTGGTGGGCGGAGCATAGATGGCGCCGGCCGGTAAGGAAAAATTTCCTCATAAAAATAGTATGGAGTCGTTATTCTTCCCCTTTAGGGGTATATATGTTCTGTGAGCAGTACCCAGTGATCAGTGTTGCCAACAGTCTCTGGTTTATAGTATATTTTCTTTTTTTTTATTTATTTAACAAATAAAATTTTACATACAAAACTAATTAATTTACATAGCAACAAAAAAACCACGGAGGTTTAATCCCGTGCTGTAATGAATCTGTCTACTGTTCGTTGTTCACAATAAATAAACAAAACACCAAAAATGATTTTTATATCGCTGCCATAAACATATCTACATAGGATTAATAACATTAACATCCAGTAGAATAAATACATAGATAAATGTTTGATTACATACAGCCAAATTAATTAGAATCCAAACCACTAGTTCAACTCAGTACTATGCACTTATGTGAAGGTAGCTGTCCTACATTAAATTTAGGAAGTACTCTTTTAATTTGCGTTTAATATTCTGGTTCGTTATATTTTTATGTATGTCTGAGGGTAGACAATTGATAAGTCTTGGTACAATATAACCGGTAGTTCGTTCGCCGTACATGTTATTGGCGCGCTGCAAACGAAGCCGATTCTCGAAAACTGCCCGAGAGCATACAGAATGTTCCACCAAGTTTCTTAGCGATGCATTAAAAATTGTTCTTTCAGTAATAAAAAATGTACTTGCGTGTGTACTGGTAAAATTTTACATTGTTTAAAGAGTCCATTAATATCATCGCAGAATTGATATTTTATGTTGGGTGCGACTATAGTTTTTATAATTTTAGTTTGTAACTTATAAATTGCATCGAGATTGGTCTTGTAAGTACGACCATAGCTACTGAAACCATATTGTATATGACTAGAAAAAAAAAGAAAAAAAGCAAAGAAAAGAACGAGAAAAGTACGAGAAAACCAATCAGGAGCAGCGACAATATCGGTGAGCCAAATCATTCGAAACTCAGTTCGTTGCTGTCTACCAATGCCCAACGTGTTAAGAACTAGAAGTACCACCCACATACCAGAAGTATTGTATTTCTAAGATGCCCAAAGGAATTTGAGATTAGAGGAATTATTAAAATGCAGATGTTGAGAAACTATTTCAATCTTCATTTTTTTTCTGCAACTCAACTGTTAACTAACGTTAACTATAGCATGATAGTTACCATCCTGGATTACATTCTCGAAGTTATAGCTCACATTACTAACTTTTGTCTAGTTTCCGGAATCTTCCCCTTCCTCTGGCACAAAGTCTACATCATCCTATTGGCTAAAATTGATAATACTTCTCTTCTTAAGCACACGTTCAATCCCCATCCTTCCTTTCCTATCAAAGTTTCTTGAGGTATGCGTATGCAAACAGATCTCACAGTTCATCTTTCAACATCATCTGCTAAGTCCTCTACAATCTAACCATTGCTATTAAACCACTACAAAAATCCACTAGCCATAATAAGCAATATTTCGCCACAACACTACCAGGTTGAAACCACCAGCTTTGGTGGAATATCTATTAGGTTGGCAACACTGCTAGTGATACCAGTTGGTATTGGCACACAAGGGATGCCAAGGCTTAAAACTTTTTACCCTAGAAAACATAAGAATTCAAGAATTCCAGTGATACCACAAATTTCAGATCAAAAATATTAAGCATGTTCTTTTCCAATAAATATTATACTACATGCTAAACCGGCTCTAGGTCTTCGTTAACCGTTGCCTTCACGGGGTTCTTGGGGTATACTGGCCCGAAAAGATGTCCGACGTGGAGTGATGTCAAGTGCAAAGCTCAGAACCAAATGTGATGGCGGACTACTGTGGCCGCCCTCTGCCCCATCTCGGAGACTTAGGATATTAAGTCAAGTAAGTCATGCTGAAACTAATTTCTTATACTATCTTATCAGAAAGGCTAAATTTGGCTAAGACTAGCAGATTACCGATTCGATTTTCAGTTACAATACGATATTATCACTTTACAGTCAATGATGTTTAATACTTTACTACGGAAATACTTTTATGACAGTTCCGAGATCGAAAGTGGATCGGAACTGAATTGAGACCGAACTTTTATTACGAGGATGGGCCTTCAGGTCAACGCTAAGCCTAAGTGTAGATGAGATAATTTAGATTCAGATTTGAAATAGACGAATTACATAGGAGTTTTTTTGGGCATAGGGGCAAACCAGCAGGAAACGAGGTCACTACCTCGTTTCATTCAGGAATAGGTTAGGAACAAGATGGGGGGAGGGGTTAGTGTTTGTGAGCCATCGTAATTTGAAACAACGATAAAGTTTTGCATTAACCATATTTCGAGAATTAACAAATATGTGGTAAATAAGGTCATGCAATGCATGCATGTAATTTGACATAAGTCGGAGCTGTAGACGCTGTAGGGTTTTGGGCCATTTCAGAACTTATTTTAGAACCTTAGATAATCGTGAGACTGAGAGACGAGACGAGAAACTTAGAAGTTACTTCTTCCCTCTTAGGAGCTATTAAAGTATTACGTTTGTTTATTACGCGGTTACCGCACCGTTTCGACGGAGGTGGCATGCGCGTTGGTCGGAACTCCCCCGTGGGATTTGGAGGCGGAAGTGCTCGCCGAAGTTTATCGGCGAGTGGCTGACTCTTTCCTTCCAGCTGACGCAGGTGCTTTCCGGGCACGGTTGCCTCGGAAGGTACCTGCACTCGGTCGCTAGGAGGGAACTGAGTCCCGCCTGCCACCACTGCGACTGCAGTGAGGACTCGGCCCAGCACACGCTGGCGGTCTGCCCCGCATGGGCGGCGCAGCGCCGGGCCCTCACTGCAGTCATCGGAGTGGATCTCTCGCTACCGGCCGTAGTACGCTCCATGGCCGGTAGCGACAGTTGTTTTACCGCGGTCGCAACCTTCTGCGAGGAAGTAATCTCGCGGAAGGAGGCGGCGGAGAAGGCCCGGGAGGACGACCTCCACTCGGACCCGATCCGCCGCCGGCGAACCGGGCGGCGAAGGCGCGCCTATCACCGCCTGGGGTGGGTTTCTCCTCCACCCGCATTAGTTTGGCCAGCCGCGAGGGGGCGGCGTCCGCGTGTGCCGGACGTCGCCTAAAGAGAGGAAATAAATAATTTTGAGACGCAGCCCGCACCAGGAGCGGGCTGGCGCTAGGAGGGGTCCGGATGTCTTAATAACAGCTGTTCCCGGATCCCTCCTGTTACAGGCGCAGAGTGGCACACCGTGTGGTTTTAGTCGGTCCGAGTCCGACACACCACCCCGCCGCAAACCCCGGAGGGGTGACGGTCCGAGGGGATTTCCACACGTTAAAAAAAAAAAAAAAGGGCAGTGCCCTATTTTCGGCATTGAATTAAATTTATAAATAATAGTGATGGAGTTCCGGGACTCATCGGTCTAGACTAGAGTTGCCGCGAATAGTGGTTATAGCGAATAGTCGAATACCGATTAATCGCCATTCACTTTGGCGAATAGTCGAATGACTCGACATCACTATTCGACATAAAAAACACATTAAAAATATTTCTAATTTCTTTTAAGGTTGTGAGAAAAGAAAACAATAAAGTTAAAGAAATCTAATTTACATATACGAGGGGTGATCAATAAGTAATGATAATCAATATGAAACAGAACTACTAGATTAAAAA